GCATAACCCTCCAGATATGTGAGAATATCTGGATGCTGAATGGCAGCCAGAAAGAGGGGATTGTAGTTGCTGAAGCTGCTGGGATTCATGTAGATGGCGCGAGTGTTTTCGACATTTGGAAAGGGAGGAAGAGGAGGGGATTTGGGATCGTGAGCGTCATATTTGGCCTTGAGTCGTTCTCGAGCAGTACTGGCAGCTTTCCAGTGCTCATACGCCAATATGATGTCCCCATCATTGGGCTTGGTGTTAGGAACCAAGGAGACTGGGACCTCAAGAAGAACGGCGTACGGGATCAGGTGCTGCTTGGTGGAATAAGCTGCACGGATGTGGTCTGGAGCTGGCGGAAGTGCACCTGCAGTAGCAACACCAACAGATGAGATGGATGCTGAGGGCGCAATAGATGAGGGCGCAATAGAGCCACCAGAGTGGGCAACTGAGCTGCCAGAGTGAGTTGATATGAGAGAAGGAGGAAAGGCGGGAAAGGCCAAAGTAGATGCTGCAGGGAGGGGCTCCTGATTTTGTGAAGTTAGAAGTGCTCAGACGCAGATGAAGACAAGCTTACCAAAAGCATGAACAACTTGAAGTCATTATTCCAAGTCACATCCATGTCATCCTCTAGCGCAAGGGCAAAAGGACCAGCGACCTCCCATTCCCCATCAACATCCAAGACTGAAATAGCAGACTCTACATATTCAGATCAGCAAGCATATTAGATGAGAAGGGAGTTGAATGACTAACCTGTCACAGTCGGAAATTTCCTGGTCAGAATCTTGAGGATTGGTGCCAGCGTAGGAAAGCGGGCCATGGTTACAGAGTGGGGCTTGTCGGTCATCCCCAAGGTGGTGTGCATGACTACCTTGCCCTTACCATGAGTCTCGATGGGCGGGACATCACCAACAGGAACTAGATTGAAGGTAAGCGCAAAGCAGATGAAGTCAAGTTGAGAAACTCACCAAAATCAGCCATGTTGGGTGCGGTGCCAAAGGCATTACCACGTGTGAAGCCACCAGTGGTTCGTGAAGCGCCCTGCAATTCCTGCAAGTTGTCGGATGGAGAGGGAGAGCGAGAAGGCGCCGGCAGAGAAGCAGCACTGGAAGCAGCACTGGAGTGAGAGACATTACGGCGCTGAGCCTTACCAGTGTGCTTGTCAGTGAGTGGGGACTGGCTAGCATCGCGTTTAGCAGGCTTGTGAGGAGTGATATTGATATCAACATCCATGATTGTTGCATCACCCTCGTTGTCACCACTTCCATCACCCACACCAGCAACTTCACCCTCAGCAGCTCCAGTGGCCTCTTCATCAACATCTTCATCGTCATTCTCTTTATCCTCCACATCCGCATCAGCCTCTGAGTCCTTGTCTGACTCTGCACCGAGGTTGTGCAAGTCTCTAGCTCTACCCTTACCCTTATCCTTGACCACAGCAAGTTCTTCTTCATCACCAGAGTTCGAGTCGTCTTTGGAACCGGCGTTGACCTGTGGGTCTTCATCGTCACCTGAGTTGGGATCAGGACGACGTGCACGGTCAGAGACAATGCGCGGGGTAGTGGAAGGGATCTGAATCCCTGTGCCGGTGGAGCGAGGCGGTGGAGCTACACCAGCCCCACTTTGCTGGAGGATTCTAGACGTACTATAGTTAATTAGTACGGTGCAGGCATCATGATGAGTATATCAATACGTACAGTGTCATGTTCTTCTTAGCAACTGCTTTCACAGCCTTGTCCTCTGCATCACGGTCGGCAGAGGTCCTATAAATATCGGAAGTCAGCAACTGGTACAAGCAAGCAAGTAAGTGATACATACTTCTTGTCTTTCTTGGTTTTCATGGTCTTCTTTGCAGCAGACACACGGGACTTCTTGACTGGCTGCTCTTCTTCATCTTCATCTCTATCAAACATTGTTCAGATTTCTTTTTGTGAATTGAAAAGAAATTTATTTATTTTAATAATACTACTACTCTACATCTATGCTACTGATAAAAGAGTGATGTACTTACTCTGTCTCTTGAGAAGCCTCTTGTACTGCCTTGGCAGCAGCAGTGGCTGATCTGGTGGACCTGGGCTTGATGGCACTGTTGAGCAACAACAGGTGAGATGCAGGTGCGGTGGCATGGTAGGTGACAACACAAGTGCAGGGGTGTGTGATGGGGATGTGGTGGGCGTGTGGTAGGCGATGACAAAGGTGCGGGGGTGGGTGGTGGGTGACAACGAGAGTGCGGGGGGCGAAGACAAGGGCGCGGGAGTGCAGGGGCGACGACGAGGGCGAAGATGAGGGTGCAGGGGAGAAAACAAGGGCACAGGGGGCGAAGATGAGGGTGCGGGAGCGACGATGAGGGTGCAGGGGCGAAAACAAGGGCGCGGGAGCACAGGGGCGACGACGAGGGCGAAGATGAGGGTGCAGGAGCGAAAATGAGAGCGCAGAGGCGAAAACAAGGGCGCGGGAGCGCAGGGGCGACGACGAGGGCGAAAACAAGGGCAGGGGAGCGACGACGAGGGCGCGGGGGCATGGTTGCCATTGGGAAATGGAGGGAGAGGGAAGTGGGGGTGGTGGGAAGGGGTGGGGGCTGTCAGTTTTGACAAAAGGAAGGGGCAGGGTGACTTACATTCCCTGGCCCTCCTCCTCGTTCCCTGCGCCACGCATGGACGCCTTCTGGATGCTTCGTGGTGCTCTTGGGGGCATTCCGTGTGTGTGGGTTGGGTGAAAAGTGAGGGGATGGTGGTGGTTGAGAAGAAAGAAGGTGGCAGTGCCAGCGTGGCACGCCACTGTCACATGCGTGTGGCATCACGGCGATTGCCGGATAGGCGCGCGCCTAAATAAAATAAAAAGAATATTAATATTCGTGGTAAAGCGCCCAATAAGCGCCCGTCCGGGAAAAAATGAGTTATCATCGGATAACCCTTGCTAACTCATTTTTGGACGTCCCAAAGCGGAAATTGCCTCAGAAAACCTCCAATAAATTGCAGAAAATCCATATAAATCCATATAAATCCATATAAATCCATGTAAATTTATACAAATTCATACAAATTCATATAAATCCATGTAAATTCATATGAAGCATATGTATCTTTCATAATTATGTCTCCATCAAATCTACTTCATGTGAACTTCATGTGCATTGCATATAAATATTTACATAAATCTTATATAAAGCTCACATACTATATATAGATAATGTAAAAGAAATGTAGAGGAAATGTAAAGGAAATGTAAAGCAAGTAGAATAAATGTAAAGATTTTCCTGCCATTCCTATGAAACATATACTTACATTTTCTCTATATGAAGCTTATATAAAGTCCATATAAAGCATATGACTTCATATAAAGCTCATATGAGCTTCATGTATAAATGTGGTAAACCGTCAGGTGCTCAAATTTTTTATATACCTATCTACTGCAGACGCACCTCAAATCACACCAAATCACACCAATCTCATCCAGGACCAAACCCATTCTCCCTCTCTCATGATTGTACAATCTACGGACGCAACACTCCCACATGGCCGTGCGCCTGGCACGAACATAATTGGTATATTGACTCACACGGTGCGTACTCTATCAGTGATTCAACAGCTGCCCGCCTACCATACCCCATAGATCGTGTCCCGCCTCCCCAATTTGGCCTTGCACCTCCCACTCACCTCTCTGCCCCTGACAACAAAACACCCTGCCTCATATGCTCCTAGCCACAATGCTGAGCACGCAGGGACCACTGACCTCGGACCTGGACATGCAACTGCGAATCCAAATGATGGTGTACGAGCCACAGCCGGGACGACAGCTCTACCACTCACCCGGGCATATCTTACCACAGCACTGTCACAACGACATTGACACTCTCTCACCCTCTCACCCTCCACCCACCAGGAGCCTGCTAACCTCTGCCGCGGGCATTACATGGCCAACACGGCGTACAACAACGGCGAGGGAATCGAATGTGCTGGCGGGAGGGCTGATTGCAAGGCTGCAATGCCACTAGCAGGGCAGCATGATACGGGATAATGGGGAAAGAGACAAAGGGAATGGGTAGACAAAGGATAGTGGCGGAAGAGCCAACAAGGCATTGGTGTCGACGATGACCAGACCAGAAGGTGCAGGAGAAGGTAAGTACCCATCACGTACAGAGGGCAAGTCACTTACCATCGTATCTTGTCCCACAGCGCCCACTCTGTCCTCTGATTCCCCATGCTCCCGATTGACCACAACTCGCCCTTTCCACCGCCTTTGCCCGCTACACATGCTGTCTTGCACGGCATGAACCACCAACAGAGGACGATGGTGCTGCTAGAGCACCATCAAGAGAGGTGTCGGGGACTGAGCATGTTCTCGACGACGACAAGGGGGAAAGGCTGGAAAACAGACGTCAGCCACTGCCTATCTATCAAAGCCTCATTGGCTGAGCTTTGATAGCGGGGGCAGACCCAATAATGGGAAAATCCCAACTGTTTCTCAGGTCGCCGGGTCAACACGAAGTGTCAAAACAGCAACCTGAACTCAAAAAAACATTTTAAAGACATTGTATTACCTTATTTTACTTATACTACACTAATATTGCATGCATTGAAACCACCATTGCCCATATATGAAACCTAAACAGGTCATTCACATTCTTTCCAGCCACTTGAGGCTATCACAGACAGAATCCATCAGCAAGCGTACACCTACATGTCCATGGTTTTGCCGATGGATCCCATCGGCAAACTCTATACTTCCCTCGACATCATTCGCAGATGGGATCCATCGGCGAACGTTAGCGATGGGATCCCGTCTGCGAATGTGCACATGCCTGCGCTTACAGCATGTTCGAGGTTTCTTGGGAATCGATCGAAATGTAACAAATTTTGAACATCTCAGATAATTGACCAGTTTGGAAAATTCCCTAAAGTAGATGTGTGACGAGTGACATAACAAACACAATTTCACCAGCGCTTATTGACCGTTGAGCTCTTGCCTTGCACCAACGACCATACATCAACGTTCAACGTTCCCTGCACTAGGACATGGACTTCGACAGGTTCTTGGTGAACCTTCCCAAGAACTCGGCCAACAGGGAAAGTGATCAGCAGACCCTTGTCCCATCCCGCACTCAATCACCAGACACTATGGAACTGTGTGACGATACAGACTTGAACGACAACAACAGGGATTTCTATGAAGGGTCCGACGCAGAGGAGGAGAGTTTAAAGGACTATAAGGCTAGGGCAGCTCCTCGTATGTCTTTATTTCCCAAGTGATGTTCAACTTTGCTTATTGAGGAATGCTTGATAGACATGGCAAGATGGCGTAACAGAGGGTCCAATCCACCTGCTGCAGCCTCGAACAACACCAGGGATAGTGTTCACAAAAGTCCCCCAACTCCGAAGCCTCGCCGACGTGCTTCTCACCCAAATTACCAGTGACAACGGAAAGAATCTGATGCCTCTATTCGCAAACATGCTCGCAAGGAGGTAGCCGAACGTATAGCTCGCTTGGAGGCGGAAAAGGCTCGAGACTCCACTGCGGTGTCACTGATGAATGAGGAAACAGCAGATGAAGAGAATGAGGAGGAGACTGAGGAGGACAGGCACGAGAAGGATGTATCCCCACCGCGAAAGCGTGTCAAGAGGGCCTCTGACCAGAAGGTGACGTTCTATGTCAACATTCAAACAGCAGTGAACACCGTGACAAAAGGCCGGGGGGTGCACGCAAGAGCAATAGCAGCCGTATCATGCAACTTGGTCCATTCATCACGACAAACCCCCTGAGTGAAAACTTTCATGAGTTTCAGGATCACATCACCACCACCGCACGCTGTTGGGTGAGCAAACTGCCCATGCAGGAACTCAAATGGCGTTACGAAACACCAAAATCCAGTTCCGACAAGCCATTATCCAACGAGGCAGGCTATGAAGCCATGCGATGTCATGAACCATGTTTGTAACATGGTAATCATGTCGGAAATCTAGGGTTATGCTCAATCAAATACCCAAGCTCCCTATTCTCTCCCTCTGCAATACCTCCCCTATCCTCCCCGAACTATCTGGCTCTAGGGAAGCATCCCCTATCCTACCCCTCACCCCTATCTATAATATACCACATGGGATCTTACCCCTGTTCGCCTCTCCGCCCCTCTTAAGTCTTTAGGGGTGCCACTATTCTCTTCCCATTTCCATTGGAATTCTATTTCTCCCCCCGACCATTTCTTTGCCCATCAGATATTCCATTAAGAACTCCCTTTTCATCAGAATAATCCATATTCCTTCATTCCTTTCATTCGCACAGCTGGGCTGTTCTATTTGGACCTTGGCTGTGCAAATTGCACAGCCCAGCACAGCCCAGCATAGCCTTGCACAGCCTTGCACAGCCTTGCACAGCCTTGCACAGCCTTATGTATCCATCGGAACATACGGAATGCAGCTGCGCATTTCCTTTCCTTTCTTCTGCATTTCCTTCTATCTTCCGTGCAGAATTATGTGACTATTCTTTCTACTGGACTTTCTGATTCTTGTGACGGCCTAACAACCGTTCTTTCTACTTTCCGTGCACAGCCTAGATATTTTACATATAAAAATCCAATAGTGTAGCGAAGTTGAAAATAAATCTTTTCCCCCCCAGTGAAAGGTTCACTCAGTCAGTCCTCTAGTCGTATCAGTCCTCAGATCTTAGTCATTCCGTCGTCTTAGTCAAGTCTCAGTCATTCAGTCGTATTAGTCAAGTCTCAGTCAGCCAGTCGTATTAGTCAAGTTTTTTAGTCATCCAGTCAAGTCAAAGTCGATCTTACTCTCAGTCCGCAAGATCATCAATCAGTCAGTTATCCAGTCATACCAGTCGAATTCTGGTCTTCTAGTCGTCCACTTGGTTCAACTTCAAGTACTGCATACTTGAAGAAGTTTGTCACAGTAGTTTTTCGTTCTCTAATCTTTTATCATCCCCCTATCTTTCAAATTCTTTACCCGGTACCCCTTTTGTTCCTTTCTTTCACTCTCTATTCCTTTTATACTAACCCCTTCCTGTTCTACTGCGTATCTGCACCTTTGTTTATTTTTCCTCTTCCACGTTACTGTCTCCGCTCGTGCTCGTGACCACTCATGCTCACGTCCCCTATCTGAAAGAAGCAGTCATTGGACCTCCTCACACAGACCCCTGTACTATCCCTGTACCACCCCTGTAGTCTTGTTTCACTATCGGCATACCTTGGCAAGACAAATTATACGCCCCTATCAGAGATACTAGGTGTTCGAACAACCGGGCTCTCACTTGATCTACTAGCAAGACCCAGTGCTCCCCGGACACTCCCCTATCTTAGGAGAGTGTGACAGCGAATATCACTTCGTGCTCGAAAGAAAGACTTCGTGGTGTGCGTTAGCCTTCCTACTCCTCTAAGGGATGATTTCGTGAGTAGTCTGGCTACCAACCCCAGTTTGAGTGCATTTATACCTTGTCCTTATAGGGATGGTCAGCCAATCACAAATCCGAGGGTCAAGAACCATTTGATTATCATGGTGGAGATGTGGCAAGTGAGCCCGAGCAGGACACGAGTGCAAAGGGAATGATTGTATGCTGTCTGTGCTGTCTTGCTAGCTATTACTCATCCCATCACAGGCGGCGATTCAGAAGAAATCTGGGGCATATATGCAGTAATTGTTAGAGATGTACCCACAGGATAACTTCCCTCTGTTTCCCAACGCAAGAATTTACACGAAGAATGTCGCTGGCAGTGACTTATACTGGAACCTCAGCGACCTTTGCCTTCAGGTATGGGCGGATACGCTGGTGCGTGCATGGCCTCGCTCTCACTACCACTAAACTTTATGGCTAACTGTTCTCAGGAAATTGGAAACGATCCTGGCGTCACGTTGACTCAGCCACCGAACTCTGTTTTCTTTGCAGCCGACAAGTGCATCAAGCCTCGAAAGCAAACCTTGCTCACTACTCCTGGATCTGCTGCTGCTACCCCTGCCGCACTGACACCTGCTGAGACGCAGGTTCAACTACCGCCCTTGCTGCCACCACCAACTATGCCCATGTTGCCTCCATCACAAATGTACTCATACCCGCTTCCATGGCAGTATCATTCTGGACCAATGCCACCAGTGCCCCCGATGCCCCTGATGCCACCATTCTATCCTCCATTCAATCTGTATGGATATCAGCCGGAACTTCACTCGAGTTTCCCACTGAACGTTCTTGCTCCGATTCCAATGAAACAACATTGCTCAATGGACTCCTCTCCAGGTAAAAAGGCGCTTGGACTCAAGATCTCCCTGGATGATTTCTGCGCACGATATGACATACCAGATACTCAAAAGCATGCCCTCGCCTCTCTTGATTACGTCCCTGGACTTCGGCATATTGAGCAATTATCTCCGACTGAATGGCAAAGTACAGGGCTTGGTATACTTCAACAGCGTCTCATTCTGGACCATCATACTCAGTTCCTTGAAGATGCAATGAACGGCAAATGGGATAAGTAGCACAGAAATTTCAATTCTTCTCTCTCTCTTTGTTATGCTGTACAGACTGGTTGAGACAGACTGTCTACGTAGAATCATGCTGTACTCTAGAAAATATACCCCGCATGACGAAACCAATTGATGCACATTTCAGGAGTGATACAAGCACAAGCTTCCAATAACGACGTGATAGGATCATCCGATACACGAAGGATGTGAGTGTGGTGGTGGAGATATGCTTTCACTTCATCTCCAGATGAGCATACAGATAGCAACGTAAATAAATACACGCACAAGTGCTGAATGACTCTTCGATCGGATTCAGATCAGGACTATATGGCGGTAGATATAGGATTATGCACCCTGTAACCACATAAGCATAATTCAGGATCTATAGTATTCCCGTACCGGCTGCGGCAACAAGATCAGCAAGTGCTTTGTTGTGGTGGATGCGGCAGTTATCCATAACAAGGACAGAGTTGACATTTGGAAAGGGATTCATGGACGGAAGCTGTTCATATTCACGTTGGAGGCTTTCATCATGTAGTAAATAGTAAGACTCACCACTTGCTCCTGGATGAACTCGTAGAATTGCATTGAGTCCAATGAACCAGGGACCGCATGGGCAGCGATATACCCGTTTGTGGATATGGCAGCAACAAGAGAGTATCGGTCTCCACGAACAAACACATCATGGAGCTCAGCGCGCTGCCCAACCGGAGCCCAGCCAGACTTTCGAGCCCAGGTCCGTTCGTTCTTGCTTGTTTCATCAATAAATATGAATTGCGACCCATCTCAACCGTCAATAAGCGCTGGTGAAATCGTGTTTGTTATGTCACTCATCACACATCTACTTTAGGGAATTTTCCGAACTGGTCAATTATCTGAGATGTTCAAAATTTGTTACATTTCGATTGATTCCCAAGAAACCTCGAACACGCTGTAATTTCGCCGATGGATCCCGTCGGCGAGCATACGCATGCCTGCGATTAATTTCACTGATGGGATCCATCGGAGAACGGTCGACTACTCATTCATAATTTTGCCGATGGATCACATCGGCGAACATTTTTGGCCCTCAAGATCACTCGCAGATGGGATCCATCGGCGAACATTCTTCGAAGATCTGGCAGACGGGAACCGTTCGTCAGTTCCCTACCCACTGGTAACACATGACGCATGAACGGTTCCCGTTCGTGCCTCCTTACCATCCATCCGTTCAGCTGTCCATGCCACCTATCCTTTGTCCCTCAACTGCCCGTCAATGCAATCTCCCGTTGATGGCTTCTCCCTGGGGGCTACATTTGTCCACGCTGTCTAGGGCACGCCTCCTGTACGTGATGACTAGCGACAAATATGTCGCCTTTTCCGCAGTCCACCTCCCAGCCAGCCATGTCGCTTCGTTCATCTGAGTCCCCCATGTGAGCATATATATGTGTCGATTTCATGATACATACCTGTGATGGTGCCGTCTGTCTCGTCTGGCGTCCATGTATGCGCGCTTTGATTTTACTCTTCGAGTCACCACCGTGGGCGAAGGCGCAAAGTGGGCACGTATTGCGGCAAACATAGACGGCGAGTGTCCAGGCAATGGTGCGTACGAGAGCTCTGGATGAGTCAACCTGGGTGAGTACATTATGGCAGCATAGGAGTGTATTACGCAGCACACGTACCTCAATACGAATCAGCGTAAGGGAATCCTCGAGAGTCGTGGCTGGATTAAGCGAGGATGGGGAACTTGGGCATCCAACGACCGCCGATGGAACTCGGTAGTGGTGCCTTGAGGGTACTGGCTAGCCCACGAAGCGCAGGGCTGAGCACCCCCATCCCACTCCCGAGCTCGATTTCTCGTCCTTCCCGCGTACGAGTCGGAATCGAAAACGTGTATTCGTCCGTTGGATCTAGCGTAGGCGGCGCCCAGACTGATGTTCGATGTTCGCAAGCCTGCAGCCATTGCGCGTATCTGCTTTGACGTGAAGCGACAACACTGCCTGCAGCATGGGGACTGACTTACTGGGCACTTATCTTCAGAAACTGCGTCCCCTCATCTACTTCGCTGGATGAATGGCTGTCTGCCTGTCTTGAGAACAAATTGAATGGTTGCGCAATGCTCCGCGTTGTGCGCTAGAGCCTGCCATGTAACGTCGATACGGAGGAAAAGGGAGAACGAAGGCGCAGGCCATAGAATCTCCTCGCCGCCGTTGCTGCCCACATCGTGCTCGTCGTTGTGGTATGCATTTGAGAGGTTGATGGTGAGGTTGAAGTCCGAAGTCCGCTGACGGAACGGAGCGGAGTTCGATCGCGTGCACGTGGCGCTTGTTCGAATGCCACAACTGTGAGGATAGATGAAATTTATCCACGGTCTATCTATGAGTGCACGTGAGACCCCTGTTCCCCTATCTCTCCCTTTGAGTATCTGCGCCTTTGTCTTTGCGCGCACGTATATATAGCACGATCTCCCGCTTTAGCTTCTCATCTTCTTACGTTCACGCTCGATAGTACATCGAGTTGTTCACTTCTTTTTCAGGACGCCTCCACGGAAAGCCCGCGCCTCTGCTCGCCCGCGCGACGCAACCGGCCGCTTCCTCTCGTCGTCTTCCAGAGCCACTCCACCAGCTGCCTCAGCCACTCCGCTTTCTTCACCACCAGACTCCCCAACCATCCTGCCCACTCGGCCTTTGTCCCCGGAACCAGATATGGCCGGAGAAGGAAGCAACCAGGACGCTAACCCCCTCGAGGCACGCGTCGTCGGGTTAGAAACAAACGTTAACGAGATCCTAGAACTACTTCGCAACGCAGCAAGTAATCCTCCCCCCCCTCCTCCCCCTGTTCCTCCTGTTGCACCAGCTATCCCAGCCGCGCAGGCTGCCCCGGCCGCGCCACTCGTTCAAGGGGTCCCCCCCTTTGTCCCCTACATTCCCCCTCCAACAGCTAACTTGTCTATCGGTATGTTGTCCATTCCTGACTTCTTTCCCGACGTCGAGGCCGCAATCGTGGTCTCAATTGGCAAGCATGAGTTCAAGCCGCAGCAGCTTGGCAAGCTCATCCCCAGCGTCAACTCGAAGGCCACCACAACGACCTACGCTCTTGAGGACGGCGCATTACGCGCCACAGAGACGGCTCCCATCAAAGACCTTCCGGACTTCTCATCCTTCATGCGCGCCCTGGGAGTCTACTTCCAAATCCTTTACAGATACGTAGGGACCACAGGGAGCATACAGGCCGTCACGGACGTCGCCGTCTTCACCCAGAGCTACTCCAACCTCCTGCATGAGTACTCGCGCTACTTCGCCTATCCCGCCATCCTCACCTATCACATTGCGCACCACTCCCGCCGCATTAGGGAAATGCTCAGGGGCGACTACTCCTTATGGGGTGACGAAGATCGCGCTCTTGTCGGCCCGCTTCACCGATCAAACATGTTCCAAGAAGTAAAGCCCACCTCCGCATCTAGATCCAAAGCCTCATCACCTGCAACACCTCCCCGCGACGTCTCCACCCAAACCTGCAATCGATTCAACGATGGCAAGTGTCCCACCACACCATGCAAATCAGGACGTATCCACAAATGCTCAACCTGCGGCTCCACGGCGCACGGCAAGGTCACTTGCACTCAGGCCCCTCCCGTCGCTTGAAAGCCTGGCAGGACGAGGGACACAAACCCCGAATCCCCCCCTCGTCCTTGCCTACAGGATGAGCAGCTTGTTCCCGTCCCATCTCTTCCTCCACCACTGCCTACATCTATAATCGCACCTCCCCTAATCACGACACCCCTGTCCCTATTTCCCCCTGGTCCTATACCTCCTACTCGCCCTAACACAGACCCTCGCTGTAATCGCACGTCGCTCCGTACTTCTGATGACATACCCGTTAAATCGACACTAGTCTATTCACAGTGGGCTCATTACTTAGCGGACTACCCCGATTCCGAATATGTACAGGCTCTTTTACACATAATACAATATGGTGCTGCTATCGGATTTGCTGGTGAAGACAAACCTCAGGCGTGTCGCAACCTCAAAACGGCCATAGACCATCCCGACATCATCAACAACGACATGAACGTACTTCGTGCCAATGCCAGGATACATGGTCCCCTCGTCTCACCTCCCCACCCCGCATTTCGCGCGTCTCCTCTCGGAACCGTTACGCGGAAACGATTCCCTAATAAATTCCGGGTGATAAACCACCTATCCTGGCCTCCTGGCAATTCTGTCAACGACGGTATCCCGGATAGCGAAGGACACATCGTCTATGAAGCCGTATTCCAAGCAATCCACACGATTCGTCGTCTCGGGCGTGGCTCACTACTAGCCAAACTCGACCTCAAGGACGCCTTCCGTCATATCCCACTTCGCGCCTCGGATTATCATCTAATTGGCTGCTTCTGGGACAACGCATTCTACGAATACATGGTCCTGATATTCGGGCTCAAGTCTGCGCCATACATATTCAATCTTTTCGCTGAAGCACTACACTGGATAATCCAACGCCACATCCCCGCTGAGCTAAAGCACTACCTCGACGACTTCCTCCCTATCTTCTCCCCTGACACCCCGCTTTCACTCACAAACGACGCCGTCTCTTGGATGCAAGCTCTGGGCAACTCGTTGGGGCTCACATTCCAACCAGAGAAGACAGTGTGGCCTACCACTCGTCTGGAGTTCCTCAGGATCGAGCTGGACACCGACACCATGGAAGCACGCCTACCAGAAGATAAATTAACCTATCTGAAGGAACTACTCTCCCTCTGGTCCATCAAGGCAAGCTGCAACCTTCACGAGCTCCAGGAGCTAACTGGATTCCTCCACTTCACGTCCCAAGTAATCCCCTACTCGCGTGCCTTCCTCCGTCGTCTCATACAATTCTCAACGACGTTCTCCACCCCTCACTCACGCCGCCACGTTCCACGATACGCTCGGAGCGACTTACGCTGGTGGTCTACTTACGCATCATCCTGGAACGGCGTTACCCTCATTGATCCCCCATCGTCTCAGCATCACCTATTCACAGACGCTAGCGGTACCAAGGGGCTAGGGGGCATCTACAACAATCACTGGTTCAGCACCAGAGTCCCTCGCCGCTTCAGGGGCTCGAAACGCGACATCCAATTCAAGGAACTATACGCTGTCCTCCAAGCTATACTACGCTGGGGCCACCTCTGGCGCCATTCCCATGTCCATTTCCACGTCGATAACCAGGCCGTCGTTGCTGCGCTATCCGACCATACTAATCGCTCCCCCCATCTTGTCAAGCTGCTGCAGCTCATACTCATGCTTGCCGCTACTTTGGAATTCTCTTTCTCTTCTTCTTGGCTTTCTTCCGCTGATAATGCACTCGCTGACGCTGCCTCTCGGTTCCAATATACTCGACTATTCTCTCTTGCTCCCAATCTTGACAAGCAGCCATTCTCAGTCAACCCCCAGACTCTTGGTATCAAACGAACCCTCAGCACTCAAGAATCGTTGCGTTCTATCTCTGGTACGGTCTCGCGTCCAGCACCAGGTCCACTTACGGCGTTGGTTAGAAATCATTCCTCGAATTCGTCCGAGCTCGCCCTGCCCTTGTCAACAGCGACGGCTCCTGCATCCCAGCCACCCAACGCAGTATCATGGAATGGATCGCCCACCTTGGGACACGTCGTCTTCAGCCAAAGACGATTAAATCCTACCTCACCGCCGTTCGTTCCCTCCACCTCGAAGCGGACGCCCCCTTTGCCGTTTGCGAAGCCCCTATCGTGCAACGTCTCATCAGAGGCATCAAACGATACCACGGTGAACGCGAGCGCAATCCCAAACTACCCATTACATTCCCCATTTTATTCAAACTTACTTCCCTCCCATACACCTCCTTCGACGATATCGTCTTCATAACAGCAGCGAAACTCGCTTACGCGGGTTTCCTCCGTTGTGGGGAATTCACCATTGACAAACCCAACTCCTTTGACCCCAACATTCATGTTACACGTTCCTCTATTCGTTTCATGCCTTCTTTAATTCAGCCAGACCATATTATCTTAACTCTTCCTGCTTCCAAAACCGATCCCTTTCGAAAAGGCGTTACAATCTATATAGCTTCTGCCCTTAATTCCCCCTCCACCTGCCCCGTCTCTGCTTTACTTCATTTATTTACACTTGACCCTCGCCCCCTTAATTCCCCCTTATTCATCACCTCTGATCACTCCCCGCTCACGCGCTCTCGCTTCATCGCTCGCCTCCGGCTCGCACTGCTTGACATTGGGCTCCAACCACAAGGATATTCTGGCCACAGCTTTCGCAGAGGCGCTGCTTCTGCCGCTGCTGCCGCAGGATTCCTTGACCACGAAATCCAACAATTGGGACGCTGGCGCAGCGACGCATATCGCCTGTACATCGATACTCCCAAGGATCGTATTCTCAACCTTTCCTCGCGTCTCCACATGGCCGATCCTCATGCTTCATCTTTCGAACCTCCGGCTCTTCCCTTCGCACCTTCCTTGGCTTGAGTTCGGCCCCTGTTAGGGGGTTCTCCTATCTCAGGAGTTCGTCTGTGTCCCACTCCCGGGTTCCATCCGTTCCCGGGCCGTGGACCAGTCGCTGAACGAGAGAGCTTTTGGCGACAACGAATACACTCTTCGTTATCCCAAAACGAGTTGGATGGATGTGAGGATAGATGAAATTTATCCACGGTCTATCTACGAGTGCACGTGAGACCCCTGTTCCCCTATCTCTCCCTTTGAGTATCTGCGCCTTTGTCTTTGCGCGCACGTATATATAGCACGATCTCCCGCTTTAGCTTCTCATCTTCTTACGTTCACGCTCGATAGGTAAACTAATCTATTATTACCTTACCAGCGCATCTTCTTACGTTCACGCTCGATAGTACATCGAGTTGTTCACTTCTTTTTCCCCACCCATATCGCTTACCCTTCTTTCCACATCGATTTATTTCACTTCTTCGAACTTAAAACATTACATCGATTCCATCTACTACATAGAATTCGCTACGTCTACGTACTTACATACTTCGCCTAGGCCGGCTTGAGTTCGGCCCCTGTTAGGGGGTTCTCCTATCTCAGGAGTTCGTCTGTGTCCCACTCCCGGGTTCCATCCGTTCCCGGGCCGTGGACCAGTCGCTGAACGAGAGAGCTTTTGGCGACAACGAATACACTCTTCGTTATCCCAAAACGAGTTGGATGGACTCGACGTTTGTTCTCCTCCATATCGCCACCAAGTACTGTGACCACACAGCGAGGATTACAGCAAGAGGTAAGCACCATAGTTACCTCTAAATCTGTCAGGAACTCACTTACTACAGTCCCCTCCCTCATTCCCCAGATTCTCCCACTTAAACGACAATGACAAGCGCTCTGGAACGGCTGCCCCGACGTATCAGCTTCAGCGCTGGCCAGAACACATCGGCAAAGAATGATGTTGTGGATCGAGCCAGACATACCTCCGTTCCAGGCCAAGACAGCACGATTGATGGCGGCGAGACGCTGGTGGGATCTCATTCCACCTGGGATGACGACGGGGAGCGAAGTAGCTCCATTATCCGCCATCTGGCCCCCACCAAGCACATTCAGCCTGGAGACGACACGGAGACGACCACGGAGTCCCGACTCTGCAAGAAGCGGCGTGACGGACGAGGTAGGCGGTAGTGGGCACGAGAGAGAAGTGACGATGTAGGCAGCCGTCAAACGCCATCTCGACAATCGTGCCCAGGCGACAGACATGGGGATGAGAGGATATGTGGCGGCGGTGCTGCTCGGGCCCTGGGCATCCCAATACGATGGTGAGTGACCTCTCAATTACATATTAGTTAGGTACTTACCTTTGCCATCGTTGCGCCGTCTCTCAAGGTATTCCTACTCCCATCCCCTTCTGGCTCCATCCCGTTCTTCGTCGGCGTGTCCCCCGTGGAATCACTGCATGGCAGTTGACGCCATGCCGCCAACGACAACGGCCTGGGCATTGTTCATTGCGCTGCCGGTTTCTGGCCATTCAGTTCGGAGGGATCCAGTTCGGCCAGCAAGCGCGTTGAGGCTTCTGTTGGGGTCGGGAGAGCGCATGGGTATGACAGACGACGCGGGGCTTGAATGGAGAGTGATGTGGACAGGCGAGTCCTTCTTTCTCCATCTTGTGGGGTGTACGACTCACCCTGCCAGCCCAGTCCAAACGAGAGACAGAGAGCTTCCCTGCTTCATCGTTTCTGACGTCCTCCACAGCAGCCACTTCGTCTTGGGACCGTGTTTCGGAGGGCTGTATGTCGGTGTCGCGGGCGTTGCTGCACGGAGTGGGCTGGTGGGGGAGTTGTGGCCCTCAACCCGTTCAGATAAGATAGACTGGGTTGGACTTGTCGACGGCGAAGAACTCGGGCGCTTCTTTTGTGTTAGGTAAGCTTGTGTTGAGCTTGTTTCTTGCGCAAAGTCCTCACTAACGTCGCTGCCTTCCACGCCTCTTCCCTTTCGTTTCGACGTCATCAGCAAGTCGATTTCGCGCAACGTAGATGGAGTTCTAGCTAGATTGGGATGGTGCGTAACATGTAGAATACCTGTTAGAATAGTGTTGATAGCACATTGTAGGTTCTCGTACATAACGCACTGGCTGCGACGAATCGATCTCAGCATTGCCACCACCATCGCCTCCATATCGCACTCGCGAAGGCGATATTGTCGACCAACAAGACAGAAGCCAAGATTCGCAAGGCAGTCAAGTAAATAAAGACGAAAAAGAACGAATGAAAATGAAAATGAAAATGAAAATAAAAATGAAAATGACGCGAAACGAAGAAAGGACGGGGAATGGAGCAGTGGAGGAACGGAGGGAGGGAGCGGAGGATGGGACGAACACAAAGGGAGGGACGGACAGAAGGATTGGACGGGCTACGAAAGGACGGGACGAAGGGAGTGGAGGGAGGGTATGCGAATAGAGAGGAGGGACGGACGGACGCTAATGGAGAGGAGGGAGAGAACGAGGGATACGAAGGGAGGGATACGTAGGGAGGGAAGGGGAGTACGAACGGAGAGAAGGGGATGGGAATAATACGAAGGCAAACGCACAACGCCGAACACGAAGAAACGAAATAACACGAAGACGACGCACCAACTTGCGCCGCACCCACGCATGCGAACGCACCCTTCCCCATGCATCCCCACTCCCTCGCCCATCAACATCACCGTCAACATCCTCACCCCGGCCCCGTCGCACCCACTCTCTTCATCGCCGAGACGCGTCCCCGACGCAACCATGCGCACTTCGCTGCGAACAGACGCAGACGCAGACGGCACGCTCGACCCCCTCCCGATCTACGCAACGAACGAACGCGCGAGAGTCGGTGAGGGCTGACGAGGGAGTTGGTCGGGAAGTGGATGCTGGGGCTACGACGTACGACGTACCTGGTACCGAGTTCCCCACACGTCAGACGCCAAACGACAGACGCGCAAACGAATGCCGTGCACGAAGGCACGAGCGCCGGCTATTCCAGCGTCGCGCCAGTGTGTTTCGTCGTGGCGGCGTTCGAACATTCGAAGGTGTGTGTGTGCGTGTGCGTGTGCAAGGGCTGCGGGTCTGGAGAGGGAGAAGCGGTGTCAGCGTGTGGATGGGGACGAAGAGGGAGGAAGAACGAAGAATTGGGAATGCGACGACGAATGGGAAATGCGACGACGAAGGAGAACAAGGCCGGCACGGCTGCAGGCAGAGGGATACGAACGAAGACGAGGGAAAAGCACACGAACGAGGATGGAACAGGACGAAGCAAACGATGAAGAAAGCGACGAGGAAAGAAATGAAAAGAAAGAAAGAAACAGCGCAGACGTACCCTGTATCACCCATGAACACGAACACCAGGCTTGAAGACGGGCGCACGGGCGCACATGGCGCACATGCACATGCACACGCACTCCCTAATTTCGAACTCCCGAATTCCCGTCGCGCGAAGGCGGCATGGTGTCGACTGGCGAACTTGAATCGCAGGACGTGTCTGAGGTAACGGCTGCAGGTGAGTACGACACCATGGTTATCAGCCATCAGCGCAGACTCACCTGTTCGCCGTCACACCAGCGCTGCCTGCCCTCCCAATACCCTCTCCCACACACCACACTAACGCCGCCACGGCCTCTGTGCCACTCTGAACGACGAGAGCTGTCGACAAGGCTGGTATAGACAAGCTCGATGTAGCAGCGGAGCGCGCATCCAGCATAGATGAGGCGACCACGCGCTAGGATCCCTATGAGGAAGGATGGCATAACGGGGTAGCAACGGCGAGGGAGATGTGCAGCCCGTCGAAGGGCCGGCGACGACAGGATAGCGGGACGAATGGCAATCGCAGGATGGTGTACAGCCGCTCGGAGGATCTGGCGTGGCATATACGGTATGTGGTCCTCTCCCCTCCTACCTACTTCACCTACTTAACCAAATAACTCCCTACTACCCTACCCCCCTTCCCGCGCCACTGCGGTAAGCAGTTCTCCAGGCTCGACAACCTTAGTCAGCACGCGCAGACCGTCCATGCAGACAGGTAGGAGGAGAACGAGCGCACGACGCGCGACCTCACAAGCCTGCATGCGACGATGGCCGCCGCGAACAAGGCGAGCGAGGGGAGTAGCGGCGAGTTTCCTGAACGGTGCCAGCAGCGCTCCATGCCAAGTAACAGGCGCGGGGGGTGTCTATTCAGCGGTCGGAATTGTACGGCGGCACTTCCACTATCCCTCACCACCTCTCTCTCTCCGCATTAACGCCCACGATTTGCTGGACTTACTCGGGACGACAAGGGCAAATGACCACGATACAGACGAACTGGTGGGAGAGGGCGCGGTCGGAGTCGAGGAATAGGACGGCATGGGCGGAGCCGTCATGACTAGGAAGGTACTGACCTTAGGCAGGGAGAAGGAGGAGGAGTCCACGGCGATGGGCCTTGCGATGCAGATGGGAATGCGGGGGCCAAGGTGCAAGCAACGGTATAGACAGCGCCGTCCCCGATGAGGCGTAAATCGGCGAAAAAGCGTACGGCAGCCGCGAGGCTTGTCCACCAGCACAATCTTAATACGAAGAGGCGCGGCGTCCTGATGAGGAGAGGAATGGAGGCGGGGATGTGGAAGACAAGGTGGGTTCGTCCATGGTGCGTTAATGGCCCTGTCAAGCACGTACTCACGTCTGTATCCGCCCCATTCCAGACACTTGAATCCAAGCCTCCATCGCTGAATCCATGGTCACTGTCAATACCACTCCCCAGGCGCGCCTCTGTAGTGGTGTCCTTGGGACGCATGCGGGTGATGTTCATCAACGAATCCCATCCCCATCCCCACGGCCATACCAGCAGAAATAGGCGTATTCGGAATCACCTGCGCGGAAAGCGTGATTGGAGTTGGGACGCCGCTGTTCGCGAGGGCGTGGCAGAGGGCGTTAAGACAGTAGTGGGGTGTGAACCACACAGAGACGCTGGTGGGGCACTCAGGATGGCGGCGGACTTGGAGTGGCTCAGGGTGAGTGTTGTGAGAAGGCTGCGCGCTGGTGAGCCGCTTGCAAGGCACGAACGTGACAGATGGAGCCCACCTGTTCATCCCGTCATAGCTATCCCACCCACCAAACACGCACTAGGACCAGGTATGTATTTCATCATTTCATCGCCCTCACCCTCATCATCCCTAATGTGCCAAATCCCTCCTCGTCGATGTCTGCAATTGTAAAACTCAGAGGCGCCACCGTCTACATGCAGGATGTGTTTAGAGCACAGAAAATAAAGGCAATGGCCGCAGGTAAGCACGACCCATGATCGTCAAAAATATGCGGAGACTCACCTGTTCACCGCGACGCCAGGGCTCCCTGCTCTCATCTGTTCGCATGCCGATGCACGAAAACAAGGCATGCAAGCAAACAGTGCAGTGTTGGTTAACAAGGTGAACGATCCATTGCATCCGTACGCAGGATTCCACTTACCAGCGTATTGCACCCTTCAGGAATGACCACTAATATCCCCGGACCCCGCTACATCTGTCGCCCGCATCTCGTTTCTTCATCGACGGAACCGCGACCTGGATGCCGTCCTACGCTCGGCGGTTGATGCCCACGACCACAGAGCCGATGTCTAGAGATGAGAGAGAAGGGACGAATAAAAGCAGCAGGACAAATGCAAAGAGAAGGGGAAGGGAAAAACGCACCAGTGTGCACGCGAACCTGAGTGCTGTCGCGCCACCCTCCTCCCTTAAATCTTCATCCCTAATTCTCGAATCTCTCGAATGCATCTCCGTCAAGGCCCCGTAGTCGTACAGTTGCGGACAACCAAAGCCATCAAATTTACAAAATGAATTATTTGGGCCTCACAGAGCGCCGGGGACAGTAGTTAAGTCTGTAAATGGTGTATTTAGGACCAAATAAACTAATTGACACGAGCAGATTTTCTCATTTCGCTCATATAAGGAAATTGTACCTCTAAAAATTTGGCCACCCCCCCGAAAAACAGTGTACAAATAATACAGAATATGCCAATCGACTCCTTTTGTAAAGTAGATTATGATTTTTAATGTCTAGGGAAAAAATATCGAGCCGTTCTCACACAGAAAAATAATAAACATTGGCCGAATATGGCAAGCCCCTGATCACATAGTGCAGTCAGGTGACATGTCCCCCCAATTGCCAGTCACTAGTCACTCTCCACATCAATTTGCCATTAAACCCGCGTTACAAAATAGGTTGGTCATTGACGCACCTATTCTGGCTGTGAAATCTCGGCGCTTATGCAGTTCCCAGCACTTAAAATGTTGTTCAAAACCCCCAAAATTTTGGCCACCCCCATTTTCTCGTGGGAAAAACTTCGGAGGATGTTTTTCTGAAGCTTTCAACTAATTCGAGTCTGATAGCAAGCTCGGTTTGTCCAAAAAAAATCTAGATCATCCACAATCAACTTTGGTGACTTTGGTTGTCCGCAACTGTATTCGGCAAGCACACGATGATTCGTGCGCTGGGCGTGCAAGGCGAAAGTGACGACATGAGGTAAGTATCAATACTGCTGCTGAATTCGTTTTGTACTCACCTTTGCACGCTACTGGCGCCGACTCAGGCACACCTCCCACGTCGTCTACCTCGCCTCGGACGCCTACGCTGCACGCCAAGTTGGTACGCGCTACCTAACAGAAGGGAAATTAAGACACGTGGGAAAGGAATAGGCAACTGAGTACAACGGCCAGAATGAGCTGTCCCAGCTCACCCTCCCCGCACTACTCTCACGCCTCATGTGATTAATCATGTGATGCACTCGGTCACTTGATTCTAAGCAACAATATTTTTTAAACTATACTACACAACAACATGAACTACAAGTTCTGCGAAGTCCAACACTTATGTTCCCAGTCTAAATGCAAGGTTCAACTACCTCCGTTGTACCCTCATCAGACATGCAAAAAATGCCGAGAAGCATGTCGGCTCAGAATGGAGAACTCCCGGAAGCGCAAGCGCGAGGCTCTTGATGCCGAAAAATACAAACATACTCATCAAGCCCCATTGGGATATGGCGGCGAAGATGACGAAGGCGATGAGGAAGGAAAAGAACAGGTGAGAGAATACTAAATAAGTTGTATCCCAAGTCAGAGCTAACAAAAACAGGCCTATGAAGGGCCCGCTGAATGCTTACAAGCCATTCACAGTGCATTCAAGTCAGCTCCACATGTTAGCTTCATCGGACAATATGAACTTGATCTCGATCCCTTGAAAACTGCGAAAGAGGAAGTCCGTATGGTGTCACATGAGATATGGCAAGCAAGCGGCTACAAATTTCGGTATGAGAACAGAAAAATGTTAAATAATTGATAGCTTACTGGTGTGTTCCCAGAGTCCACGATAATCCCAAAATAGCAACTGGATACAAAACTCGGTACTGGTGTTGTCAGGACGAAGGCCGGCGCCAGCGATCAAGGCCAAGCCAGCGAGAGGGAGCCGTACCTCGAGACAATGTCGGCATGAAGCGCTTTGCCTGTCGAAGTCGGCTTATTATTGCATGCAAGCTGGCTGCTCCCAAAGGCGGTGTATCCTTGAAGCGGACAATCAGAATTGCGATTGAACATCACACTGTGCATGTACTGTACTATGATGTCTCTGTCCCTGCAGAGGCGCTGGACATGGTGCGTGAAAACCTTGACAACGCAACACCAAACGAGCTTGTCGGCCGGATTCAAGCACTGTTCCCACAAGTGACAGCCAATCAAATCCATACTGCCTGGACTGTGATGAGCGAAGAATTATGGAAGCGGGACGATCAGCAACTTACCTCCGCCAAGCTTCTTATGGAAGATCTATCAGATGACGTTGAGATGTTCAATGTTGTTATAGAAGATGGCATAGAGCAAATTTGCTGGGGTATGAAACAGATTGCACGGCCACTGATAGGAAAGGTGGTTGAAGTGGGATTAGATGCAACTTGTGAGTCATCAGCTAGTTGTTAGTCATTCATGGGCTAACCGAAGTGTAGTCGAAACAAACTCAAGGCACCTAGAGTTATACAGCGTGCTAGCCGAGTTTGACAATGCAGGCTTTCTGTTGTCATACTGTTTGTTATCAACAGCATCAGCCATTGAAATCGGCAAGCGGACACGAGCACTTACAAGGTGGACAACTATGCTTCGGGACAGATATTGCCTCAACCCCGAATTCGTTCACGTGGATAAGGATATGGCGGAGATTTCGATGTCAAGAACAGTTTGGGCATCGGCGAAGATCCAGTTATGCTGGTGGCACCTTCGAAAGGCATTGCGTGAGCGGTTATCACGAGCAAAACTTACTACAACACCGTACAATGTCGAGAAAGCAGTTGGCGAGTTCACGTTCATTGATCGAGGATTCATTCCGTTTGGAAGGACCGACTCCGGGGAGCATGAAGGAGGGCAGGTGGATTCAGATACGGTTGAGATGGAGATGTCCACGCAGGAGAATCCAAATGCAGTGTATCTGCGAATCACAAAGGCACAAAGAGTCAGTGACTACGACAAGACCGCCCGACACAAAGGCAGCAACACTAACGATCAAGTTGCCTGCACGGGTACTTCCTGAAACGGCTACTGCTAGCGAGAATGCCAACGATGACCACAGTTGTCGCATCTTCTGTCCCGACGACCTTCGGGTACAACTTGTAGACATGGTTGAACTCCACTTCTGTGCGCACCCTCTCATTCCTGGATATGCAGCACCGTCAGCACCAGGAATACGCCACTGGGCAGTCAAACAAATGTATGACTTCTGCGTAGCCAATGACTTGCGTGAGGCATGGGCATACTTGTGGGAGAACTGGTATCGAAAGGGTCGCTGGGAGCTCTGGGCTCGATGTGAGTACGAGCGAATCCCAAGGCTCAAGACTACAATGATTCTGGAAAGCCAGTAAGCATGTCTACTTCGATAGAGAGATTTACGAACTTACCTCCCATGGACAGCTGGCGGCGGATTAAGAAAGACTTTTTGCACCATTTTCATAAGCCGCGTGTTGACCTTCTTGTCTGGATTCTTGTGACGAAAATGGCCCCAGCCTATTATCGTAAACTCGACTTGGCCACAAGGGACATAGGTCGCTTCCGAGAGTTGCCTTCCTGGAGAAAAGCGTTCAAAAGGGACTGGAAGCGAGCCTTGAAAAAACCCATTACTGTTCCACTCAACATCAAATATAGACCGGACACGTACCGTTGGGTTTGCACCTGTCCACACTTCAGCAAAAGCCGGTTCCTTCTTTGTAAACATCTGGTCCAAGCAGCACCGCCTGTCGAACCCATATTCTTCCTTGAGGTGATCCGAAACCGTACCACTCCGTTCTGGACCCATGTCTCCCTCCAGCCGATGACAGACGAAACAAAGCCGGGCGTAAAACAGCCAGCCCAGCAGCCTTGCGAAGATGTTGATTCGTCAGACGAAAGCGAAAGCGACGAGGGGGCCTGCCATCAACTGTTTGTTGCCTTCGAGGACCAAATGAAGAAAAGGATTGACTTACTTCGGGACTTTGCGTATGGGCTAGAATACCAGATTCAGTTCCGGGACCATCGATTCCTACAAACGGTGGAGAGGCAAGGTGGTGCACTGTTTAGATTGGCCGAGGCTTGTCAGCAACGAGAGCGAAGGCAGAATACAACAAGGGGGGAGGGAACGACGACGTGGGAGTCCTCAACAGCAATGTTTTACCGGACACGACCATGTGTCGCTGATCAAGGGTCGTAAGGATATGATACATATATGATCAATTCTTTCACATCACCTATGCCATATAAATATGTCTTCCATTCTTGACCTCTTGACACTCCGGGTGACTTGAAGCTGGGGCATCAAACGTTGAAGACGTTGAACAGGCAACTAGCTAGAAGGCAAGCTCTAAGTTAACGACTTCTAACGAACATCAACAATTAGATTATAGATGGGATGTTATCTTATCGTCACACGTGAGGGTGAGAAATGTGCGGGGTGGGGTTGACGAAGGGTCTTTGCCAGAATGACCTAAGGGGGAAACTACACGAGAGAAAAAAAAGAGAACGGCGGCAGCTGCGATGGGTACTAGCCAGCGAACAAACAAAGGTGAGTTCATCCGCTGTTGAATACGAGGCTAGCGCGCTTACGCGACCATAGAGTTCGACGGCAATCTGTGCCCACTCTGAGCGACGAGGGCCATTGACACTGGCGGTAGCACAAGCGAGACGAAGCAGTGGATTGCGCATCCAGCGTAGATGAGGCGACCACGCGCCAGGATCACTATGGTGAGGAATGGTGTAACGGAGGGGCAACGCCCATGTCCAATGTTCCCTCTCCCGACGCCACACCTCACAAACGCACTCCCAATGGCCTCCATCCTCGCGGATGCCTGCTAGAGGTAGAGTGACCTCGTGGTGAGCTGTCGTCGACCCGAAAACGCGCCGAAAAAACTGAACGGCTCGTCGCCACGCTGTCCGCCATTTCAGGTCAAGGTTCCTATTCGCCGACTGCTAGCTCTTCGCCTAATGTGACATCATCCGCGTCCCTGCACAGCCTCAATGCGGCGAGAGCCCTTGTCCTCGAGTACGAAGAGAGTTTCTCCAAAGCGGAGCAGGCAAGAGATGAGGCAGAGGCTCAAAGACGGATGATGTTGGGTCACTGGCAGCAACTGGAGCGATACCTCCAGGGTCTTGAGTTTCACGCCTCAGACGCTAGAGCCGGGTTCGCTAGGATCGTAGCAGACGGTGGTGGGCCGTTGGTACTGGCAGATCTCAACGCTCTACCTGCTGCTAGTTGCTCGCTATTCTCATCTTCGTCTACGATGGGGCCTCCGTCTACCAAGGGCCCACACCGAAACAATTCTACCGGCTCGATGGCATCGACAAGCAATCGTACTACCCATTATCCCTTATCGTCACTACCTCTTCCTCCCCAGGTAGCCGGGTCAGAAATCGCGATAGCAGTATGGATGAAGCTTCTCAGCCACCTCCGAAGAAACCTCGAATTGTTTACGCTGAACCGGTAAGTTAACCCCCGTGTTGAAGAGACGTCGGCTCTAACGGGTTAGCGCGACTACAGTCTAATTCCCCTCATCTCTCGAACGCACAGTACGCCCAACAACAATCTTATGGCACGCCGACTCTTCACGCTATTTCACGCAAAGACGCGATGCATGTCCAGTACGTAGATCAGCATGGACAACCAATTGCGCCATCAAAACATGAATATCCTTCTCCGTATCCCCCTCCCCACACGATCCAGGTAATGAATACCTCGCTTTGTCTTCATGACATATCGGGCTGACACGCCACGCAAGCAGTGTACCACCATCCCCAGGCCCGCTTGATCAACGATAGATATGGCGCCTCACTGAACCTTCACCACCCTCGCTCACGTTCTCGCTCGCGTTCCTCTAGCGCGGAATCGGAAAACATCGACGAACTTCTCCTAGCTGCTACAGACGACGGAAATCAGCCGCAATTCCCTCATGGGAATCCAAATCATCCTAACCCACCACATCAGCAGCCACGCTCGAATGGTCAAGTTGTGAATGGTATCCACCATCACGGACATCACCCTGCGACCCATAGTCCTAACGCGCCGCCATATCAGCCACATCATCCATCCCTTTTACCCCAACCAGGCCAGGTCCAAACGTATCAGACGCACGTCTTCGCGCCGGTGGTGACGGGCGCTCCGGTGAAGAAGAGCAAGTTCGGCGCCAGTGGAAGTTCGAGCAATCTAACAGGTGCATAGTTTCTTCAGAGACGACAGAATCGAATACTCACCCCCTCGCAGCGAATGGCTCCCAAAGCCAGGGCGACGTAAACGGCGTACAGTCGGCCCCTCCCCCACCTTCGTTTCCGCCGGCGAATGCTCAGGGTCAACGCATATGCAGACAGTGCGGGTTGCCTGGTCGGTACAAAGAGGGAAAGTGTGTTGAGAAATGGGGACCAGGGCCTGAAGGCCCAGGCACCGTATGCGATAGGTGGGTGATGATGTTGGCCATAAGATCATTGCTTCGGCCGTCAGAACACATCGCCCGCTCAGCTCGCAAAGTGCGTTCGACTTCAGACGGCCAGAAGGCGGCTTCTACGTTCGTGAGTGCGTGAGTGCGTGAGCTTGGGCTAGGGGAATTTGGGCTTGGGTATTTGCGTTCTGCGTCGTGGGTTCTGCGGTGTGGGCTGGGAGTTGGGGAGGCGGCGTGATGATGAGTTAGCGATGCGATCAGCATGCTGTGGGTTGCTGATCATCCCTGGCCTGCCGTGTAGCCGTTTCGAGTCCGAACGAACGCAGACCTCTCGCATTGCAATCTGTCTAACGAAAACTAGTATCGTACTGTAGTAGTGAATGTACACGTAGACTAGTATGTAGTCTAATAAAAATGCGAGGGTCCGCCTCCGGCAGGACAAGTCCGTGCGACACCTGAGTGAACTATGTGTGATAAACGATGAGTCCGAGAGCGAGAAAGAACGTATAAGAGACTTCGGATGCTTCGGACGCTTCAGATGGCTTCGGACGCGCTCGGACACAGAACAAACAACTCGGCTTCGGATAGTACGACGAGGACGGCAAGAGAATGATAAGGACGGCAGGAGAAAGTAGCTTCGGATCGGACTCGGACTCGGACAACGGCGAACTCTGACAACGGATGAGGAGAAAGCTCTCGGACGACTTAGATTCTGACTCGATGTGGGGGGGAAACAAGCTTAGTTCTTCTAACTACGAGTACAGGAGGCTTTTGTAGCTAAGAAAAATGTCAGATGAAGGAAAAGTCCGAGACGAAAAGGCACCAGGAACGAATAATGGTGCTAGTATAGTCCAAGTATTAGAGTCCGAAAACAAAAGATATACGAAAGATTGATCCGAGCTGTCTGATCCATTATCACGTGTGTCCGCTACGGGTTCGTGACGTCCGAGTCATGTGCGAGCGTGTCCGAAGAGTCGGAGAGGGGTCAATAGGGGATAGGGGAGGTCGGACTGCACGGAACGAAAGGGTTCAACCCTTACAGTACATTCGTCTGAATCGAGTTTCGTTCTCTAATATACGAAGGAGAACAAGTACAGACGGCAAAAGATAGAAAATACATCATGGATTTCACTAGACACAAGAAACGGAGTACGGAAGGACCAACAATATCGTGGGCAGAGAGGTGAGTGGGAGGTGCTAGGCCGACGGTTCGAAGTGGTGAGGCGTGGCGCGATCTACGGGGTATGGTAGGCGGACGGCCGTCGAATCACTGATAGAATACGCACTGGTTGAGTCAATACACCCTTTACGATAACTCCTTGTCGTTCGTCCTTCTTTGGGTCATGCCAGGCGGGCGGTGTAGCCCACTGGATATTTGCGTGAGTGCTTTCGTATGTTGGAATGTGAAGTCGGCACGGGAGAATGGTTCTGTAAAGTTTTTCAGTAGACTGAGTCGCCGCCGGTCGTGTAGAGGTACTCATCTTTGAAGTAGTTACCTCTGTATGTGTACAAGCGCGCAAACGATGCTGGTATGGTCTGTGGTGCCAAAATATAAGCAAAATGTAGCGATTTCTTGTATCTAATAGACTTCCCTAATGAAATTGATGAGGGTGATTGGTCGTGGCGCGGAGAGATGACTTACCCAACTAAATCCATGCCCTGCGCGGTCATGGGCACGCCGTTCGCCCAGACTGTAATCCCCGTCGCGATGAACTTCTTCGTCATGCGCAAATGGATTGTCGCGACCGGTCGTCCGGTGATATACACTCGCATGGTCGCGTGTTGGTGGGGATCCTTGCGATTTCCATGCTTACTGTGACTACAAGAGGTGAGCGTGGCGCAATACGAGTAGAGTTACTTACACGATGTTCCAGCGTTCGATCTCGCGCGCGTCGAATTCAAGCGCGGCGTCGATCCGTTGTTTCCACACGATCAGTGCTACTTGGGCGGCGATTTCCAACGCCGTTCAGTCTGCGCGGCGCGTGGGGCTCGATAGAAGGGTGGAGATGATGTATAGCAGTGTCATACTACGAGTGGTGAGTTGTAGCGGGAGTAGGAGCGAGGGAATACATACTTTGGCGTTTAGGTTGGTGGTAGTAAAGACAAAGTGTTGAACGGGATAAGGCGGGCCGGGTCGATCATGATCGAAGGTCGACCCAAAGATGACGTATTTTGATCATGATCGAAAGATGCGTCGACGTCGACCCGAAGATGACGTATTTCGATCATGATCGAGCGATCTTGATTTGGCATTCGCAGAGTTGTCGAAGTCGCGTCGATGTATTACTTAAGGCTGCGTCGCCTGCCTTGCTATTCTCTACGCTGCTTATCCTACAACCATCACCTCCTCCCCCCCGATGTCTGCGTCCTCCCCTAATCCTGAGAGCTCAGCGGCCCGTTCAACTTCGCCGTCGGCGTCACGCTCGACATCGCCGTCAGCGTCAAGCGAATATGAGCCGCATTCAGACGGCCCTAACAGCAAGATGCGTTTGGGGGTGGCGATGGCGATGGCGCTGGCGACGGCGATGGCGCAGACGACGAGACTGGCGAGAGGATTGTAAAGAAACCTCGTAAATCGAAGGTCACAACGATGCAGCTGTTGCCAGGGGAGCTGAATGGGCAAATAGAGTTCCGTCGAGGGCAAGTTATCCGCAAATGATCTTGCGAAAGCCCTGCATGGCTATTTCTACAAGCCGTTGCATAAGAGTGTGTCGGAGGAACAGGCTTTGGCGAGACTGATCGTCGGCTACAGGATGGTTAACATGGAACAATTGGTGAGTGAGATGAGGGGCAAAGTATTATATACTCATCGTGTTTAGGATCGAGCCTTCGCGGACGTGAAGTCGTCTTATACGTACGGGCCTAGTTGGGTGAAAAGTGAGTTCATGGTCATCAACAATTTGGAGTTGGAGAAGGAGAGAATACAAGAGTCAGAGAAGGTATGCGTCGTTCAACACAGGGATAAGGATTCGTTGGCTAATTGTTCAGCTTTTGATTGAGTGTGGGATGAAGCAAGGAAGTGCTGGCTTGTTGGAGGGGATCTTCTTAACCATGGCAGCGCTGCGTCTAGCGATCGCAGTGTTTGTCGAAAAATGTAAGGGTTCCTAAGGAGGATTGAGAGCCACGGTCGGCCTCCGGGTATACCTAATCATGGTCAGCATCAAATTCATGCGGATGATTGTGCGTACGTACAGCCCCGCGCGCTGTTTCGGACGATTGAGACTTCGACAAAAGTGAACTGGACCCTGGTTGGCGAGTGCCACTGGTGCTCGAGTGCTCCGCATCGCTTGTAGCGTTGACGTTTGCTACTTGGTGAGGAGGATACGCGTAACGCGGAGGAACAGGCGGTAGGTGCTAAAGAGAGACTATGGGTGGGCAGTTTCAAGGGTTACCGACAGGATTACTCACCTTTTGATTTTCACAATAATCACACAGCGTGCTACCTGACAACGAGTGGCAGGAGATTATCAACCTGTGTTCTTTGTTTACTAACCCTCACACATCTAGTTCCGTGGTTAACCTCTGGTTGATAGAGTGTCCTGCCCGTGTAGATACATTTGATTGTTCACACGTAGATAAATAGGTAGTCTGAATTATGTAGTCCCTCGCGCGTTTGCAAGGGTCAACTGCTATTCCGTACGCCCGAGTAACCGCGAAGAAACGGTTATTTCTACACTATTTATGAATCAATAGGACCCGTACAGGCCATGCATTGCAGTGGCTACAGCCCCAAGTTGTATGTTTCCCCTTCTCACTGGGCGTGATACACGCCAACGACGAGATCACGCCCTTCGTACATCGTATCCCTGTTTTCTACAACACGGTAAGCAGCGCTCTTGGTAGGACCAGTCACCACTGTGTGCTCAACCTCGCTTGGACATTTGTGCTGTTGGTCATGGGCGCTTGTTTGGCGCTCCCCATGATTTGGACACCATACACGCAACAACAACGCACTCGCTCTATTGTCTTTGTGAACAATAGGCGAGGCAACGGTCAGACCCCGACAACGACATGCAAGCCACTCCTCGCTCCTCGCTCCTTGCTTCTTTACCACCATCATCACCACCACCATTATGCACCGTAATCTGTGCCTCCTGCCGCCGGGCATTCTAGCATTTCTCCGCATATTTATTTTGCATTTATTGGTAGGTTTTCCTTGATACTTCACGAAGATGATGGCTAGACTTACCTCGCAGAACTCACAAATGGACGGTCGCCACCGATAGTGGTGTGTGCTGTGTGCGCCAGGACAGTGCCTTCAAGGGTAATCGAATAAGACCAGTAAGTGCTAGTCTTCGAGGAAACATATCGCGGCTCATTTCTCAAAGTTGCCGCCACAACAATACCTTACAGCTTCTACCTGGACAGTATACGTCCACGATGAACCCCCAACCCCAACTCCTCCATGACATCCTAACGTCGCCCACATCATCCTTATCATCTCCTGGTTTCAGGCCACCAACATCAACCTCCCGCTGGACCTTGTGCTGGATCCAGGGATCGCCGTATTCCCCCCAGCCCCCCTATGCCGGCCAATCTGCCTTCGCGCCACTTCCAATCTCGGCAAACTCCTGCGATCCAGTCCGTCGCGCTCTCATCCAACACCTGGATCGCCCTCGACAACCGCGCCGTGCTCTGGGACTCGCTCGAGTACCGGCGGGGTGTGCTCGGCCGCGGGGTCCTGCTCTTGTGAAACTTGCGCACCAGGGCATTTCGGTGCGACATGCCAGAGCTGTGAGGCTGGGTTCGTTGCACGTCGTGTGATGAGGAGATCGCGGTGTCGGGCAGGTGCCTGGACTCCCCAGTGAAGAATGTCCCCGCGACGTGCAACTGTCTGAACGGCATCTGCGGCGCAAACGGCGAGTGCGCGTGCAACGCGGGGTTCGTGAAGGCGGATAACGGTACTGCGTGCGCCAAATGCGACAACGCGGGTTCTGACCGCACCAAGGGCACACCAGTGCCCACATCGAAGTCCAGCGGCACTATCTGCCCTCAAGGTACGTCATACCTTCCTTTTCATATTCTCAACCTTTAACTATAACTAATCTTTATAACAGTCGAACAATGCAACGATTACAGCCAGTGGCTGTACAGCCGCCTCCGAATTGCATCTTACGCAGCCCCTGCTTTGCGTCCGTCTTCCTCATCCCCAATGACCTCCTTGCCGCCGCGAACGTGGCCCTCTACGGTGGTGGCTGCAAATTGCGCAAGCGCCTTGCCTTATCGGGTAGTTCCGGTTGGGCGCTTAATCAATGGGTAAAACCCATTGTCTACCCAGCCCCCCGCGCAGCACACGCTACTGCCTTCACTGTACGGGCACCCAGGCAGCCCGCACTGAGGGATGAAGCTTTGTAGACTATACTAATTAATACATACTGGAACATCCGTTATAACTGTGAATGCTCCCAATACAAGTTTGAATTAATGTGAACACTGTACGGCCACCCAGGTAGCACGCGGTGAGAGAGGAAGCTCTGTAGTCTATATTTTATGTCCTAGCACTCATTTAAATGTCTATTGCACTATTGAAGACTCACAAGACAGGTTTCAACGAATGTCAGACACTGCACAGGCTATTGAGGCGCCCGCACAGAGGGGACTCGACTTTTCAATCATGATCATATGTAGTTACTGCGATTAACCCCGCGTAGCTGAGCGTGAGGACGCGCATCGAGGCCAGTAATCACGAAATCAAGTGTACGGTCTTGAAACAAGGGAGGACTTATAGGGATGCTGTTCAAAGACAGTCCTCGTCAACTGTCCATTCCAGAATAATTAGCTGTTCAAGTTGCTGGAGATGTTGACAGCTTGAACGACACATCACGCTGTCACAGTCTAGTGTCACACGCGCACTTGCTTCGAACCACGAACGGCCACTGTGTACTTGCAATGTTCAGTATGATCTTTTTGACTGATGGGCCGACAAGTCACCCATGCTCACATTTGTTTCCGCAGACAACCAAGCTACTACATCTGAATGTCAAGCGCTGTGTCTATAGAAATTGCAATTCAGCGTTGAATTCACGCTTGGTGACCAACTTCCCTTGAGGGTTGCCCGCGACAAATGTGACAGTTTGCCCCGCTGCCGCCGAAAGATTCGGGCCCCATGAGAAGGGACGCGGCGGTTTGCGTTGCACAGGCAGCTTCGCGAATGGTGCTGCATGCCCCCTCCTGCTCGCTGTCGTGCCAGAGCTGCTCGGGCGGGACATTGAACGACTGCACAGTCTGCGTGTAGGATCCCCGAGTTCAACCGGGCGTCGACGGCGAGCAAGCTCCAGTGCACGGCGTGCATACCAGGTTCATTCCTCTCGAACAGGCAGTGCGTTGACGCGTGTCCCGCTGGGACGGCTGTCTCGTCGCAAGACAATTTTAGCTGCACACATACATACGTCCCCCCTTCTCATACGTCCCCCCTTCTGTGGGAATTGCTTTATTGACCGTGTGAACATTACTCCTATCCTTAACCCATTGGCTGGCACTGTCCGACTCATAAGTCCTGGACCGGCACGTCCTAAGACTAACGGCGAATGTGGCGTACTATGTACATGGCTATCTTGAGTCTGAGATAGTAGCGGCCAATGGGATTGCAGTTTCTGGATCATAGCATGGAAAACAATGAAACTTTGACTATTTCGTCTACTGTAAATTATCCAGACCACTCCCATTGGCCGCTACTATCTCAGACTCAAGATAGCCATGTACATAGTACACCGCATTCGCCGTTAGTCTTAGGACGTGCCGGCCCAGGACTTATGAGTCGGACAGTGCCAGCCAATGGGTTAAGGATAGGAGTAATGTTCACACGGTCAATAAAGCAATCCCCACAGTCAGTCAGTGCCTTTCACCAACGAGCATGAAATTGCTACTTGTTGGTGCATCGACCTGCGCTGGACAGGCTGGGGAGGCCTTCTACATGTCTGCACGAAGATCGCCTTCTTTCTTAGAGGTACAATGTATCATCAGTAAATAGGAAGGGTAGCAGTCACGCTGAAGACCGACGAGCGTATACCACGACACGAAATATTGATACAACTAGTGATATCGTCGAGCTGGACTGGACTGAGACCTCGGTTCCGCACCCGCAGCTCACAGTGACATGCGTGCTGGAGCTTGCGCAGGAGCCTTCCGAAGGGTTCTCCGAGTCATCGTCTTTTCGAGTGATATTCCACGCCCAGAAAAAACCGGTCTTTATGCTTGAGTAGGCGGAGACAGTCTAAAGAAAGGTAATTGATGGGGTGAAGCCTAAGTGGTGTGAGTGGGGATGCTAATGTTAATGTCGGTGGAAGTCGATCATGATTGCGCACGAGGGGCGGCGGAAATGGCTGGATTGGTGCCGATGGTCCCACTGAAAGTATCATCCTCTTGCGGTACGCCATTAGCGATGGGTAGGTAATGGTTGCGATACGGGTGCCTGAGTTAGCGTTCGAAAACGCCCTCTTCCTTCAATTACTGCTCAATTCAACTATAGGTGACTTCTGGGGCTCTACAGTTGAGGACAGTCAAACACCGCTAAAAAATTAGAGTATTTAATTCACCCCCGGACTTGCGCGGGATGTGTAGCGGCTCGGAAATGCGTTAGAATGATACCGGGCTCAAGAGAATCTGACGAGCCGTTCTTCCTAAATAAGCCAATTACTGAAAAAGTAGCCCAAATTTTGGCGCAAGTCAAAAACAATTGATAAAATCACAGAAAAATCGCCAAACGCTTCCTTTCAATTAGTAGATCATGGATCCGAAAGATCGTAAGGATCCATCGAGCCATTGTTGAGGGAAAAAATGTTTAAGTTTGTGATTCATGGTGTCGGAGATACATGATAAACTGATAATTGTGTGCTGCGCCACAACATACAGCCCGTTCCTTCGAATAACATGAAGCGACGGGGGCGCCCACCGAAACGAGTGAAGCAGAATATCATTGGCCTTCGAAACCAGTCTGACTCTGCGTCGGTGTCACCCAGTCCCGCAGCATCTGATCAGGAAGGCCGGGAAATTATTCCTGAGCTCGTATCGGAATCCGATGGCCTCCAGGTCATTTTTGATAGTGTTAGGGTGAGCTGGGAGCAGGAGGACGACACATGGGACGAGTCAGACGTTGATGAAGAAACTGAACTTGATAGGATGGCTGATGAGGAACTGGCAAGGAAATTAGCAGATATGGCAGAGGAAGCGGATGCTGCTGATGGGGAGTGGCTGCCACCGGGGTTAAGACAGCCAGTAAGGACAGCGAAAGGTGCGAGAAGATTAAAATGCGTAGAGATCTCATTTATTCACCGTTGTATTTTGAGCAGAGCGTCCTCACGAGTACGTTACAGGCCCTGATGTCTCGCGCCAATCGGTTCGCAGTCAGCAACGTTATCGTAAAGCTTGGATCGGACAGACTCGCCTCGATGAATACAATTTTCGCACCGTACAAACAACCCCGAAATCCCAACTGTTAGATGTGAAAGATGCTGGTGAGAGTGCGGGGAATGTTGATCAGACAGAGCATGCGGTCATCAGCTTGAATAGCAGTGAATCGGAGGACAACGAACAGCCAAGCAATAGGCCATTAATTCCATTGCGCAAGAAGACTCTTGTGCGACGCGCATCCACGACACCAAGCATTTCCGATGATGAGCACCCAGGCCTGGCCATGACACCAGTCATGTCCAACGAAAGTCCCGCTCCCAGTCCGATGCGCTCCTTAGCTCCTTCAGATGCAGAACGGGATAATGAAGATATAGAGGGTGAGATTGGGCGTGCAATGGATCTGGATGATGAAGACAGCGAAGCATGGGAAGAGGAACTCGATGACAACATTTCTAATCCAAAGGTTGAAGTCCGCTCTTGGGAGGATCTACGAACGAAAATCAAAGGCGAGCTAAAGAAGAATAGCAAGAACCTCCCTTTATCGCAGCTGAATCAGCTAATGATCCTGGCCAACTTTGCCACTTTGCGCATCAAGGGGACCTCTCGCATCCAAGCCAGCCTTGAGATTGCACGTCTATGGCATGAAAAGACTGGCAATTGGTTCGCTCGTCGTGTTCGAGACTTGGCACGACATTACCAGAACTTCGAACAACTTCCAAAGGAACGGCGAGGTGGAGTGCGCATGTGCCGCTCTTGGCTTCATGATCCCGCTGTGCGATCTCGCGTTCGATGCTTCCTCAGAAATGTGCCTACTGGCAAAGTAACACCCCAAGTACTCAGCAAGCATGTCAACGACACAATCTTCCCCGAGCTCGGGATCAATCCTAAGAAACCTCTCAGTAACCGTGCTGGCGCTCGTTGGCTTCAGAAGTTGGGATGGCGTCACACACTGGTGAAGAAAGGAGTGTATATGGATGGGCATGAGCGTGTTGATGTTGTCCAATACAGGAATGAGGTCTTTCTTCCGCAAATGGCCAAATACGAAGCGCGCATGGTCCATTACGAGGGGCCTGAGTTGAGGCGAGTGGAACCAACACTTGCAGAGGGAGAAGAAGAGATAATTCCCTTATTCCACGATGAATCATGCTTCCATGCAAACGATCAGACAAACCGAGCGTGGTTGGTTTAATCTCACGGGCAATCACTTGCGATAACTAATAATAATACTTCAGGTTACAACCTGGTGAACAGCCGCTTCGCAAGAAAGGAAGGGGCAGGTTAATCCATGTATCTGACTTCATCAATCCAGAAACTGGGCGGCTTGTGGTTATTGATGAACATGGCACGATCACACATGATGCGCGGAAAATCATATTTCCTGGCTCCAATGGAGATGCATGGTGGGATACGAAACAGCTCCTTGAGCAATTGAAGACTGCCATTACAATCTTTGAGAAAGCACATTCCGGCAAACGCGCGCTATTCATCTTCGATCAGTCCTCCGCTCACGCGTCCCTTCCAGCCAATGCTTTGAAAGCATTTGACATGAATAAGAGTGATGGTGGGAAGCAAAGACATCAACAGGACACAATCATCCCAACGTCAAATCCAGATTCACGGTTCCGAGGAAAGCCTCAAAAGATGACACTGCCGAACGGATCTCCTAAGGGGTTGAAGTCGGTCTTGGAAGAGCGAGGGTTTAACGTCACAAAGCTTCGTGCCAAGTGCTCCCCTGTCTGTCCATTTGAGAACCAGGACTGCTGCATGGCTCGGTTGCTCAGTCAGCAGGACGACTTCAAGAATCAGCCATCAATGGTCGAGACATTGATCACAGATGCGGGGCATTACTGTATTTTCTTGCCTAAATTTCACTGTGAACTCAATCCAATAGAAATGGTGGGTGTTATTCAATTATTGCATACAGTTATTCACTCTATCATTATTTCAAGTACTGGGGATGGTGCAAATACCGATATCGTGAGGCGGACAAGAAGACTTTCGAAGAAGCAAAGCAAGTAGCAATCCGTTGTCTTGATGGTTGTCCTGCGGAGGTAATCCGTCGGTTCATCAATCGTTCTTGGCGATTTATGAGTGCATATCGGCTTGGTTTGACAGGGAGGGCAGCAGAGTGGGCGGTGCGAAAGCAGAGGCAACATCGCTCAGTCTCACGATCGGCGATGATGGCACTTGAGTCAATCTTATTGCACTAGGGGCTACTAGGGGTAGTTAGTCGGCATCTGAAAGGCCCACAGAGGTACACACAATTCGATTTTTTGGGCCAAAAATATTGGCGCCGCCAAGTTCTCGTGGGAAAAACCTCGGAGTTGGTTTTTCTGACGCTTTTGACCATCCTGAGTCTGAATCTGGATACGGTTTGCCTCCAAAAAATCTGGTTCACGTGCTAGCGTTTTTGCGGTGTTTGACTGTCCTCAACTGTAGTTCAGACGCAAGAGGACCTCTGAGCACTTTCTCCGGCACGATGATCTTCGATTGACAAAAGTGAGACAGAACATACCAGAGTGGTCATGCACCCGTTCTATTTCCCCAACGCCTCTATTAACGCCTCTCTTGATGGGCTCAGATTCGAGACAACCCACGTTCTTGAGGATCTTCGGCAGGCGGGCTGGAAACGGCATTAGCACGCTAGGGAAGAACTAAGTAGTATTCAGCCCACGAAGTCCCACCAGTGGTGCTGAATCCTGATACGTGACCAACCTCCTTGTCCTCCCATTCTTCTCATTCTCTATCATATGGGTCGCGTCACGACTCCAGGCATTTCCGCGCTGCGAAAGATCAGCCGAGCTTGAAATCAACGTCTACATATTTGTGGTCAACTTAAGCCAAAACCGTTGGCCACAGCAAAGAACGCACCGTGCAATACACAAACGAACCTCCAGCGGCGATTCACGCACACGTTTAATTCTCCTGTGAGCGAATCAGAAATGCATGGTGAAAACCAGGCGTAAGTTGGTGATGTAGGGCCTTAGAGGGGGGCGTCTATCTGAGCATGGATTGTGCGAACTTGAGATCAGGGGGCGAGTACATAGTGCTCTTCTCAAAAATCTGACGCGAATTCCACGGAAATTTGAGTGGTTTGAGCGGTCTATGTGACATGTACAACAACGGACCATATATTTCGGCGAAAAATTATTGGGACGAGGGCAAATCGCCAACGTTAAACCGCCAGGGAATCCTTTCTTCGACTAGGCCCATTAAGCCTGCCAGGTCACTGAGTGAGAGACGGCAGTAGGAGTATCAGCTTGATCTTGAGTAGGCAACACCTGGGAGCCAGGAAACTCAACGGCACGTCTGTACCATTTGTTCCATTCCTCAGATTGATACACGACTCAAAAGAAAGTCAATAGTACCTGAATACTCTATCCGATGTAATAATGCAATTTGCATACCATCAACGATTCCTTGCCTTTGAGGATCCTTGTCACTCTCGGCGCTTGGGGCTTTACTGATCTGAAGGCGGCCTGTGAAACGTCAGCGACGAGTTGCAAAAGTAGTAGGTCCACTTACTGGCCAACTCAACAGCGCGTCCAGTGTCTTCCCACCACCTCTTCCATTCGTGGGCACGGTGAAATGCCGGACCGCGGTAATTGCCATTGTACATTTGAATAGTGTGATGTATGGGGAGCAAGGTAACGTCCACAACGACCAGGACGACCAGCGTCTTGACAGTATCGAGCATCCTAAGCCCAAAGGCCTTCGCCGTCGTTTCATGAAGTGAATAGCATCGCAAATACTTCAGCTTCGTCGCGGTTAATGCATCGTAGTTTATATCGCGCTCCTTGGGAATGGAGAATTAGGTGAGAAGAAGCGAGGGCAGTGAGGGAAAGCAATGCGTACCAATGTGAATGCAGACTTTAACCAGAGGTATTCGAGCTGGGGAAAGCTGGACACGATCGGAGCGAGACTGGTAAAGCGGACGTTGCTCAGGCAGAGTGCCGTAATCGAGGAAAAGGATGCCAGTTGACGGACTAGTTCTGCGTCTTCCATTGGCGAGATGTAATCATAAAGCTTGAGGTTGACGAGCGAAGGGAGTGAGTTCTCGAAGAACACCACCAATCCCAATAACGCCATTGGCCCAGTCCAGGCCGAGGATTTTGCGGCTTCCGTCTTTGCGTTTTCGCCTGCTTAGAATAGGGAGAAAGCGCTGTGATCTTCAGTGCGTGTAATCGAGCCTTGTCCTCCTCCGAATCGTTAGCGCAGGACGTGAGGAGGGATATGACATGTTTCGTTATTTCCACTTGACCCGCGTTCGCTTTTGACGCTCCACCTAGGTCCTCTTCTGTCGAGCATTGTATGAACACGGTTGGGAAGATATAGCCGTTACGACGGGGCCAGGGGAAAGATGAACCCTCCAGCCGTCCTAGTACCTCCTGGCTATTCGTAATTGCGCTCTGTAATTTCCCTTCGTAGAACTCCCCTGATGGAAACGCAGCAAGCTCGGTGGGGAATCAATATTGCACCTTGTTTCGCAGTAAGTTGATGAAGGTGTACTTGATAGGCCAATACGTACATCCAGCATTGTTCGGGACACCATAGGGAGGTTTGGCCCGTATACAGCCCCTCAAATAGAGACACATACTCCAATGCTTTCGCCATGTGCCGAACCGTTGGACGAAGTTGCACGCTGTCCGTGCCGGGCTGAAATCGTCAACGAAAGTGGAACAACTTACTGGTCACCGACAAGCACCGCTCTTTTGACACCTTTCACGAGGGGTATCAACGCGCAGGGCTCCGTGATCTGCGATGCCTTGTCTATCAACGCGATCTCAAAGTCGACCTTCCGCAGAATACCCAGCCCAGCGCCTGGGCAGACAACCCTGTACTGAGCACTGTCCATCGTAATCCACAAAACGGTACTGACCTGCACAAGTTGTGAAGATAATAACCGCGGATTTGACTCTAGCTAGGGCTTGCTTGGCCAACTTGTTGTTCTCGTTCAAATCCCGCCCACCCGGTGCATCAATGGTGTAATGTTGCAATGATTTGTTGACCTTGGATTGGTCGGTCGCCACCCGAAGGATCTGATCCTCCGTCAGAAGGTGGGCTTTCTTGTTGAGGATGATGAAGCGTTCTAGGACGTTGTCGACCGCTACAGAACAAATGAGGAAGCATAGAGGGGAGAGAGGCCCGCGATTACCATTGTGAGTAGACGCTGTCATTAAGATCTTGGCCTCATTGTTTGCATTCTGCAAAAGCTTTTCGGATGACTACCGTGGTCTTCCCAGTACCTACAATGTGATTAGTCCAGCGAGTGGAATTAATTAATGAACGTAGGCACCAGGAGGTCTCCAGATGAGAGACAAGGGTGCATCAGAGGCGTGGACGGCATCTGATTGACTGCGATGTAGGAGCACGTGGAAGCTCGTGGGAACAACATACTTGATGTGGTTATAGGCAATCGCATCGGCCCTGTGTCATGTAGACAATAACATTCCGATTTGAAGGTTGCTCGGGACAATGTACACTCTTTCCCCACTCAAGCGCACGACATCATGATGGTAATCACTGGACGGGGTTTGTACGCTCTGCGTTAAATCGGGATGTTCTGGATCCTTGATTCTGGCAAAGAGAGGTTCCGGATGCCACGTCCTTGTGGTACCACACGGCCTATCATGGCCTCATGAACACCGATGAACTTCTATTCGAACAAAAATCATGAAGAGCCCCCTCACAGTGCTCGCGCTGCTGCCCATCCAATGTCTGGCGCAGTATTCGTTGGTGCGAGATTACTCAGGGTCAGGCTTTTTCGACGAATGGAACTTCTTTGGCAATGGTACGTGCTTGACGTCTGGCTTGGCTTACTTCCTGGTTCAAAAATGCTCATTGGCACTTCGCAGCCGATAACCTCACCAGTGGTGATTTGTTTTACTTGGATAGAAGCGCGGCAGCTTCGCAGAAGCTTGCCTTCGTTAATGATGCAGGAAATGCAGTCGTTAGAGTTGATAACTTCACCAACGTTGCTCTCAACGACAAGCGGAACTCGATCAGAGTGGAATCCAAAGATCTGTACGACATAGGAAGTCTATGGATTATCGACACAGTATGAGCAGGGATTGAAAGGGATACGAGATGCGGCATTTATTGTAGGGGATTGGGCAATCTTCGTAAGAGCCTTCTAGCTTACACGAAAATGATAAATGATATGGTGTACTTGAGACCTGGATTGGTTTCAGCGTTGCGGGCCAGAGAAGCCAACTCGTGATCAAGGTAGTGGTGACCAAGTCCATATACCTGCTTGATATCTTGATATCTTGATACAGAGGGCGTAGAGCGACTGAGTACAGCTTCCGGCAGACGAGGAGCAGAGAGCGTAAGGTCTGGCGATCCTCACGTTTGGCCGCATTGAATTCGTCAATGATTGTGAAGAGAATCTCGGGCGATAGTTCAGAGTTAATAAACGATGCTGGATAATGCATCAATTACTTAGATCTAGGACATCCTCGAGAAGGCTCAATGTAACTTACTGACTCCAGGTGTTGTTGCCATCACGGCGGGAAGGAGGAACTTCACATGTCAGTTTCAGGGGTCAAAGGTTGTAGAGGTATGTACTTCTAATTGCACAAACAAATGCCGAAGAGAACGACAGATGTTCAAAGGAGATGATAATCAACATGGTACAATCATTAGTTTTCCAATGAGTCCCCGATCTCCACACTTGGTATCGACGGGGCTGTAACCTCTCTAGATGCTTTATCTGTGCTAACGTAGACAGACGCCCACGTACAGCAACGCAACGGCCTGAGAAAGGCGCCATTCGGGATAGCATCTATCTGCCATCTGCTCTTCAAAGCGGTTCTTTGCGATCGCCAGAATCCAACGTGAATCAGTCCCACAAAACCACAAAAGTGACAAATACTGGCCATGAGCGATCGTGTGGATATCGTGTACATGGCATACCGTGCACATGGTGTGCTGTTCAATTTCGATCACCCGATATTGCGCTATAGCTGCAAAATAGTGAATGACAAGTAGGCCTCCCTCATCCAGATACACGTACGTCCAACCGTTCCGTCGCCCCTTCTCTGTCTGACCAACCATGGTGCCCGTCCTGCATCTCGTCGTCTCTTCAGCCTGTCAGGATCATCGCGCGAGGAAGTAGAGAGAGATGAACGAGATCCAGCCCGCCCCGCTAGTTCTTAGCCTTAGCCTCAGCACAGGGAAGGTGCAAATGATTGTAGAACGAATGAGATAACATTAGTTCTCAGTCGTACCAGTATATGGTTCGAAGCTGAGGTATAGGATAAGGATGTGATTGCCTTATACGATAGGCGCTTAAGACGAAAAAGGGATAGGGGAAATAGATATATGCCGTGGTTGATTGATCCCCACTCTCAACAATGATGGCATTGGCATGCATCAATTCTGCTGGGTGTCGTCGGATCAATTCGTAAACGAAGGATATATATCGCCTGTGGGAGCACGACTGGTTCCGATTATCTTATACCAGTGAGTGCGTATCTTCACCTAGTCGAATGATCACCAGGAACTGACTGGTATACATGTGCTCATGCGCTCCGTAGGGTAAAAAGAAACAGCCTCTCTCCCTGCTCCGATCCTCCAGCATCCAAGTTTTATGACAATTCTCAAGTCCCAAACCGTCAATTAGGTCTGTTTTCTGCTGCTTTCTCCGATTCATGGGCTTACGGGGCTTGGCTTCGTTCACATTCACAGTTTACTGGTGCTTTCTTCACGGGCGTCGTGGACAACGCGTGCGCGCCATGGACCGGGTCTACGCACCTGAAGAAGATGAACAACGGAGACAACGGGAGGCCCGAGTAAAGATTTCGTACGTACATCTCCCGCCGCGGGCCTGCTCATCAATGGCCGGCCGTTGGATCGTGCCTGATATCGTACTATCGTACGTCCTTCCCACCTCGTCCCACCTCGTCCTCCCCCGTTCGCTTCACCGAAAACAACAAACCAACAAACTTCTGTAGGGTACAGCCCTCAGGCCTCATCGGCGAGGGCCTCATCCTGAACTTTCAGATATACGTTGTCGACACTGCATGCGCTGTGTCTGTCTGGTGCGTCTCCTCCCTTCATCTCCCATTCCTCCCTTCATCTCCCATTCCTCCCTCCCCTCCCCATTCCTCGCCTCTCCCCCTCCCCCCCCCACAAGCCCATCCACTAACATACACGCGGAGCGGAGGAAACGAGACGGCGGCGTGGCCCCCCTAGTCCGGCCGTTTTAGATTCTACACGCCTGGCCTTGCTTGTTGGATTGGATAATAGGTTGCTGTCGATCACTGGTTTTTCATTTCTCATTTCGTATTGGAAGAGGTGGCCTCCATTGTAATAATCCATGATTCTCGCCAGCCGCAAAGCTGCCGTACACAGATACGCAGATAACTCATAAACCATTGCTTCTGGGGGAGACAGGGCTTAGTTGCTATTTCCTATAGCGCTACCCTCGGTGTCCAGTGCAAATGATGGAAATGCTGGATAGAAAGTAGGGTCAGTACATTTTGGGGTAACGAAAAAGCGTGTACCGAAAGTTATAATGATAGCTCCACGGAGCTACGAGTGACCAAAGCACTGCGGGGGGACGACGAAGAGCATAAGTTTTCTGTAATATGGATCCGCGGGACGTGCCGGCGGTACGCTCGCTGCGAAGTGTTAGGGCAAAGGAACAAGTGTAAATTATTCGCGAGATATCTACAAAGCAAATTTGAGATCAATGTAAAGCCTAGAGTGCCTGCTATTGAGCGAAGTAGAATGGTGGTCATATAGACCAGCGCTGCCTGCTCGAAATAATCAGACAATAGGCGGATTGTGGCATGTACCAGCGGGGGCGGCATCCAAACGGTAACGGATAGTGCAAGCAGCATCAACCTACCAGCGCTCATGGATGCTCTGCTTTGTGAGATACTGGTATGTAATCGCCGTCGTTCACGACAGGACAAGTGTGGAATCTTAATATGATAGCTCGGGGCGCGAGTTGATATTTACAGCAGACGGCGCACATACACTTTGGTGGATATTGATGTTGGCTGCTTGAGTACGCGCCAATGTCCAATGTCTACTTTTGATACAATCCGCGCAGATAGCAGAGATCTGGTAATATGTTCACCAATCCGTGAACCGGGCTTACCACAGAGCGACGCGTCCACCATTCCAAAATTCATCGATCAACCTCGCGTTTCTTTTAGAGAAATCGGAAGCCAAAGCCAGCAAGAGTCCGAAAGAGCTATGACATTGGAGAGAAAGAGAGATAAACCAGAGAAAATTGAGGGAAAGAGACAGTCGGACCGCCCAAGGTTTCACGATTATCGTTTGTTCGCATTTGCACGGGCACGGGCGGCCCTTTAGAGCAAGATCACGAGAATACTATGCCGTCTTTTATACTTGAAGCGGCCCTTCCAGAACCACTAGGTTCGACCTAGGCACCAGGCATTCATCCCATCCAGCACCACGGTCCTCGAACCGTCCTTTCGCCGCTCCATTCAAGAAGCGCAGACACTATCCACCTTATCTTCACTTCAATGGGACCAAAAGAGGAACGGAACAACTTCGCATTTACAGGAGTGCACGGGGACTGGATCTGACAGGCCCAATGCATAACATTGCCACGACCCAAACCAGCAGGTAGTGGGGATCCAAATGGCACTCAATAATTATTGAGTAACTGTCCGGTCCAGAGTAACTAACTGCGGGATACAAAACGGACACTGGATAATGAATCAGTGAGGCATTCGATTGATAAACCAAAGCACCTACCTAACGAAGCCTCTCAAAGCGGAATATCTTCCTGATGCGACTGCTGAACGACATCTTCAGCTCGTCGGCCTCCTATCATCCACCTTGGTGGCATCCCATGCCATCTGTTCGAGGATCCTCCTTCTGACCCCTAGCGGTCGCGGTTCAGGAAAAGACTCGACAGCCAGCGCACTTTGATGCCTTCCCCTCCATCCCTACGCGCAGGACATGATGCGGTGTTCCCTGGTTTATCCTCGCCAGAACACTGGCAGCATGCATAGAGGAAGAGGTGGGCCGTCGTATCCAGCTTCCAACAGAAAGGCTTCCCGACAACGGTTAGCATTGCGATGACGTATTTGATGAATACTATTAAGAAAGATAAGGACGGAAGGGGAATATGAGCGTCTTAGGGCGAGGGCGGGAGACGTGCTAGGATTAACCTCATGACAGTGTTGGATACGACAGCATGAGGAGAGCATACGGTGAGCGCGGCGGTCGAGCACGCACTCCACGAAGCAGCGCACACCTATAGAGGACACAAATATGGTATTTTTGCGCGAAGAACGCAGAACCGATGGAATGAAGTAAACGGAATGATAAGATATGTGCGATAAATCATGTATCCAGGGTTGAACAGGGTGTCAACCCTGCAACATTCAAGGGGAATAAGAGCCGCCGTGACTTCAGCGTGGCTCCTTACCTTTGCACTCTTGACCTAGACGACGTCTTGCTACAACTTGTTACTTTGTACCGATTTGACCTTTACAACCGTCGGCATTGTCAATTTTTGACGGACCATATGTACATCCGAAGTCAGCGTGTTGGCAACCTTATCCAGAGAATGTGTTGTAGGATGCCTGCTACGTGTTATACTGCAGTCTCCATTCGACCCATCGATGACAACAGCGCTACCGTTAAGAAGACACGTTGCTCGTAGGGTAACGCTATGCACCGATATCGAGCCTACGGCATGCCTGGAATCACAGCTATCATTTAATTTAGTCAAACCTACTTGTCCGTTCATGTACGGTGACCCGATACCAGTAACCGCGATGTAGCTCAAAATACTTGTCGACATATATTCTACACATGAACGGTGTAGACGGCATCTGCGGAGTGTGAATTTAGGGCGTTAAATATGAGAATATTCGGCATTGGCCGAACAATGATAACTCTGTCCATCATCTAAGTATCGACGGGCTTTTCACTGGGCATCAGACTCAGTAAAAACGTGTTGGTGGTCATCGGTCTCCATTCGGGAACGTTTGGTACTCATACGTCTCCAAATGGTATTGGATCGGTATCCATTTTACCAAATCGCGGACTAGATAGTTACGGTTTGGTGGAAATTAAGGAGAGTGTGGGAGAAAATGTGTCCTGATGCGCGCTTAGAGATATTTCTCAAAATCCTGTGTAAATCTATTGTCCCCCCATAGCGCAACCTAAGAATACAAGATTTGGATACTATGGAACATCCCAAGTAATTAGAGTGGCAGTATGGACGGTGTGCTGGCCCTCAACGGCTCGAAAATGGTGAAACCAATATTTTTATTCCCACGGAAAGTCATGCATTGGTGCGCAATTCACTTATCCAACACCTTCCCACACTTTCGTTTTTACTGAGCATCAGATCTCAGATCTCGATGTGACTTATCGAGCGTTTAGGCCCTGTTCGGGATCCCCAACTACTAGTTGGGGATCGATTTAGTAAAATCACAACTAGCGAGACAAATCGTGTAATTCTCGGCGCTACATTTAGTCTAGGGCGCTACAACTAGATGATGTGACAGGAATCATGTGATGCCCCTTTAAAAGCCCCTGATAGGGGTAATGAGATAGCGTTCAACCAGTTTTGAACAGTAAAACCGTGCTTCCGTCCATCATGGTTACCTTTCACATTCCAAAGAAGGTCAAGAAGCCAGCACCTATCCACTTGCAGCACCGACAGCAGCAAATCCGACGAGCTATAGGCCTGGCTGTCTCATATACTGCCAGTGCTGTTGAATCTGCTGCTGCTGGGTCTGGAGATAGAATCCCGATGCATACATCAATTCTGACCGGTCAAAAGTGGATCAATGAACTCCTTTGGACGTGTCGCCGAGAGAACGAGTGTGAAAACGCGTCGTGCGAGCTGATATGCGTGAAACGAGGAAGACGAGAAGCTGGCAGAGTCACGCGTGACATGTTACTTAGTTGGTTCACACGTAGTTAGAGTGGCTACCGAACACCTTCCCCCAACTAGTTTAGCCATAAATCGGTTCTTACTATCCCAACTACATTCTCGCGGGCAACAACTACTAGTTGGGATCTTCCTGGGGATCCCGAACAGGGCCTTAGATTTTGAGGCAGGCACCGACTGCGAACCAAGTATTCACCCCGACATTGATCGCGAAAAAACATTTTTATTGTATATGAAACTTGTATGTACTTGCGATCGAAACAGTTCACGAGAAATATAAAGGGATGATGTACCGTTCTTCGTTGATCTCTTCTTCCTATCTCGTCCTCACTTTCTCTTCCCCTCTCCATTGGCATTCTTATCCACCCTCGCATTCCACCCCCATCAGTGGACTGATGCGTTTGAATGCATGAGCCGGTAGCGGTCATTGACTTGGAGGCAGAGGTCGAGACAGGAACGGAACGGCGCGTTCGAGGGTCCTAAGGGAGGGCCGGTGCATGTGTAAGACGATGTGAATCAGCACGAAAAAATGCTTACCGTTCAACAGCAAGTTGGCGAAGAGAATATTCCAACAATGGTATCAAGGGGTTTACAATCGCTGTTCTGCACGTACATGACAAGAATTGAGCGAGATACTGTTGACGCAACACCGGCCACTGTTTACTATGCGGCGCTGGTCCGGCCTCCATTTCTGCAAACCTGCAACAACACATGTGCCTGCTCGCAAGTCCCAAATCACGCATGTTCGCAACCGCGTCAAAGTGCTCAGCCAGTCTTTACTTGGATGCAGGAGAATCTGATCTGATCTGTGCGCTCGCAAAGCCACATCCATTGCCGTGGCCTCCATCGTCTTGCCAGCGTCTCCTTGGGAAGATAGACGTCCATCGAAATATCGACACGACGAAAGAGGAGTTTTACCGGTTGAGGGGTGCTCATTGTGCGGTTCTGACCACTTGTCTTCAGTCAGTAATTTCTGGGTATTCAGCCGCGACGACTAGACTTACTTATAGCTGCGCCAAAAAGCTCTCCAGAATCCCATCTGAATGATATCCATAAGTAAGCAAAAGATGATCATAAATAAATGAAGCCCAGCTCCCCCATCCAAGATCACGAAGAAGGATCCTGCAGTCCATTCGTGCTTTTCTGACGAAACTTCTCTGTCAGGCTCCGTGCGCGGCCTACTATCATCCTACCCAACGACTCCGACTCCGACAACATGGGCCTTTGCGTGCTCGGGCTGGACACCACAGCACCCACAATGACGGGTGCTCACCGCCCTCTGCATCGTGCGCCTCCGCCGTCACCTCCTCCACCGACACGCGAGGCTTGCCGTCGCAACTATAGTATGAACTTTCCACGCTCACGTTGTTTAACCTTGCTAGGCGCGTGACTCGGTAGAGCATGAAGATAGAATGACTTAGTGTCTTCAACCCGTCCACCTCTCACACGCAAACCACGACGACGATGAGCACGAATTGGACGCCAACGACGACGAGGGGATGCCATGGACCCTTTCTTCACTCTAACGCCCTCTCGCTCTCCATATCAAGGTTACGCGGCAGGCTCTGGTACGTAGTGTGCGGCACGGAGCATGCACCAGTGTTTCCATTCGTCTCCAAGACCAACCGACGATCGTTCAGCCAGCGAAAAGAGAGGGAGATGCAGGGAAGGTAGTGGACACGGTTGCTAAAGTGAACTACACGGAAGGTCAGTCCCCATTCCCCTGGGCGTGATTTGCTTCACGTAGGCGTTCGCAGCCGTAAGCAACGGCCGCAGGATTGCGAACGACTTCGAAAGGCAGTCCCTTCATGCTTGGCCTAGGTTCCACACACGAATACGGCCAGATTGACCTCCATTCACGGCTGGTCTACGGTTACGAAGCATCGCTAGTAATGAAGAGGAGCTCCAGAGCAAGGCACTTGAGGTGGAGGGAAAGACGGCAGCAGCAAACGGTAAGTCCCTCCAAAATAACTATGCTTTGAATCTAAGATATCTTGCGCCCATTAGCTTCGCCGAGCACGACCTCTTGAACACTCCTGGATGCCGCTCCCCAGGCTATCCCCGAAGCCGACCCAGCGATTGCGTACCTGACCTCGCGGTTCCTCGTGGTTCTACATACATACGCCAAGTACGGCTCTCGCACCTACGCATCTCATGATTGCTTAACTCCTTGCTGTACATCTTGACGGGCGGGGCGTCGTTATTACCGGTATATATTGGGTACATTCGTTTTATTTACAGTCCACAAGGACTTGGGAATTACAATCGCAGTGGCTCGTAGGCAGCGCTATAGGAACCAGACGACGGAGCCAACTTCAGCATGGTACTGAAAGCAGAAGGATACGACTTCGGATATGGATATGAAGATGCTCGATGATGGGGTGGGGTTAGACGGTGAGACGAGGTAGATGGAGCAGTTGGGATGTGATGAACGACGATGCAAGCGGCAACAGCGAAAACCAACCGAACAGAAAACAGGAAAACAAGAAAGCAGAGAGAAGGCGCGAAAAATAGCAGACATCAACGATGCGGGTACGCTGGGGAGTAGATGCAGGGGAAACAGTAAATGGACGGATCATTTGATCTCTTGCACCGAGTTGGGAGCGGTGGTGAACTCGCTCGCTGTGTCGTGGTCGCGACGAGTATCGTTCACCGTCTAAAGCCGTAAACAGGCACGAAAGGCTACAGGATGAGGGAGCGAGGACAGCCAAAGGGGAGTACTAAGAGGCTCGCAGGAGGGGAGGGGAGCAAGGATAAGGGACGGAGGAAACGTACACTGACGGTGATGATGAGCGGGAAGTCGTGGTTTATCGACGCGCCGAACGTAGGCTCGGTTAGCGGCTGTGTTGGCTGCCGGTTGTTTAGCCCGCGTGTAAAAACCACGGTATGACAGGCTGACGGTCAGACGAGCGCAGAAGGAGAAACAGAGAGGCGTACGAAGATAGTAGACAGTTTGACGGTACTAGTTACAGGTGTTAGTCAGACATTCCGCGGCGACGACGACGAGGTGGAGAAAGATGGTGACGACGAAGGCGATGAGAGAGAGGACGAACCTTTTGTTCCGCGAGCCAACACGACTAGCCACACGACTGTCCGGACGAAGTTCAGCTGGAGGGTTGGCAGCGGAGGGTGGAATGGCGAGGACTTACACGAGTCTCTGAGAGTCACGAACTATTGGTGTAGACGTAGCGGTAAGCAAAAAAGTGGAAGATCAAACAGATTGTGTCAGCACGCACCAAGATGATGACCACGACGTATATCAATCTATCCGACAAGAAGTGCTAGCATCAGCGTTCGCGTCAGAAGATACGTGACGGGGAAGGCGTACTCGGTGATCAGACACGTTTCTAAATAAATGATGTGAGGTGAAGGGGAAATCAGAGCAGAGAACGGATCTTCTTACCGCCATCATTAACCTCTCTAACCCGTCCACCCTTCAACCAACATCGAAAGCGAGCCTTGAGACGTTGCGGCAAGAGCAGCAAACGTGGCGCATGCATGGAGCATGGCGCAGGGGTCGTTGAAATGCTCTTGACTTGGTATCTCACGATACTCTCTCTCCTGCCAACCTCCTGCTCGCCGAATCTGCTCTCGTGGTATCGCGTTCGTATTCCGCGCCCATCTCTCTCCGCCGCCCATCTCCCTTGGCCGTCACTGCAGACGCGTTGCTGACTCGTTACGGAGGTATCTCCATGGGCATTCCCGTCACCTTCTCGTCGCTGACGCCCGCAGTCTCCCAGCTCTCGGACCATCCTGGAAGGACCACCTGCTCGAGCTAAGCAAAAGCGAGGGCACCGCGATCTTGATCCATCGCGGAGACCCAGTGACTCCCGACCTGGGATTCAGGAACGTCGGCATTGCATCACCGCGTCACCACATCCCCCGTTTCATATTTTCGTTCGTGTTTGCCTAAAGATTCCGAGTCAGAATCAGCGCATTCCGAGCAACATGCACACTCTAGCGTACCTGCAGTACTCCCCGTATCTTGCGCGATCTTGAATATGTAGTCACGGCGATCGCGACAGACGGGGATTCTGCGTGCATGCGTATGCGTCGAGCCCTCCTGCGCAATTGAATCCAATCGCTGCTGGCCCTGATTCATCTTCTCCGCTAAAAACACAGAGATGTTATGGTGAGTTCGTCGTCGTTACGCCCATCCGTTGGCCCGAAGCTGACACCCCTCTATGTTGTCCAGGTCGTCGATCGTCACGGGGAGGGGCACACCCCCTCCCAGCCCGTCTCGCGCGCGTGCGAGCTCTATTGTCCATGCCAAGTCCCCTTCACTTCCTCGACTATTCCATCCTCTCCCGTCCTACGATGGAAGACAGCCCGGCACCGCCGTCGTCGCAGATGCTGAGGCTGTGGCTGAGGAACTGGGACGCTGGGACGCTGAGAGGTGGGGAGACGAGGGAGGGATATGGGAGATGAATGACGCCCATTCGTCGGCCATCCATGGGCGGACGTGTAACCAAATGGAGAGGAGCTCATCGAGTCGAGGGGCACATCCTGGCTCAGCCACAGCGAGTGACCTGACCCAACTGAATCGCGGGTCTTAGAATGAGAGAGAGAGCGCCAGGCGCCAGGCGTGCGAGTGAGCCCCAGCTTGTAGGCAGGACATGTGATCTCGCCGAAGGTTGATGCTGACATCAAGGCGGCTTGCGACCACGCCGGGTAGTTGTGCGTGCATGCGCGTGTGCGTGTGCGACTGGGATCAAATCGAATCGAATCGAATCTGAGAAAAACGCGGGTCAGACGCGACGACGGCGACGAAGAGCGCGATGAAGCGCCTCCAATTGTCGTGCTCACCCAAAACCCACAAGGCCGAGTCGACGATCGCGGGGCTCTGCGACTAGTGGGGTCGACCACTGTATAGCCAAGCCACTCGGCCATTTATCCACGAACCCACGAATTACAGACTATGATCCATGAACCACGAACCATGGACTGCGGACCACCCCTCGACTCCCCGTGAAGCCAGGAACACGCAGACAGCGTGAACGATGACGACAGACCCCCAGGGCTGGCAGTTCGCAGTCGAAGAGCGGCGGCGGCGTCGTGGTCTTAGTGGTCGTCCTGTGCTAGATGGGGAAGGTGCGCCATCGTGAGGTGTGCATTGTAGGACGGGGGGCCGAGAGCGAGAGTAGGGGTTGTGGGAGAGGGACGCCCTGGCGTCCGCCGTGATGGGCACGACTCTGAGGGCCGCAGGTGGAGGAGAGGTCGGTGGTGTTGCAGTTGTAGTCAGGCTGTCGCACAGAGCGGTTGGACGGCATCAACTGGGCGCGTAGGAAATGTGAGGGGTAGAGAGGGCGCTGTGGGGCAGGATATCGTGGTGAGTGCATTTTCACGAGCCCGAGACGGGTGGTCGCCTTCTCCTTCGCTGTTTGTACTCCTCCTCGCCGACGCCAATGCCTCGCTGCGTCTCCCTCTTGCCATCTTTCGTCTATCCCCTCGGTACGCCTATACGACGTCGCTTGGTGGGATGACGGGGCGGGCCTCGGGCTCTGGTTCGGGTGTATCCGAGGTTTGAATCGCTATGCTCGCAATGGGCACTGAAGTCGATACCTTCATGTCGGAATTGCGGCCTCGGTGGAGAAGGTGGTTGAAGCTCGATCAGTGGAAGAAGAACGTTTGTGGGTGTCGCCATCGGTACTGTCGCTAACCTCACTCGACGCATGCATGTTCATCATCATCAAGGCCTCCTTCGGGAGGTCGGGGGGAGAGGTAAGTTTCGTCCACGCACTGCGGATGAAAGTTTCAGGCCAGCTTCTCTCTAGACAGGGGTTTGGCCATTTTCTTGTCCACAACCTAAGCGCCGGACATGAAAATGCCTAATATCTCCTGCTATACATCCTCTTGTCGTCGGGGGTCTACCTATATAATATTGTATATAAGGAAACACATGTGTGAAAGTGGATGAAATTGGGGGCACCATCTATACGCCAGCTCCCTCCCTCTACGCCGTCACTAGATCAAGGCAAAACAACCGGCGCCAACCAGTCAAGTTCTACCACGCAGCGTACCCATAACCGGGAGAACCCTGTTACCCGTTTCAACTCGACCAACAGCAAACCAAGACACGTTCGCAGTACCCACCAATGGCATCCCGCACTCAAAGCCCCGACTCCTCCAGACCCAAAATAGTCGCCCTCCCCAGCCTCGCATCATCTCTCTCATCCCTCCCACAAGCAAAATCAATGGCACATGTCGCTTTACACCCGAATATGTATGGTCAGAGAGCAGTGGAGAGCGAAGCCAAGGTATGGTGTGTTTTTTGGGCCCTGTTATGTTCATTTGGGAGGATTGGACTGAGATTTTGATTAGTTGCAACGCGCGCTCACGAAAAATGCGTCTCATGAAACGCAGAATACTCCGTCGCCGGTGTATAACCTCCCAGTAAGTTCTCTGTCCCTCCCATCCTTCACTCTCATTCCTCCCCACGCTCTCCCTTCCCTTCCCTACTCTACACATCACACACGATACTCACCCGCATTGCCTTTTCTTTTTCAGCCACGACCTGAATCACCGAACAACTTAAACTCACCCCTCATGATGCGCGAGCCGCAGAGACCAAAATTCTCTACATGAGGGCGCCTACTCCTACCTCACTACCTTCTACCTCACCTCCATGCTACCCCATCGCTACCTCTTCTCCGTTACTACTCCGCGGCACTCCTCCACCCCACCACTCACTCCTCCGCGAACCCACCCTCACTACACTCTCATCACTGCACCAACTAAATAGAAAACATTGATTTCAATCGAGTTGCAACGACTCACCAGGAGTACGAGGATGCATGCGGAGGTGGTGGTAATGGAGGATGCGGAGGGAAGTGGATGAGGGGAGAGGAGGAGGCATTGGCATTCCTTTTTTGTTTTCTTTTCATGGGACTTTGTAGACTATACTCGCTGTTCTCTCCCTCACTTCATCCTATAATCCTGTTCTACCACTCCACACCCAACTACTCACCCCGTATCACTGCTTTGCTCTCCGTTTTTTTTTTTCAACATGTAGATTTCTCCCTCGCTTTACTACTCTCTTGGGTTCCGGCTGTCCATGTTACGTCGCATATAAGCATATCACTCAAGTCTCGTGCATACATAGATCTCTCGTTTTCTTTTGGTTGATTAGTTAGTCAGTCATTCATATTCAATTTGGTATCTTTCACAGTATGATCCTTGCCTTCCTTGCTTGAATCGCTCTATTAGTTGTCCTACTTGCACCTCTATTTATACTACCCATCACTCCGAGCTTAGGGTTACAATCATTCCCTGTCACCAAATAACTCTTTGTCAAACAACGCCTCTTACGATCACGGCTCGGATTCACGTCCACAGTCAATAAGCCTGAGTGATGATTCTTCGAATCCCAATGCCTCGAACTCGCTCAATACCACCGGGCTTGGGCTTATCTGCTCAGCAGAGGAGTGGGTCTTGGGAGTCGACCGATGACGAGTAGTGGAGGTGTTGTGAGTGGGGTTGGCGCGTTGGCTTTGATTGATCGCCAGGGGCAGGGTCAACAACAACCACAACATCAAGAAGGTGGTCGAAGAGGGTCGTTGAATGGGAGTAGGAGAGCGTCGCCTCCGCCTGAATGTGTGCTTACGAGGTCCTCGAGCGGAGGGACTGGGTCTGGTGGAGGTGAAGGACAACCGGACTCTGCGGCGAGTATATCGTCTGCTTCGTTATCGTCTACAGGGGGTGGTGGAGGAGGAGGTATGGGCGGTGGTGGCGGAGGTGCGTGCGAGCGGGACATCTTCCCCTACTTCCACGATCAGCCATGGCCTTCACCGTATGCTCGCTCGAGCAGTGGGGCCTTTCTCGCACCACGTTCCCCAATCAACAGTGGCGCGGAGCTCGCTTTCGGCGGGGGACGACTGTTGTTCCCTGAATTTGGGCAAGAGTGCGACGTCAGTAGACGCTCTGGAAGTGTTGGAATACTGGGGGGTGAAGGGGGGGGCTCGTCCACGGTGTAAGTTGGTAATCGCAGATCACAAGTTTGCGCTGAAATCGTCCCTATACTACTGCTGTATAGGCATCGTATCTGCTCGCGTTGGGGTGGGATCGTTCTGACTGGAGGGGTTTGTTCTGCGTTGTGGGTTGCCCCCACGGCATTCGCAGTCTGTGCTGCAAGCGGTTGCCTTGCTAGCTTCCGCCGCCGTTCAACACGTTCCACCTTCTTGCAGCATCTACAATTCACCATCAGCGGTGACCGCATGCCCGAAGCCATCACTTACCTATCACACATGGTCGCCCCCGAGGCCCCGGTCCCCATTTTTCCACATATTTGCACTACGCCGTCTACATATGCGTTGTCCCTGAGCATTTGTCGACGGAAAGGAAGGTGGCAGAGGGGCAGACTGAACACCGTTTACATGGCCGTGGCTTTGCGGGCCATTCACTACGAGGGAAAGAATAAGCAACAGATCGTGTCGTCACTACGAAATCTACAATTGCCCAAACTTCCACCAGCGCCGAACTTATTGGGCGCTGCATGGGCCGGGATAATGAGATCGCGAGGGTGATAGGGCGGCGGGTCTTTGGGGGGGGGGGGGGGGTGCTTCGATAAGCACTTGTTGGAAATCGTGGGGGCGTATGGAGATGGAAGGGAAGGATCTGAAATGGATCCCAGCTGGCGTATCGTCCCATCTTCCGAGGACAGTGCCGCTTCTTCCCTTCCTGGCACGAGAACTGTCGTTGCAGGGGTCGTTAAGCCGATGGGAGTGGTATTTGCGGACGAAACATACCTTGGGTTCTGCTAATCGCCCCTCCGCCTGCTGCTCTAGTAGCGGTCGAATGGAAACCGACCCCCCAGCCATGGGGTTGAACTGGCTGCGCTATTTAGACCTGTAGATATCTCTTTCCCCCATCTCTCAATTCCATCCGCCGTAGGTTGGAGATAATCTGCGCCAATGACTTTGTGAGTAGAACGATCACGATGGGGGGATGGAGTACTTACGAAATGAATCCAGCGCCGTTCCGTCGGGAAGGAGTGAAGAATTGGCGACGGGAGATGGTGAGACGAGAGACCTCCAAAAATGCAAAACTCTTTCTCTGGAGATTCTCCAGAGAAAGCGCCTGCAAGCACGTGGGATGGCGGTGATGGTGCCACGCGGCACAGCAATTCCTGCCTCCGACGCCGCCTCATCTTCAGCGGAAAACCCTCAGTCCAACAGCGACCTCACCATTCTCTCAACGGCATCCCTCACTACGGCCAACATCATTCCATCGGCGCACAAATCACCTCTTTCCATCGTTCTGATCTCTCAGAATGGCTCGCTGCTGGCTACTGCCTCAGTTAATGGCACAGTAATTCGCGTATGGAGCGTGCTGAAAGCGGATAAGTTGTACAATTTCAGACTGAGGTCGAGAGGGGCGAGGATATATACCATCGCTTTCAATCCCAGTTCGGCAAACAAGACAGTTCATGTCTTCAAACTTCGCCGTAGCGCGGAAGAGTCGAAGGCACCTACGGAGACGACATCGGTCAGCGAAACTGGATCAATCGAGAGGCGGGATGGCCCTTTGGAAGGAGGATAAGAGGCCTATCTCGATGAGAGAAAGAAGGCCAGCGAAAGTGGCGTCTCGTGAGTATACATCACTCTGTTCTTCCTTCTCATCCATCTTTACTCATTTTCCATCCTGAAGGTCTTCCCTACGACGAAAGACAATGCAATTTTCCAAGACTTCCGCCGTTGGTGGAGACGTGAGAGCCATCGCGTGGCCGAGGATGCCCAGTACCCCGCCTGGGGTGAGATCCTATCATTGGTTTGAGCAGGTGCGTTATTCCACCATCCCTTTTCTGTTCCTTCGCTCAATGCTCTTCTTTGCTACGACCAGGACGATGCCCCAGATCATGGTCATCTCCAAAGGCTACTTCTACCCATACAACATTGATCCGGAGCGTGTTGGCGAGTGTACTCTCATGAAGTAGTTGTATGTACATACGACATACGTTGGATCCTTGACGTCCCTAGCATTATGAACTCAGGGATTCCAAATGCAGGAGCTCGTAGATAGTACTGTAGTTCCATAACAAATGCAGGAATTCGCGTCGCCGGACTGTGGTGATTTGCTAGAACAGACGAACAAGCGCGGTGCGTGAGTTCCAGCACAACTCGACTTCGGAACTAACTCACCTTATTTATCCAGCATTTCAACCCGTGTTCGTAGTTTCGGCGGGGGCGTTGGCACTGGGCATTGATATTCATATTGAGTTTGGTTTGATTCGATTGCGTGCTGTGTTGTGTGGGGTACCGGCGATGTGGGGTCGAGGAACTGCGATCTGGCGCAGGTGGGGAGGCAGCAGCCGTTGGCGAGGACGGGGCGGGCAGGCGGGCAGGTGGTGCACTGGGTGAAGGCGCCACCTGAGCATGATGCGCAGTCGGGGTGGCACGACGTGCATGTGGTTGAGGAGAAGGAGGAAAATGTGTTCGAAGAGCTGGCTTGCACACACTTCCCGTCTGAGGTGGCGAGCTGGTTGTTCGCGCAGGTCAGGCAAAACTTGGGGTCGCCGGCGCAGGTGCAGGACGAGTCGCATGCTATAGAAAGAAGAAATCATTAGTGCAAAGGAAGGGGGAAGAGAAAGGAGGGGAAGACGTACGAGTGCAGGTAAAATTGTCTTGCGACGAGACAACTGTCCAAGCGGTACACGCGTCGACGCACTGCCCATTTGAGAGGAAGGAGCCCGGTATGCACGCTGTGCACTGTAGCTTGCTCGCCGTCGACACCTGGTCAGAGTTGGGAATCCGGCAGGCAGAACACTTCGCGGGGCACGCTAGACAACGCAAACAACTCAAATGCAGACCAATCAACACCGTTGCACTTCTGGCAGATAAAAAGGGAGACACGAACCATCGCACGATCTCTTGTTGATGTCCGCAATACGTGATGAGCCCTCACACACGCCGTCAGCACTCGCGCGCACGCAGCCGTCGTTGAACGCGAGGCACACGCCCGTGCCATCGTATCGATCGCAGCCCAGTTGACAAACTAAGAAGAGAAGAACAGGGTGAGTTATATGTTTGACGAGAAAGAGAATTTAACTCACGTTTACAGTCGCCGGTAGACGTCTGGAAGAACCTGCTGTCTCACTTGGCACACGCAGTCCTGTTGTCCGCCTTCACGAACCCAGCATTGCATGCGCAATCACCGTTGGCGCCGCAGACGCCGTTCAGACAGTTGCACTTCGCGGGGGCATTCTTCACTGGGGATTCCAGGCACCTGAACGGTTCTGCTACTGACAGTGGCGGTGGTGGTGGTGTTGGTGGAAGAGAGGATAAGAACAGGCGCAACCGCGCGCTCGCCGCTGACTCGCAATGTGAGGCGATGGCGGAGTTTGCAAAGTTTGAACTCCCGCGCCAGGTGATGGTTTGTCCCTATAGATATAGATACAGATATGTCGTCCTGGTCCCCTCAACCGGCAGTATTGCAGGAAATCCTGCAAACAATACATGAATTAACGAACATGAACGTTACCGTCGTGCAGCGAAATATCACCCAGGTCAGTTTGCACAGCGTTGGCAGATGGTCCATATATAAGCTAATATGGTCGTCACCGACGTCTTCAGAAACTGAGCAAGTTCTCGGGTGTGCCGGACTACATTGCACATCTAGCCCATATCCTCACTACAACTCAAGAGGAGGTTCGCGTTCGAACAATTGCTGGAGACCTTTTGCAGAAAAATTCGCGCCTTATTCTAAACGCCACTCCAGAAGTTGTCGCCTATGTCAAGGTTGCAGTGTTGCAGGCATTCACCGATTCGACAGTGATGATTCGCAATACCGCCGGTCGGGGTATAGTGGTGTTTCTGGGGGTCCTCGAACCGAGGAATTGGCTAGAGTGCCTTCAACAGTTGGTCAACTCGCTTGACTCGGAGGATGTGGAACATCAAGAGGTAAGTAGCCATTATCCGACCCTCCTTCTGTTTACTCGACCGTTTTATCTGTCCAATGCCCTAGCGTGACATTCATTTCGCTTCGTACTGATTCTGGTATCCCAGGCTGCATTCAATGTCTTGGAAAAAACCTGCGAGGACTACCCTCGCCAATTGGATGCAATCTTCAGGCCCAGGGGCGGCCGACCTTTGGACCTCATGATCTCCAAGTTTCTCGCACTTACTGAACACCCTTCCGCCAGGATGCGAGCCCACGCAGTGGCTTGCCTCTCATATTTAGTCCCCGTGAAGTGTCGATCCCTCTTCGTTCATATCGACGCTTTCATCGTCGCTTTATCCAAGCGTACTTTGGACGAGGATCCTCAAGTACGGCGTCATGTCTGTCAGGCCCTTGTGCTCCTTCTCGCCGCCTGTCCCGAGAAGCTCATGCCGGAGATGACCAATTTCACCGAATATATGCTCTCCTCTACAAAGGACAAGAACGAGAAGGTCGCTTTGGAAGCATGCAAGTTTTGGTTTAATTTTGTCGAGGACGCACATCTTACCGAATATCTGCACCCGCTGCTCGGGCGGGTGGCACCTGTCTTGCTTGATTGTATGGTTTTTGGCGACGATGATCTGCTCTGGTTGGAAGGAGACGCAGAAGACGCTGCCGTCCCTGACAAAGGCACGGACATCAAACCACGGCATTGCGGTGGCAAGTCACATGGATTGGAACGCGAGGAGAGTGGCGCTCCTGCGGGGGAGGAAGCGCAAGCTGGCGCCAAAGGCCGTGTTGGTGCATATGGCGAGGAGACTCACGACCTTGATGATGACTTCGCTGAGGAGTTATCCACCTACTGCAGTCTTCGCACACATGCCGCAACGGCTTTTACAGTAGTGGCGGATCGGTTTGGGGCCGATCTGTTGAACGTCCTGCTTGGGCCGATAAAGGAAAAACTGTCGAGTAACAACTGGCGTCAGAGAGAAAGTGGTATCTTGGCGCTGGGTGCCATGTCCGAAGGTATGCTGTCTTTAGATCTCACCGGATCTCATTTCGTTTGACGTTTTCGAAGGATGCATTGGGGCTATTGAAGCTTACCTCAGCACTCTAGTCCCTTACCTCATTTATACACTGAATGATCCCGAAGTCAGTGCTCTCACCGTCGCGAGTTGAGTTTGCTAAGCTATCGTCCCCAGCGACTTGTTCGATCAATGACTTGTCGGACCCTCGGTCGTTATGCTAGCTGGATCTGCCGGTCACTCACCGAGACGCACATGATCCAGTACTTTGTACCAACCATGGAAGGCGTAAGAACCCATCCTTGATACGAAAGGCACCTTAGTTAAGACTGTCTTTCAGCTGCTTCTCATGGTCATAGACAACGACAACCGTGTCCAAGAAGCCGGGTGTAGCGCCTTCATAACTTTGGCAGAGGAGGCTGGGATGGAGCTAGTACCCTACCTCGCGGTCGTCCTTCGCATTCTCGTCCTCGCATTCGAGAGATATCAACACGAAAACATGCGCTTCTGGTATGAGGCCGTTGGTACGCTGGGAAATACTGTTGGCCGCCAGCTCTCGAATCCAGTATATGTGGACATATTGATGCCTTCGCTCGCAACTCGATGGTCTCAACTGAAAGACGACGACAAGGACCTGATCCCGCTGCTGGAGGTTAGTGTCTCCGTCAATTACATCCCTTCCTTTGAGTAACGTCGCGTACAGTGCCTCGCGTACATGACCATCGATATGGGTCCTTCTTTTGCCCCTTACGCCGGTCCAATCTTTGAGCGATGCAGCAACATTATACAAAAGCTGCTGCCCGAGTACCAACAGAACCCCGAGCTCGAGGAACCTTTCTTTGTGCGTGCCTTGCAATTGTTATCCGGCCTGACTCAAGGGCTAGGAATGGCTTTGGAGCCGTTCCTGAGCCAGAGTCAGCTCGTGCAACTCGTCACCCTCTGCCTGAAACTTCCTCAGGCTCTTGCTAGACAGTCCGCATACGAACTCATTGGCGAACTCGCCATGAGCTGCTTCACCATCCTCCGCCCTCACATGCCTGCTATCATGCCAGGGTTGATGCTGCAGCTTGATCTTGAGCCTGAATTTGGGTTTGTGAACACGTCAAAGAACGCCACTTGGTCCATTGGTGAAGTTGCGTTACGCTACGGCCGTGGTGTGTGATTCTCCTACCGTCTACATCCTTCTCTAACGATGTTCTCCGTAGATGATCAAGAATTCCAACAATGGGTGAACCCTTTAATCGCGAGGTTGATTCCCATCCTACTACACCCCAAGGCCCCTCCGACTCTACATAAAAATGCCGTTGTTTTGATAGGAATAATAGGTCTAGTACACCCCGATCTTGTCGCTCCTCATCTGCCGCAATTCGCGCAGGTGTGGTGCGAGTCCGTCCATGGGGTCTGGGACGACAAAGAGAAAGACACAGCATTCAGAGGGTTCTGCACCCTTGTTCAAACGAACCCTGCGGGTATCTCTAAGGTACGCTTCCGTCACCCTGTTGTACGGCGCTTGCTAACTAACGCCACTTAGTCGCTGTTGTGGTTCTGCGACGCAATCGTCAGATGGACACAACTATCCGCAGTATTAGACCACATGTTCCGACGACTTCTGCAGGGCTTAAAGGGTAACGAGGTGATAGAATGGGCTGCACAGGTACCCCAATTCCCGCCCGTTATTCAAGAACGTCTCGCTGCCCGCTATGGCGTGTAATACGTTGGCAAAACATTGCTCGGTCAGAGGTGGTCTTTGAAGTCGGTCCTGATGACCCTGTGTCGGACCACAGTTTTGATGGCACCCTGGTCGATGCTTCGCAGCCAGAAACCGGTACCCATGCAGATAGTGACACCAAGGGCCGAAAGATGCGCAGTGAGCCTCACAACACAGATCCCCAGAACCAAGTTACCGCTTAACCGTACCCTTTGCACTCCCTCCACTGTTCGTTCATATCTTAACAAACCATCATGTAAAAATGCCTCGCTAGCTATGTACCGGTATCTAGATACCCGTTGTTGACCTCGAATGCGCATGAATATGCGTATAATCCCAACCATCCTCATTCTCATCACTCGTCTTCCCATCTCAACTCGCAACAACAACACCAACACCAACACTCCAACGCGAACCATACCAATGGTACGGATACCACTCACCCCTCCGCCCCCTCGCATGAATTCCGTAGACGCGATGCCGAACAACGTGCTTCGACGCTGCGTTCCGATGAACTTATTAGGAAAGTCGAGCCCCATCGCGTGTTTTGTAACTTGTGTGAGAAGTGGGTGCAGCTAAAGCGGCATAGCCCGTATTGTGCGTACCCTTGGCGTCAGCATCGGGAGAAGTGTATAGCGAGGCAGTGAGTGCTTCGTTTTTTTTTATTTCTGCTTCTATTGTTTTTTTTTTTCATTTTGGGGGTTTTTCTGTTGCTAACGTTTGCGATATAGTCAACGACGGATGGAGAAGGAGGCTGCTATCGCCAATATGCGTGCTCGTCGTCCTCGAGCTTCGGGCCGCAGTATGGGCATGAGTATGGGGAACGATATGGGTATGGGGCAGGAGTTGGGTCTTGATGCTGATGGAGATGCTGATGCCTATGGGGAAGTCGATGCGGACGGGGACGTCGATACGTCCGTGCCTATGACCAATGGATCTCAAGGAGGACGAGGAGGAACGGGAGGAGGAGGGGATAGAAGTAGAGATGAGGACGAAGATGGAGAGGGGGATGCGGATGATTTGGATTTGGAGAGTGAGGAAGGTGTGGAAGGAGGGAGTGGGGATGAACATGGGAGAAGGAGGAAGAGGAGAAGGATGAGTAATGGGTTGGGCGTTGGGGTTGGTGCGAATGGCATTGCGAGAGGCGCAAATGGGAAACATGTTTCGGGACATCCTCTTGGTGGGACGAGAGGGGTAGGGATGTATGGGAATGGGAATGGGAACGGGAATGGGAGTATGAATGGTGGTGGTGGGCCGATGATGATTGACGAGTTGGGCGCTGAAGGTGAAGACGACGTCGATGCTGAGGGGGAGCCATACTCGGAGGACCAGATCGTTAGGACGTATTCGCCTTTGCATTACGCACACCAACAACAGCATCAACACCAGCAACAGCAACAACAACGGCAGCAGTATAATCGTCGGCAAGGAGGTCAAGGAGGTCAAGGTCAAGGTATGATGAGGATGGGTTCGGGGAGAGGAAGTATGGGAGGTTATTCGAGATGGGGAGGTCAACCTGTTGCGTTGGCTGATTTGGATAGTTTGCCTGGTCGGTGAGTTATCTCCCACTTTTCATTTCTATCGTTCTACTTTCTATTTCATTATACTCGACTCTAAGTCTCATGATTACGCAGCCGCAACTTCATCTTCCTCGCTATCGACCATCTCTTCTGCACGACATATGAGAACTCGGATGATATGACCATCTCGTCTCTCCTGATTTACCTCAACGCGGCCATGCCACCTGACAAACACGAGGACTTTGATACTCCGGAAGTCGTGAAGGCGGTCGCTGTGTTCAAGGAGAAGGGTAAAGTCATATTTGAGGGAGATACGTTGAGATTGGTGGATTGAACGTCTTCGATGGAAAGTGGACAGTATCGGTGTATGGGGATAAAGGTATAATGGATGAGGGAGCCATGCTATGTTGGGTTGGGTGATGGTGAATGGCTAACGGTGCTTATGCATACCTCCCGATCAACTTGGATATACCCGCGTACGCCTTGGGTCACTGGGTCCTTTCGCTGCGCCGCCCATCATGCATGCATCAATGCTAGCGCTCGCCGCTGTCCACTCTTCCATCATACGTGTCTCTTTGTTCTACCTCCCCCTTCTCTTCCCCTCTTCTCGCCTTCCGAACGAATCCCGATTTCCGACTTGCGACCTGCGAACCAAACCAAGGAGCGATACGTCCTCGAATTTCATACCCCGTGCATTTCATCTGTTCCCATCTCCCGTGCAAGTGATCATACCTCCTCCTGGTCCCCACGCCCTGCTTTTTTGCTGTTCAGCTGTTCAATGCCTCAACCATTCAACCGTTTCGCCTTGTTCATCTTCGTCTTCGTGGCGCCTTTTGTGGTGTCTGTTTGTGGCGTTTGTTTTTCCGAATTTCCGAATTTCGGCAAGTCCACGACACGACACGATTACGCCCACGATACGATACAAGGTGCGAAAATGTTTATGATAAACATATCTGCAGTGTCCCTTGGCTGGTTTTGGAGAATGGGGTCTCGAACGTAACATGCGCGCTTGAGGATCCGATGTTTCCTCCATGCAAAGTGGTTTGGAGGTTTTACTCGCTCGTTTGATATTGCATCCCACTCCGCCTCACTCCGCCTTCGAATCACTGCATTCCTTTCTTGGACTTTGGACTCGATGTTTATGTTTCTTGATATCTCCCCATCCCCATCTCATCCATCCCAATCCCGGTTAACTATGTGTATTGTTTTGCCGTTGCTTTATCCATCCATCACTTAACATCATCATTCATCATTTACGGCCATATCTCCCGCATCGAACCTTGAACATATCCATGTTTCACCTTCCTACGGACATCCCATTCCGCAGCTGTCATTGTTATTCGACCCTCGCGTTCTTGTTTTGGTTGTTGTGCCCGTTAGTTAGTGCCCCCTTATATGTTTCTTACTTCCTTTATCTTTCTTGCTTGCTACCATCCCCCGTGCTCCGCTAATCACACCCAACTTATTATTCCTTTATACTGCTTTCCTTCCATTTCACGCCCACGCTTCTTGCTGCGTACCGAGGACTCGGTCACTCTCCAGGACCCTACATCTATCATAACATCTCCGCCGCCGTGTGTTTTACATGTTTTTTGATACGTGTTTTTGATGTTTTGCTTTGTTTCTATTTCTTCCTTTCTCCTTTTCTACTGTTTGACGTATTTCTATTATTTGTTTTGTTTGTTTTATCCATTTCCCCGTCGATTTCGCCCTGCGCCGACGCCGACGCACGCCACTGCTCACCGCGAGCTAGGCTGTTCAATCCTATGTCGTAGTAGGGTTGGCTTCTCGCCTAACGACGTATGGGTTCTTGACCATCACTTCCCCGGCAGTTCTATTCGCCTCCGGTACGGCAGACATCGCCACTGAGACAAGCGTCGACGCGGCTCCTTGATCAAATTCTTCCCTGCTTTCTTTGACTTAGAACTCGCCCTCCACCATCTATCATCATCATTATCGAATCCGAAATGGCCGACTATCATCAACCGTCGCCTCAACGAGCAATTCAAAACATCTCTTCATGCCATATATTTATCAAAGCCGCCTCCGTCTTGCTACCTCGACACTTGCTGCAAATCAAAAAGCCCATCATAGACACGCCTCTCGCAATCATCAATTTATAATCAGTGTTATACGACAAAACATACATACATACCCAGATATCTTGCACGCACACAGAATCAATGTATAGCGATAGCCTTTCTTGTCTTTCTCGTTTTCTTGACCATGTATGATTTTGTACTATGTACTAGCTACATACAGAACTCAATCTCAACCATATTTTGCAATCTATATATTTTATCTAAGTTTGATGCTAACCCTCATGATGCGTGTACGTCGCACACGCACACATATGTTCCGACTGAACATACATATTTCGTCCTTGAGAACACCCCAGAGTGTTTGCACCAGGTGTGCATTGCATTCCAGCGCACCTGAGAGTATGCTTGTTATCGCAGTCGGGAGAACGATGGGAGCCGTCGAAGGCTTTTGATGGAAGGTAAGATAAGGCTGTGCCAGTGAAGCCAAGCCGATGAAGTCGTGGAGGAAAGCCAAAGTAAGGCGGGGATCGCGTGGGAGCTGCATAATTTCGTAGTTGTGGCTTGGTGTCCACACGGATATTGCCGGCTCGTGGGAACCAACTGTACAGTACCTTCGAGTCTTTTTATCGGCGCGAAACTCTTCCCGGTTCTTCCCCCCTGCTGTTTCCTGCGATTTTCTTGTTTGCGCCTTTTGACTCGTCTTTTGGTTTCCCTTCGGACTTTTTCGCATTTATCATCCCTTCACGCATGAGACGGCAGCGGGGGATCTCCAGAGATAATTGATCTTTGGGGTGTTCATCATGTTGGGGTTTGCCCTCTTGTTCCACTGGTACGTGACGGTTCGCAACTAGTCGACCAATTTGGGCTTCCATGTCACACAGGCTGGCGCCCATTCGTCCCCGCTAGTTAGGCGGTCCCCGAGCGTATGCCGGACATCTCCTACATCTGTACGTCGGTGAACGCATCAGTACCACGTAGGTTAACGGCCTTACATCTCCCATCTTTCTCAGTTCCGCCCAAATCGCATTGTTAACTTATTGTTAACTTAACGGCCACTCTGCCTGTGCCCTCGTCTTTATCAAGCATCTCTCACAGCAGTACGTCGGTCATCGCATTAGTACCATACGCTAACGGCCTTATATCTCCCGCCTTATCTCAGTTCCGCCCAAGCCGCATTGTTAACTTATCGCTCTCGTCAGTGCCTAGCATATGTCACAAGTGGTATGTCGGTCATCGCATCTGTACTACATATGCTGACAGCCTCGTGTCTCCTGCCTTTCTCAGTTCGCCCGCATTGCATTGTTAACTTATTGGCCACTCTGCCCGTGCCCTCGTTTTTATCAAGCATTTCCTACAGTAGTACGCCGGTCATCGCATCTGTCCTAAATGTACTGACGGTCTTACGTGTTTCGCCTATCTCAGTCTCGCCTCCGTGGATATAATGTAGTAAAGCCACAGCACGTTGTGAGGGCTGGCCACCCTCGCCGTGTGTTTGTGTGCTTACCCCTAGTACTTACTCTTCGCGTACCTTATGCATCTGCGATAAGAAAACTGTGAAAGATACCCCCCCCAGGTTGACCCTCAGTAAAAACGTGTTGGTGGTCATCGGTCTCCATTCGGGAACGTTTGGTACTCATACGTCTCCAAATGGTATTGGATCGGTATCCATTTTACCAAATCGCGGACTAGATAGTTACGGTTTGGTGGAAATTAAGGAGAGTGTGGGAGAAAATGTGTCCTGATGCGCGCTTAGAGATATTTCTCAAAATCCTGTGTAAATCTATTGTCCCCCCATAGCGCAACCTAAGAATACAAGATTTGGATACTATGGAACATCCCAAGTAATTAGAGTGGCAGTATGGACGGTGTGCTGGCCCTCAACGGCTCGAAAATGGTGAAACCAATATTTTTATTCCCACGGAAAGTCATGCATTGGTGCGCAATTCACTTATCCAACACCTTCCCACACTTTCGTTTTTACTGAGGTTGACCCTTAAGCACTGCCACAACAGTTTTGCGACGAGTTTTGCGAGATCATACTCAGTGTTTTGCCTAAGTCTGTGTGAGTCATAAAATAATGACTTAGCCGGACCTAGGCCGGAATATTTACCGTAAAATGACTTGAAAATGATTTTGTGGGTCCCTTTCGGGTATCGAAGAAAACAGGTCAAGTCAAGTCTGTTAGTGTCTAAGTCAGTCATGGAAAGTCAGGCCACCATGTTCAACGCAACAGTCGCTCACGGTCAGTGATGGTCAGGTTAAGTCAAGTACAAAACCGTTCTCAGGCAATAAAATAAATTCATACTAATAGTAAACATGATGCAATATATATATGTAATCTGGAGGCGGGCGTAGTGGGCGGGGTGGGGTAGAAAGCCATCCATGGAGGCCGGCAGGGGTAGTTGGTTGGTAAGAAGGGGTGGGATCGTTTGGATACAAGGATATAGCTGAGTCATACATACAACTGGTTGGCTGGAGGCATCGCATTGACGTTGAAATATAAGGTACTCACAAACCCCCTCCGTGTCCATGGCATGATGATTGCGTGTATTGAGTGGTCTGGAAGCTTGAACTTGAGTATGAGAGTCGGAATAGTTAGCGAAGCGCGTAGGGGAATGGGAATCCTGCCAGTAGTCTGTTTGCCAGGCGCGTGGATCCAGAGAGTTGGAGCAGTTGTTATCCACACAGGGCGCGTTACGGCGAGAAGAGATGTCAAGAGCTTCAATTCAGGGCCGCATTGAATGCCCCAAGTGTTGTGAACGGTTGTCGAAGAAATAAGTGGACATTGGGGATGTTGGTGAGGAGTTGAAACGTCGAAACGTTGAAGTCCAACAATTGAACTGGCCATCGAAATCAAAAAAGATTATGTAATTGAAGACAGGGGTCACCAGCGCCTGTCACCAGTATTCATGCTCTTCCAAGTCTCTCGTCTCGTATCTAAATACCCCTGCATTATCCGACATTCAGCACCCTCAAGATACCCCCTTTGTCACTTCCTGAGCAACTGCTCTTAGGCTAGAGCCTTAATGTTCTCTCGATTAATGCATCTTCGCCCCTGGGATTAGTTCCCCTTACATAAGCAATGTCTGAATCCTATTACTTTACGCTCCCATTCCCAGTCAAACTAAGTCACTGTAAGTTTGCTTTTCACTGACTTAAATTTCGTCGTGACCTTTCGCACAAGATCAAAAGAGGAAGGTGCCGGAATTTTTACATCAAAAGTACGGAAACTGACGAATTCCATCAAAAAATGGACTTACGTGGACTATATGCTGACTTAGGCAAAATACTGAGCATCAGCTCGGAACAAAGAAAGCCATAATGATGAACGGGATGTCGCCGAAGAGGGTGGCTTCTATGGGGAAGCGCTATGGGAGCTTGACGGTAAGGATACAATGGTGACATGGGAGTCCCGCGCCTCAAATGGTCGGAGGAAGGTGCCAGAGCGCCGGCCATGTATATACATATATCATACACTTCGTGATGTCAACCCTGGAATTCTGGATTGAATGCGAAGGCGGGGAGCGATACCGGACTACTCTGTTTCGATGGGAACTCCGTCACTTGAGCTGGGGTGAGTACCTGGGTGCTTCTGTTGCGAAACGTCTGGTTCGGAAGGTCGATGGGAAACATCATTGAGAGTGGGTTTCTGATCAATGGGGGCGGGGGGTCCCAGTACGGAAGGGACGGGGTTGCTTTTTGAGTCAGGAACTGCCTCTTTCGGCGGTTCTGTCGCAACGGGTACCTTCTTCTTCCTCATACCACGGCGGCTTTCCAATGGGTATTCGCATTGCAGCGAACGTCGTTGGCACTGACTACGATTGGCGTTCAAAAAGTTAGCCTTTACTCCATCAAGGATGATTAAGAAGCATGAAAGCATAAACCCCGACAAGCCCTTGTCAGGACCATGTCTGACACGCTAAAGCCGCGTGATGCCCACCTTATGCCCCTCGCAATGTGGACACCAGAAAATAAGCTGTCAGCCAGAAGGCGGGAGGGCGGACACACTCATGCGGTTGTTGGGATGCGAAAGGCCCACGGTGCTATCTGCAAGGCCAAACGATTGGAGAATTCCAAGCTCCAGGTGACGCAAGTCACCGGGGTAAAATGAGAATAAAACATCCCAGAATACCGATGGCAGTGAATGAAAACGATGTACTCACTTGCACGTGCGATCCTTGCTCCCGGGCAAAGGCGGCCCACAGGCGATCTTTCTACCTCGGCAGAAGAGGCAGGCCAACGGGGGTTTCTTCTCGGGTGGCTTCTCGTCTAACAGCGGGCTTAAGGGAGCTGGGGACATCTCAGGCTCGAGGGAATACGAAGAAGCGGGGTATGTCTCGAGTCGTGGGGATGGCGATCTCCGAGAGCGACTGGGACTACCTAGTAAACGATGATGAGACTGCCTATAACGAATGTGATGGGCATGGTAGGGACGGCTGGTCGCTTGGCGGGAATAGGCGGAAGAAGACCTTACTGGGGAACGGTGACAGAATGTGCTAGTAGTAGGCGATGCCGGCGTATCGAATGGAGGCGGGGTGGGATCTAGACTAGCCAGCGTACCAGAGCCGTGTTCATATTGCGACCACTCGGGGTGTGCTTCTCCGTGGTCCGATGGGGTACTCGAGTCTACACAAGTCTCGTACCGGTGATATTTCCAATGGCCGCCAGCGACTTTCATCGCTATACCATGCTCAGTATATACGGGTGTCATTGGCGAATCGACAACAAGGTGGGGCGGAACCGCCGCCACTGCGGGAGAGGCGCAAATGGACTCGTGGACTGGAGCGCCTCTCTATAATTATAATTAAGTCAGTATATAGACCAATTGAATCGTTACATAAAGAAACGTACGTTGGGCTGAGTGTCGTAAGAATACGTCGCCTTCGTCAGGCTGCTATCATTAGTTTCACGTTGGGTATGAGAAAGAACGAGAACGGTAGAGTCATCCTCCGAGAAACATGGGGGGTAGTCGCTATCCTTGATTTCCCTTGCGACTCGCGGGAGATACTGGCCAGTCGTACGGTCGTAGAACCACTCGCATGACAGTGGCACCATCGGGGGTAACCTGGCAGCGGGGAACGTGCGGTAGAACTCTTCTTCAATTTCACGAACTGTCTCGGCAAATGCGCCAGTTGACTCAGTATCATCCTCGAGCATCTGCCAAAGACGTCACGTCAGTCGTGCCTAGACAGTGGGGCGTACCAAGGTTACGACGCACCATATTCTGCCCACTGTAAACAGACATAGGGAACACTTCTGAAGGGCTTTGCGTAGCCAGGGCTCGAGGTACCTGCTGGGTGCCATGCGTGGATGAGAGGTAATCGTAATTAAGGCGATTCATAGTTGTAAGTGTAATACTGCAATAAGCGGGGAAATTTTGGAGAAGAGGGGGAATGAGTAAAGCAGTAAACTAGAGTAATATAATAATGATCATAGATCCGAAAGGATTGTTTACGAGGTCGACACAGTGAAGGACGCTAACCTTGACAGGTTTCGTCATCTGACCCTTTCTGATTACGAGAGTGCCAAATATCAGGATTACTGCCTTATCCGACGACACCCAGCAGAGGGTTTAAATTTTAACTTCCGGCTGCCCAGCACATTTAGTGAACGGCTGTCGCAGACATTAATGATAATGAACAACCATGAGAGAGATCAGTAACAAGTTCCCCTGGTATAAGAGACCGTTCTCACCCTCAGTTAAGGTTTCTCCGTGTGAAGAGGCCAATCAGGAGGCAGTAGTCGGAGCAATAGCAACTGACCTGAACTAACCTAAAGCATCGTAGACCTTGAGCTTGAGGCTTGAGGCCCCCGCTTATCTTGCTATGCACGATCGATGTTTTTTGCGTCAACACCAATCTGCAACGCGAGGCGGGACCGGCGCGCCATGGCGTAGCGCGTGTGGTAGCGCGTGCACGCTGACGTCTTCAAGTTGTACCTTCTGTAGAAATAGTATGGGAATGCGACCTCAATGAATTCGGTCTCGCCTCAGAGCCAGAAGGCATTGCGTCCGGCATGGAGGACCCAGGTCGGCTCCAGGGACTGACTTCGCCTGAGAAGTGCTGGGAAGCCACTGGGAAGGTTCAACAAAATAAAAGAAATCCCCGAAAAGAGGGTTCAGGAATCAGCGCCCCTTGACATCGCCTTCACCAAACTCAACTCACGGAAGGATAGCGGAGCTATGAATCAGCGTTTCACCCGAACTGACCACTCTTGGCGAGACATTCGATTGGTCAATGGGGTTGAGCGCGCAACCAAGTTAGTCCCATTCTCTTGGAGAAGCGATGCGGCAGGGACGTTCGCTACCAAAATGATGACGCCTCTATGGCTTCAATGAGGCGTGCGTAGACGGAAATACATTGAAGCCGGATGCTTGTTGGAGAAGCGATAACTGCTATATATTTAGCCTAGCCAAGACGAACTCACCCCTTCGGTAGTGTGCAGATATAAGAAGATTTGTTTCGTATTCCAATGAAATAGCGGTGTGAGATCTGCAGCATTGCATGGGCGCGTGGGTTCGTAGAGAGACGATGAAGCGACGAGGTGGTAGTATTATTAATACGTGTGCGTAGAGCCCATAGGGTTAAAAAGGGCCCTTTCGTAGCGGATGAGAGCGCACCAGCAGTAACATTGAATCGCACTACGCCGACTTCTTGCGTTTGGTTGTTTGTATCATCGAGGATTCCCTATAACCCCCGTATTAACTTCACCAAGGTGAGACCACTATCAGCACGCACACTCGTATTGACCCAATGGTCAAGTTTCCTCGGGGTTCTGCCGTGAAGACGAAAGTGGATGGTGTGATGGCCAGCAAGAGGCCCATCAAGCACGATGATAGTAGCGAAGAGCCATTATTCAGTCTCGAGAAGATACTATGCATATCGTCGAGTCAGTTTCTGAAATCTTCACAGGTGGTCGATGAGGAGAATACCAGCAAATGTTCTGCATAACTTGCCACAGGCGTGCAGGCCTTACCCCGTCCCCGCCCGGGCGCTTCTCGGTTGGACGCGAGGTATATTACGCAGCCTGGGGTCCGCATCGCGGCAGGCGTGAGGGCCTGTAACAAGATGGCCGTCTCTCCCCCTGGGTGCCTAAATCCCGTTGGCGTTCATGTGCTTACAGCCGTTTGCAGATCGATAGAGACTCTCCACTCCTGCTTGTTTATACATTGTTTGTTCCTATCGGAAATCTGAACGCGCCAAGCCCTGCCGGCCCGAAGCGGTGACCAGAGTTTTCCTCATCGATGTACAGTCGAGGACAATCAAACACATCAAATATGATCGAGACAGATTGAGAAATTTTGGGACCAAACCGAGTTCAGATTCAGGACCAGACAACCTGAAAGAGCCCAAAAAACAATGTCCGAAGTTTTTCCCACGAGTATTTAATGTGGCCATTTCTTTTTGGGAATTTTTTGAAACATATACTACCCTTTTGAGCAACTTTTGAGTCAATTTAATGATGAACTAAAGATTCTATCGCTAGTTGCGCCAACCGCGATGACTGGGACCCAGTATTTACATACTATATGTCATATTTAAAACTTTGTGAGTTGCGGTGTAATGTAGAGGCCGGTTATATCATTCTTCGAGGCCTTGGAGGCCTTCCACATCGTTTCATTGATATCCAACGGTGGGGATGACAGCTGCGCCGATAACGTGATAGCGCCAAGAGGAGACGCCCAGGGGTCCTTATCTCACGTGAGCAAGTTTGTTAATTGTTTTCTGCCTCACCCGCTCGTTAGATATCAATTATTTATATTGTAAAATGTCTAGCTTGAGGAGTACTATAAAATGGCTTATTCAAATTTCACCCATCTTTTTTTTTGCGTGTGGCCAAAATTTTGAGGGTTCACTGTTTTTCGGCCAATGAACGGCTCGATAGAATTCACTCGGACCACGCGGGATATATTCTAATAGATGCCTATTATCATTCTAAAACAATTCCGGGGGTAAAATTAATGGTCAATATTTATTTGATGTGTTTGATTGTCCTCGACTGTACGGTCGGGGACAATCAAAAACAGCAAGTTTAGGTCAACCTTTTTTTTTGCCCTCAGACTTGTTTTTGTACGCATCTGGAGGTATCTAGTTTGATATTCCGTTGGGTCCGAAGTGATTCTATCGAGCCGATCAGGCGCTAGTTTTTGGCGGAGGCCCAAAATTTTGGCCACATCAAATAAAATAGGTAAAAATAAAATAAAATAAGGCCCTGTTCGGGATCCCCAGGAAGATCGTAACTAGTAGTTGTTGCCCGCGAGAATGTAGTTGGGATAATAAGAACCGATTTATGGCTAAACTAGTTGGGGGAAGGTGTTCGGTAGCCACTCTAACTACGTGTGAACCAACTAAGCAACATGTCACGCGTGACTCTGCCAGCTTCTTGTCTCCCTCGTTTAACACATATCAGCTCGCACAACGGGAGTAAAATACCTTCTTAAAGCTCATCAATCCACATTTGACCACTCAGAATTGATGTATACATTTGGACTCTGTTTCAAGACCTAGCAGCAGCAGATACACCAGTACTGGCAGTATATGAGACAGCCAGGCCTATAGCTCATTGTATTTGATACTATCAGCACTTTAAGTTCACAGTTGAGGCTCAGTAAAAACGAAGGTGCGGGATAGGTAAATTGGGCACCAATGTATGACTATTTGAATATTTCCGTGGGAATAAAAATATTGATTTCACCATTTGCGAGCCACTGAGGCCCTGTACATGGTCCATACCGCCACTCTAATCACTTGGGATGTTGCAGAGTATCTATACATTGTATTCTTAGGTTGTTCTATGGGGGGACAGTAGATTTAGGCAGTATCAGAAATTTCTCTAAGCGCGCATCGGGACACATTTTCTCCCACACTCTCTTTAATTACCACCAAACTGTGACTATCTGGTCGTGGGTTGGTAAAATAGAGACCGGTTCAATACTATTTGGAGACATGTGAGCACCAAATGTTCCCAAATGGAGACCGATGACCACCAACACGTTTTTACTGAGGTTGAGGGCTTATTGACTTTCTTCAAAATGTGAAAGGTAACTGCAATGAAATTTCACCACTGAAAACTGGTTGAACACAATCTAAATGGGGTATCACCTGATTGTTGTCACACATCTAAATGTAGCGCCCTAGACTAAATGTAGCGCCGAGGATTACACGATTTGTCTCGCTAGTTGTGATTTTACTAACTGGACCCCCAACTGCTAGTTGGGGATCCCGAACAGGGCCTAAAATTTGCCTCTATCTGATAGTGCTATGGCTGGAACTCTTAGAGCGATGTTGCGCTCCCCGTATGTGTTGGGTTAGCAAACACACGGCGAGTCCATCGCTAGCCAAATACGGCTATCCGTTAGCCGAAACGGGTAATGCAAGTTGGCCATGCGTCAACTTGCACCGTTTCCGTTTCATGTCTCTTATCACGCCTTTTACTACTTACATCTGATTCACTGCCCACGCGCACGCATGCGCGAGTCGCAACCATTATATATGTGTTCCTTCACTTTTCGGCACCTCAGTCATTGTACCCCCACAATACTGAGGTGAGCCCTTTTTGTCTTTACCTATCTTTACTTAACGCGTACTCACTCGTACTCGTAGTTTACTATTTCTACAGGTACATGAATATAGAGTCATTGTACCCCCACAATACTGAGTTTACTATTTCTACAGTATGCTCGTCAAAGTTGCTCGGGGGATGCTGCATGTGACTCATGTCACATGCACTACCATTTTGGGGGGGCCTCAACTCCGGCCGAAGGGTGGGTGGGCATCAGAGATAATTTGCGACTCAGTAGTGACTACACATTGGGGAAAGAATTTCTATAGTCTAGAATTTGGGGCGAAAGTAGGGCTCAAAATCCCCAAAAGGGGTACACACAATTCGAATTTTTGGTCCAAAAATTTTGGCCACACCCATTTTACGTGGGAAAAACTTCGGACATTGTTTTTTGAGCTCTTTCGGTGTCCTTGACTATGAATCCGTCAACAGTTTGGCCAAAAAAAAAATCCCAGTCCGGCTCCATCAAAGTTGCTGTTTTTGATTGTCCTCGACTGTAGCATTCAGACCACGTCCATCTACGTTGCTCAGGCTCTTCTAGTAGGACACATACTGCCTCTTCGCAGCTCTCACCTCTCTCTTCAAGTCTTGGCAGGAAAACTAGGTCAGTAACGGGTTCCTGGCTGCTCCCTCTCAACGAAATAAGTGTATTTTCTGTCCAGCTAACTGTCGTCAATTCTGTAATTTCTTTGCTTGTAGAGGGCGAAGTGGGGATAGACACGATAGGCTGCCCTGACTTAGTTGAGCCTTGGCGCGCTCAGGTTTCCGATAGGAACAAACAATGTATAAACAAGCAGGAGTGAAGAGTCTCTATCGATCTGCAAACGGCTGTAATATCAGTTTCATTCTCACCCCGCCGCCTCCTCCACTGTGCGCTGCCTCTGCAGCCTCATCGACTCTGCATCGTGCGTCATCCCAAACGGCTCGCTGATTTTATAGCTCGCTGTGCTTGAGGTTGAGCCCCGTAGAACACGCTGGCTCTTGCGATGCCCGAAGAACGTCTCCCCCTTCTCACCAACTGCCAGCACTTCCAGCCTCCTCCTCATCCACCGACGGCGCCGTGGCTGGATGCGGGGCGGGTTGCGCAGGATATTGCGCCGTGACGTCAAAAGCGATGCGCTGCGCCCCCACAAAATCGCGCGCTTGAGGCGCCACCACCACCCCGCACCAGTCGATGGTGGAACTACGCCCTCCCGCACCTGCTTGGACGAGTTCGTGATGACGGTGGGCGCGTCGTGGGCAACGGGATGGGGTCGAGGAACTGCGCTCGGGCGCAGGTGGGGGCAGCAGCGGCGTTGGCGAGGATGGGCAGGCGAGCAGGCGGTGCACTGGTTGAGCAGTCAGGGTGGCACGACGTGCCATGTGGTTGATGGGGTGGGGTGGTGGAGAAGGTGTTCGAGGAGCAGGATTGCACGCATTTGCCGTCTGGGGTGGCGAGCCGGACAGGCAGAACTTGGGGTCACCGGCACCGGCGCAGGAGGTGTAGGAGTCGCATGCTATACAAAGAAGAAATTACAAAGAAGAATTCGTTAGGACAAAGGAAGGGGGAAGAGAAAGGAAGGGGGGACGTACAAGTGCAGCTAAAATTGTCTTGATACGATGAACGTATGCACGCCCCCCTGTGACAGACTCCAAGATATCGTCCATACAATATGTGGTACATGTGCAAGAAAGCATAGACAGCGAGGAAATCAGTACTCTAAATGGTCATGGCTTGGAAAGATTGTTGTTGTTGCTGCTCCTCCTCCTGCTGCCGACGTAGCCGCTCCTGCTCGAAGACCACCTCTGGCGCAATCCAACCCTGCCGCTTGCGCGCAATCACCCGTTGCAGACGAATGTACGTCCCATACCTCGCGCCCCCCAGCTCCTCCGTCGCCTTCTCTTCCAGCTCATTCACAACACTTTCCGGCACCCTTCCAGAAGCCATGAAAGCCTGCAGGACACATTAGCATCAAACAACACAATGGCGACAACCTTACATAGATATCCTCGCGCATCTCATCGCCCCAATGTTTCCATGGCGCTTGCATGCACCACGGCGCAGTCGGGATCCAGTGGTCTTGGTAAATCACCTCGTCGAACGCACCATGCCTCTCAGCCCATTCCTGCAGGTGGTTCGCAGCATCCGGGGTCCCGCCACGCTGATCCACCGCCGTCTCCGCGTACGCGAGCCACCGCGGCCACCACGGTTGCTTCAAAGCCCCAACCGGCACAGATATCTGCTGAAGCCTTTTGTTGTACGAGTGGAAGTCGAATTCCATCAGCTCGATGTAGCCTCCCGGTTTCAGCGTCCGTGCTACTATCGTTCCAACAGTTCTTGAAAAAGCACCCAGTTCTTAAAAATGGGATTTTTGAACTCTCCACAACATGTATGAGCTCGTGAATTTAATATAGTGTAGGTATATGCTATGGGAACATATTCCCGAAGTCCTGGTCAAATTAAATAAGGCATTGACAGTAGGGATTTTGGTTAGTGTAGGTTTCACCCATTATATGATGCTAGGATACTGGCACAATGGATTCAGCAAGAGATATTCATGTCACACATGAAGAGTATATATATATGTAAAATGGCCTCTTCAATTTGTTATCTATTGCCGTACATGAGCAGTAATTCAATGTCGAGGGGAGACCGTGAATGAGCTCCTATCAATTACAGCTCCGATGAACCTTGGCGCGCAACATCTTGACCTTGCGCTCTGGACATTCGGCAGATTCGGCACGGTTTGCGGAGACTCAAATATCTGTGATCATTCACACTTTTTCAAGAAGTGGGTGCATTCTGAAGACGTCTGCCGGCATCGCATTGTACATTTCAATTAAATCAAAAATCACTCAGGAAAAATCGACAAGCTAGCCATATATGTGAACTAGGCTTGTGCCAAACCCGAGGAGAAACGAAGGTCTGGAAAGACTACAAAAATATTCCTCCTGAGAGGTCCCAAAACTTTTTCAAGAACTGTGGGAACGATAGTATTTCGTGGATGAGCGCCGGGAAGTCCTTGATCTGATCGCCGAGTCAGCCGGCGTATTAAGCCATGTAGCGCGACCTTACCCCAGACGAAATGAGCCGAGCGTGGACGAAATCAAAGTCGTCGCAGAAGTGCTGCAGGCCGAGGTTGATGTCATCGACTTCGCTCCTGTTTGGGCTATCAGTTACGTGTTTATGAGAGGCGGAGTGGCGCAGCATGATGAACGAAAGAATAGACCCCGAGAGGAAAACATCCCACAAAAGATACAGCAAGCGGGCTGCCAAGACAAGCACCATGCTGAAAACATGGAAAGGGGCACTTCTGAAGGGAAATAGGCATCCAAAGAACTGATGGACTTGGGCAATGCAGCGACCTACAAGCCGGTCACGACAACGGATGGCCAGGTCCACACGAGCAGCATACGGAGTCTAGGAAAGGGAAGCAGACCCTCGAAACCCAGCGCGAAGGAGTTATTTCTGGCCCCAAGTCATAATAAACCTTCGCCGCGAGGAGCGTCGCTTTCGTCTTTCGAACACGCCCAAAACTGGAAGGAGGAAACAGAAACATCCGCCGACAGCCCTACTGTACAAACGCCAAAGCCAGATCGGCCTGGTGTGTCATGGCATGGATCAGTGAGCAGTGCGTAAAGCAATTCTTCGCGGTGATTACAACTTCAAACAGCTGATCGACGGATCGCCAACAGAAATGACGTGGTTTCGAAAGGCAACTTGGACCCCGGTCCAAGTGAAACGCGCCACCGAGAAAAATGAAAATAAAATAAAGAGGCAGAGTGCCGTACCTGCAGTTAAAAGGCATGTCTCTGCGCAATTGAGTGTGTGTGAGAAAGGCATCAGCGAGGAAATACCTACGGGGACTGCATTGGGACCAAGTCCACGCCCACAGCGTCACAATTGGGAAAGTCGCGTGCTATTTCCATGATCCTAGCGCAAAGCTCAGCGTAGCAAGTGACCACAATTGAAGCACTCACCATGTTCCACTTCCACATCCCAAGTCCAGGACATTCCTGAGGTCTCCAGGGAAAGCTGGAGTAAGATATTCTCGAACCACGCGTGGGCATTTACCCATGACCTGGATAAAGAGGAGGTGCTGTCGATCTAACCGGCATCAAGTTACGTTTACGAAAGCGAGATAGTGACCCACCCAAACGATCGAGCTCCTCGTCGTCTGCAGGTAAGCCATAGACGTCCGAGGTGCTGTTTATCGCGCGACCGTACTCAATCTTGAATGTCGCTGCTTCCATTGACGAGGTCATGGACAGCACCGAAGGTGCTGGGGAGTCTGACCTGTTCGAGTCCGTGGTGTAGGAAGTCCCTGAGCTCATATCGATGTCGCTGGGAGAGCTGAAGAGCGAGGACACGGTAGACCGCATGTCATCGTCGTCAGAGTCCTCGTCGAGCAGCAAGGGCTTGAATCGAAGAAAGTTATTGGTCACGACCGACATGTATGGTGCTATTCACCTAGTCACCGCAAAGTTGGAACAGGCGCAAAATCACCCGGCGAAGCTGGGAGAAAAATTATTTAGTAGCCGGGGCAGAGGGACGATGCAGGTTAGCTCGGGACTGCTCAGGAGCGCTGCCAAATGTTTGAAATATTGTACCGAAATGTAAGGAACAATGTGTAGCTAGACAAGTTTTCCTTGGGCACCCCATCCACCGACGAAAATCATCCCTATGTCTCACAAGAAAAAGGCCATTCTCGAAGGATGGATGGTTCATGCGCGGTGAGGACAAGATACCTCAACGGATGGTCTTTCCACTTGATCATCCTGAATTCCCTGACCAGCCGAAAGGGATGAAGCAGGTCCTCATTGAGCGTGGGCTATGGCGCAATGGCCTTCTGATGCAGTGTAAGCCACGATGTGCATCAGATGCTATAGAGTGCTGCGCAAAACACATTCTCGATCTTCAGCCGGATTTTATGGCCCAGAAGTCCCTCGTCCAAGAGGTCATTGAAGCTGCTGGCCATCACTGCATCTTTCTCCCCAAGTTCCACTTAACTTTATCGAGTTCTTCTGGGGCGCGGTCAAGCGCTACCTTCGCGAACACTGTGACTACACATTTACGACACTCCAGGAGAACATGCCGAAGGCTCTGCAATCCGTGGATGTGTCAACAATTCGGAAATGGGAGCACAGGATGTACCAGTGGATGGATGCATACAGAGGAGGTCTTGGCGCAAAGGATGCACAGACCCATGTGCGTAAATACAGCTCTACGGTGTACAAGTCGCACCGACGCATCCCCGAGCGACTTGCTCAACAATTCGACCAGTAGTTATCTTATCTATTACCATATTGAGATGTCCCTGATGACTAACCTGCCTTATATGGTCATGCCACGTGCATGCGCAAAATCGAGGTCGCAGCAAAAATATAACTCAGTCAGTTTGGAACCTATCGAAAATCCCTCTAGAGTGTTTGATCCCTTCAAGCATACGAGCATTTTGGCTAGAGCAATAGTCATTTGGACGAAATCTGAAGGTGCTATTTCAGTTGTTCCAACTTTGCGGTGACTAGGTGAATAGCACCATAGAACGACGAAGGGAGTGAAGGTAGTAGTGGTATTACGTCTGAGAAGACAACCGGCTACTGTGATTGTTTCGGGGAATCGGGACGCAAATAAATAAATAAATAAATAAAAGGGTTTGAGGATTTATATATAAAGAGAAGGGGGCGATATTCCCACTGCCCCTCTCACTTTCTCTGCCAACATGGACTACGACGATTCCTGGTGTCCCGTATGCGGCAGACAAATCATCCCAAAGCGCTACCTCGTCCCCATCCCGCTCGACGCACCCCCCGCTCCCGCTCCCGCCCCGCCCCCGAGCTCGCCTCAGTCATCTCGTGAGTCCCGCCCCGCCCGCTCTACTGACCTTCCTTTTTCTCATTCCTACCCGCCATCAGCTACCAAACTCAACGATAAAAAGTTAAAAAACACACGCACGACTGGCGGCTTTGCTCAGGGAACGGGCCGCGTCAAGCCAAACGGCGCCCTTAAGCCACCTCCGCCACCCACACCCGCCGTCGAGACAAAGACGAACTCAAAGGCCCAACCCCCGCGCACTCGATTGGTGATCAACCCCGCCCCACTCCCGCTCTACTGCTCTGATGAATGCAGAGTCGCAGACATGCACTTCTCATCCGACATACTCCCTCTTGCCAACGCTACCACCCGCGAGTCCTTTTCACGCTCTCCGGAGCCCATGTCCGCTTCCACCAACTCTTCCAGTTCTACAGTCGACTCACAAAACTCCAGCAGCTCACGCTCCGGTTTTCCGCCTCTTCCCCCACTTCCCCCTCTGCCTCCCCTTGTAACTTCGGCGTCGGTTTCGCCACCCTCGTCTGCAGACGAATGGGAGATCTCTCCCCCTGTACCTCATAAGCCCTTCGACGCCAAGAAGATGCTGCGCAGCCTCGTTCCAGAGCCCCGCAAACGCCAGCAATACGGCAACTACATCGCCCCGCCGGAGCCCCTCAAGGAGATTCGCGGATGGACCGATGGCTCGAATGCATGGAGAGCGACGGTTTATGGCCTAGTTGACACGAATCCATCCGATTTGGCTGCGCGTCCGGAAATGGAAGAAGTCTACCGCAAGCACAACGCTTGCGCTCATCGCTCGAAGGGTGTCTACTCAACAGTTGGGACGAAGGACATCTCCACTATTCCCACCCCAGCACCTTCGCCCCGATCGTACGAAGACGAACTCCTCCTCTATAACTATCACTCGTCCTTCGTCCGCGCTCGTTCACTTACTCCATCGTGTGCGTCAGGCAAGTCGCGATCGGCGCCCACCAAACAACGACCCTTGGTGCACCCGCTAGCACAGGGGAAGCTTCTTGCACCCAATCTCAAGCTTCGGGATCACACTGGATCGTGCCCAAGCCTTTCGAGTTCCACAGTTCGCTCTCCCTCTTCCAAAGGAAGTCAAGTAGAGGATGGAGCTTATGGATACAGGCGTCCTGTCATTGAAAGTGAGTAGCGTGGTGTTCTTTGCATTATCGCAGTCTCTTATCGTCCTCTAGCACGATCCTGGTCATATGACAACGTTCCTACCTATCAACCAATGAAGATGCCGCCCTCCATCGAGAAGAGGAAGGTTAAGCAAATGGTTGATGGGGTGGAGAAAGAAGTCACCATCGAAGTCGAAGTCGAGAACAATGGCAAACGCCTCTTCAACTTCCCCGACAAGCAATACTACACCCGGCGATGAACGGCGGTGGACTCCTCACCCACAACATCTCGGCTCTGGCCTTCGCTTCGTCTCGCCGTTCAGGTTATACCTTGCATCGATGATATCATTACATCCCACATATTCCCCATCCTCATCCCTCTCATCGCTTCAACTTTGGGACCAAAAGTGCCATATCATCTTCCATTACTTTATTCAATGTGCATCTTCGAAAGGATTCCTTGTACTGTTTATTATGTACTTTGTACGGATTTTCTACGATACCTTACGGATTTCTTTTGTTCATATTTGTACTAGCCGCCGCCGAACGTTTACCACACGCTGCCAGCAGGGCTCCCTCTACGCCATACCTTCCGCCGCCACATCGTTCAACGTCATCGCCGCCGTTGCCCTCATGTATCATTATGCCGTTCGACGCCTCCTCACACGCATCGCAATCGACCATCCTACCTTACAACTCCTCATGATCAATTGTTTATATCTCCCCTTCCCAGCACCATATCGCTATCACTTTGCTATCCTTCCGGTCACTCTTCCTGATTCTGTTACTTGCTCACGAGCGATATCACCGCATCCTCGTCGAAGTCCATGGATATTCTGTCTGTACATGTTGTGTATATATACAATATTTTGCGTGTCTACGGACAATGAACACGAATAATACAGTGGTTCCACGAAATAGATAAGCATAAGGGATGGGAGTGAATTTCAAAACCTCTGGGTATGTTCAGCAACACTGTAGATTAGTAGTGTGTCTATCATCGTCCATTTTTCGGGCACCAATATATATCCCAGAGAAAATAAGAGTGTAAACAAGAACAGGAGAACTTCGATAGCAGTTGCGAGGTAGATGAAAGGTAGATAGGTAATGTCCAAAGGTCCGTTGTGTATGGTAACAAAGCTATTATTTCGGGAGTGAACTAGTCGCAGGCGCCCGGAGTGTTTGGTGTTTTACTTGAGCCTCCATTTTGATCCTTTGTTTACGAAAGTAGTCGTCTTTGAGTTTGAAGGAATTCAAGAGAGAAAGGAAAGCGTCGGGGGAAGATAGGAGAAGCGAAGAGGGTGGATGATGAAGTAGCTGGAGGACGGCCTCTGTGCTTGTAGCTTCTAGGATTTGTCGACGGCAGGTGCTGATGAGGGCGAGACCGACGCGAACAAGGAACCTCCCTCTTCGTCAACACGCTCCCTTCATCGTACGTTCAGCGAGTGTGGGATCTCTTTCTGTTCGAAGGTGAGCCCGTTCCTCCACCATTTCTCACCGATTACCCGAATACGATATACAGGTATCCCGTAAACCTACGATCTGTGAGTACGGAGCAATCACGAGGAGAGGCTGCGGCGTACCAAGGGAAGCAGATAGCGGTCGGATTAAGGGACATTGTCGTGAATACTTTCTTGGCCACCTGAGGATCATTCGCCTCAAGTGCCCGGCTGAACAGCATGGCGTCAACCTCCATCTGTGAACTGCTCGAGGAGAAATAGGGCCGAAGATACGAGTCCATCAGGGAAAACGAACGTCCAAAATCTGTCTTCCTCAGGTGCCAACAACGGGATATTCCCGACAATCAAGGTTAGACCTACATCACGGTCAGTTGAAAACACGAAGAGGCGAGTTAATCAAAACGCACCTCGACTATATTGCACATCTGGAACCATGGTCAAGTACGCTTCGAGTAACGACATCATGGACTCCCTCATCGTGGGGGGTTGGGAGTTCTCTCGAATATACGCTTGCACGTCCCTTTCGATCTCCTTGTAGCTCGGTACATGCCCCCTCTTCACCAACTGCTCATATACCTTCGGCACATTCTTTGCCTTCCCGTCCGTCAGATGGATCCGCACCAGATACCTCACGGAGGACGGGACACCCTCTACTAGAAGCTTCTTCACCTTCTTATTCTTCCTCGCTTGCGAAGCAGGTACGGACGACATCAGCGCAATCCACCGGAGCTCCCTTTGCCTATGCCCACGAGAAAGACATCGCAGGACTACCCGTTCGCAAGAGTCCACCAATAGTCAGTTCTGGCTTGCCTAGATCGATGGACCCTCCGTCCTTCACGAAAGACGAATCTTCGCTGGTTCTTGCGGAATGAAGGTGGCTGAAGCTGGGTCGTACAAGCTCGAAGTCCATGCCCTCGGCCTGCGCTGTCTCGTACTCATTATCGATCGAGCTTGCGGCGATGCTGGAGGCGTCATCTTGTCGACTTTGCTTTCGCCAAAGATTGGGCAATGATAACTTCGAGCGTAGGGATAATTGACGGGTGACCATTGGTGTAGGCGAAGCTCTAGCGTACCTCTTTCATCCCGATGATATGAACGTCGCCGTTTACGAGTACCCGAGTCCACTCAGCTGCTTTCGGGTCCGATTTCGGAAGAGCTGTGAACGACACGGTCTTTCGGTGCAGAAGTGTAGGATAAGTCTTCGATTCCAGCGTAATAGGCGATTCCTGGGTCAATCAAATGAATTATTCTGAGATCGTCCCTCGGGGAAAGAGGCGTACTGGTATGATATGAGCCGAGATCCATTTCTCGACGTTCCTCTTCGATATACTATCAAACTCCTCTTCGGATATCGTCACGTCGCCGCTAACCGTTTCAGGTCCTTGATGCCTGGGCCACCGTTAGAATTTTGAGACGACACGAAGTAAGCGGAGTAGTAAGACTCACGGTTTCCGATGTAGTGCCATAACGGCCTTGTTCGTTGGAACGAGCAGCGTGCTGTTGACGCCCTCATCAGAGAAGATCGCGCACAATTCGAGTTCGCGTGCGTATGAGTAAAATATGGACGCAGAAGATTCAATTGTCAGCAGGTCGGCTAAAGTTGGTTTCGAGGAGGTAAGGGGTTCAAACGAGTTTGATGATGGGTGTCCGCCATGGGGAGCTGGTCGTCGACGGAGGCGTATGCGCCGGCGAGGAAAGGGAGAAAGACTGCGACGGGGCTTTGGAACTTCATGGTGATAACAGGTGAAGGCGCCAGACGGCTGCATTTGCCGAACAAGGACCACGAGCACGTGCGGACGCCTTTTGGCTTCTTACTCCCACCAGCTCGTTTAGCGCCCACGCTTTCACCATATCGCTTCCTCAAGCTAACCAATTCCCTCCCAACCCCGGGGCCTCTAACGCCCAGCCAAGCGGTGGATTTCAAACCACTGAGGCCTGGCCCCAATTGCTACCGCAGACTCCACCTCCTCGCCCGCCCAGCGCCTTCGAATCCGAGTTCGGAGACCCGAAATCAGTGCCAAACCTCGATGACTTCTACGTCCCCATGTCCGACCGCGTCGACGCAACTCCTACGCGAAAACGTGCTAGAATCGAATCAAACAACGCCCTGCCGCCCCCCACGCCTCGTCGCGCCTACTTTACGGCGATCCGTCGGGGTGGGGGCACTCGAGATATGTCATGCACGGAATGGAGTCGGGCCTGCGTAGAGCTGCTTGGCGATATAGTAGACGGTGCCAGAAGCACGCTCGGTTGGACCAATGACGGCGATGCAGTAGCAGAGGTCCTTAGCGTCGCTAAAGCACTCAAGAACACACTACGCGAGATCGACAGCATGGTGTCGGTTGACGATGACATCTTCATGTCCCAACCTAGCGCGCCCGCCCCGGCCCAAGATAAAGGTTTTGACGGATTCAAATCAGAGATTAAGGATCTCTTCCTCAGCCTGGAGGCTAATCTCTCCTCGCGGATTTCAAATGTGGAAAGGCGGCTCGGATCTGTCCCACTCCCTTCTTCCGTCCCCAACTCAACCAATATCACGCCCACCTCACGGCCACAAGCCCCCACCCCATCGTCGTATGCATCAGCTGCTAAGTCAGCTCCTTCGAGTCAACCCAAGCCAGCCCAGCAACCTAAGGCCGTCGGCCTGGCCCCGGCTTCGAAGTCAAACACAAAGTTCGTTGTACGTTTCCGAGGTCGCCTACCCCCCGAAGCCGAACGCAAATCCTCGCATGTTTTATTCCATGCTCTCAACCACGCTTTTAGCAATAATGCTGCCGCTCGTAATGACGGCTTAGAAATTCTTGGTGCGGAATGGAACCGCAGCGGTAACATAATTCTTACCTTCCCCTCCCACGTTAATCCAAACACTGTATATAATCATATTAATCTGTTACATCCCATTGTAGATCACGGCCTCGACGAGGTCATAATATCGCACGACACGAAATGGTCCAAGGCAGTTTGTTCGAGGGTACCCTCCGTAGGCTTTGATGGCCATTATTGGGACTCCAAGGCCCTTGGTGTCCTCCTCAGGCGCAATCCAATCATCAAGAGCCTCAAAATAACCCAGGAGCCTCGCTTCGTGTCCAACCCAGCCGAAGGATTGCCCCCAGTCGCGCCAGTTGTCTTCGCATTTGAGGACCCGGATGGATCAAAACTTAAAGAACTATTCAAGACCCCCATCTTCATGGATGGGCGCCACACCCCGGTACGTCCTTGGAGAGAAAAGCCCAGGCTGACCCAATGTGATAGATGTCAAGGCCTCGGCCATACGGCAAAGCTATGTGCCAAGCCGCATGTGTGTGCTAAATGTGCGCAAAGGCATCCGACGACAGAACACAATGTCTACTGTCCTTCGGTTCTCAAAGATGGTTCCAGCTCATGTAAATGCACGCCTAAGTGTGCCAACTGTGAGGGTGAACACTGGGCCACAGATGGCTGCTGCCCGGAAAAGCGCAAATTCGTCCCTCGACTTGTTCCCCCGCTGGCCCCTCCTCCGCAAATGGCACTGCAGCCCCAACGACAGCCACAAAACCCCCCTGCCCCACCACACATGCAGGTTGATGCATGAACAACCTCCCCCCGTCGAGAATTGTGCAGCTCAACATAGCGCGCTCCTCGGCGCGCACCCACATTATGCTTAACCACTTGACTGATACTCACATTCTTCTTCTTCAGGAACCATGGTATGGCCGCATCGGATTAGATAAGGCAGACACGTCCCCAGAGGGTCGGCCCATTAATGGCTTCACAGCCTCGCAAGCCTGGGAGTCATTCGCGCCTCTAGCGCCTGGGTGCCCCAAGGTCGCGACATATGTCAAACACAATGTGGCAGGCCTCAAGGCAACTCCCCGCCCGGACATTGCTAAGCATCCAAATCTTTTGCCTGTTGAAATTACTTACGGCGGCTCAACCTTTCTTACAGTAAACGTCTATAACGGCGGCAATGGTGCAAAAGCTGAAGCAGTAACAATGCTGTCATTCCTTCCTCTCAGTCCTGCGGTGCCAACAGTAGTAGCTGGCGACTTCAACCTCCATCACTCGGCTTGGTCAATTCCCCCGTCTGCCAACCAGCAGTCTGCCGAAGACCTTCTGGAATGGGCGACCGACAATCTCTTCTTTCTGGCTAATCCTAGGGGCGTGCGTACAAGACTCGGCGCCGACGGACAGCGTGATTCAATTATCGATCTCGTATTCATTAACCGTGCGGCCGTGGACATGTCTATGTTTAGTGCGCCAATTGTCGACGAGAACCTCTCATTTGGTTCGGACCACAATGCCATCGTCTATACAGCTCAGCTCCCACCGCCAGTCGAAGAAGACTCTCCGTCCGATTTGGGAAAGCGGCTGGATCCAGAGAAGCAACAAGAGTGGTCAGCAGAATTTTCGGCCCGTATTCGAGAAGTCACAGCCGGCTACAGGAATCCAGAGACAGCTCAGGAGTTAGATCAGCTCGTGGACAGGTTAGTTGAGTGCTACGTTCAGGCTACTAATGCTTGTATGCCAGATTGCAAGCCCATAATGGCATAGGCCGCACGGTGGTGGAACGAGGACTGCCGTAAAGCAGTTGAGGAGATGCGCAATGCCCCCTGGGAGGACAAGCCCAAGCTCCTCAACCACATGCACCGCATTGTCAAGAAGGCTAAGCAAGAATGGGCTAATAGTATTCTTGAAACAGCTACTCCGGATAATGTGTGGCGTCTGGCAGACTGGTCTGCAGGCAAGCGCAAGACTTGTGTCCCGCCACTCATCACCGATACTGGTGTAGCAGCGTCCCCAGCTGAGCTGGGAGAAACTCTCAGGACTGTGTTCTTTCCGCCAGTGCCGCCGCAAGTTGACATCTCGCAAGAGAGTGATCCGCAAGCCAAGCCCGTTAGGGACTTTATTCCAATATCGGTAGATGAGGTAAGTGACGCATTACACAGCACATCTAACGTCTCTGCTCCAGGACCGTCTGAAATCAGCTATCGCCTCATCAAATGGAGCTTTCCCATGTGCAGCCGTCTTCTCACAGATGTTTTCAACGCCTGCCTCCGTCTTGGACATCACCCAAAGGCATGGCGAGCAACTATCGTTGCCATTGTCCCAAAACCAGGCAAGACGGACATGTCTCAACCTCGGTCGTATCGCCCAATCTCGCTACTGGAATGCCTCTCCAAGCTCCTGGAGAAGGTGGTCACCCGCCGCATTCTATTTGATGTAGGGAAATATCAGCTCATTCCTACTAACCAGTTTGGGTGCAGGGACCACTCGTCAACAACAGACGCTGGTGTCACCCTCGTCCACGATATTCAGTCAGGCTGGAAAAAAGGACTAACTGCGTCAGCGTTAGCGTTTGATATTAAGGGGTTCTTCGATCACGTTCACCATGGTCGCCTCCTTGAAGTCCTACGTCTGGCTGGCTTCCCCTCCCAGGTTCGAGCGTGGATTCAAAGTTTCATCTCAAATCGCCAAATCTCCATACGAATCAATGGGTTCAATACCGACCCATCGATTAGCTCAGTCGGGATCCCTCAAGGTTCTCCCCTCTCCCCAATCCTCGCGGCGCTTTATACTAGCCCGGTAATTGAAGTGTCGATAAGGTCTAACACGTCGGCACTTTATTTTTACGTCGACGATGGTCTTTTGGTGGCTTTCTCCAAGTCGATTGCAGATAACATACACCAACTTCAAGCTGACTTTCAAACCATTAACGGTGCTCTCCAAGCGGCCGGCCTTTCGGTCGACCAGGGGAAATTTGAAATCATGCACTTTACTAGAGCTAAGTCTCCAGACCTACTCCCTATTCACATTCGCCTTGCGCCAGATAACTCGCTAACAGTTTTCCCCAACCCAATCATGAGGTGGTTAGGCTTCTTCCTTGACCGCAAGCTCGAGTTTAAAGAACATGTTCGCGTCATGTGCAACCGCACCATGTCAAAGGTGCAAGCACTCAACGTCCTCGGCAATTCCGTGCGAGGAATGAATCATGCTAATCGCCGCCTAGCTTACAAGACCATTGTCCTCCTAGTTCTCACATACGGCGCCCCTCTCTGGTACACCGGCATACGCCAGAAAGGGCTAACTAAACAAATGACCAAAGTGCAAAACGCGGGTCTTCGCCTCATTCTAGGGACCTTCCGCACCTCCCCGGTTGCAGCGCTACATCATATTGGGTCAATTCTGCCGATTCCCCTTCTCTTGGAGCGTACCATTGCTAATGCAGCAATCCGCCTCCGCTCGCTACGACGGCACGCCCAGCCTGTCATACGCTTATCAGAACCATGGAACTACGGCCCAGTCCAAGGCCCGACACGCTCCAAAAGTCGGAAAAAAGGCACCAATCTGCAGCTTATGGCAACTCGAGCCCATTTCTCGCTCGATATTGATGAACGTACCAATCCATACGCCACCCCACCCTGGGAACTGGGTAACAAGTGGGGGCATTGCCTGTTGTTCTCTAGCTACGCCCCGACAGATAGCGATGTTCGCAAACAGCTAATCAGAAACATTTGCAAATGCGAAGCAGATGCAAGATCGGACCCCTCAGTCGTCAATGTCTTCACAGATGGCTCGAGACACCCGGTAGGTGATGAACTACGCACTGGAGCAGCCTTTACTGTCTTTCATCTAGGTAGAGAAATAGCCCAAGGGATTCTTGGGTTAGGCACGTGCTCAGACAATTTCGACGGTGAAATGTATGCCCTCGCTCGTGCCTCCCAGCGCCTGCGAGACGTGGTTCAACACATCCCAACTGTAAAACGTATTCACATCTTTGCTGACAACACCTCGGCGATCATGGCCATCTACGACACAAGCCCGCACCCATCGCAGGATGCGTCAGTTGTTTTCTGAGAAAACATCGACCAACTACTATCATCTCACCGTGGCCTCTCAGTTAGTGTCTCCTGGTCGCCAGGGCATTCGGGAATTCGAGGAAATGAGAGAGCAGATACATTAGCAAAGGCCGCAGCAGCCCAGAGGCCCTTCATCGGATCGACAATTGCGTGGGCTAAAGCTAATGCCAAAGCCAAAGCCCTGGAACAATGGGTGAAGCAGTGGAAGGAATCTGCTAAAACATCACCTTCGGCCCTATCCCTTACTCATCCCCCGTCCTACAAACTTGCCAAGTTCCATCGCACATTTACCGGCAACCGTCGCACATACTCTCACACCATACAGGCCTCCCTCGGTCACGCGTTCGTCGGAGAGTACTTCTCCTGTTTTGTCCCTCGGCTACCATCGTCGTGTCCATGCGACGACACACTACTTCAAACTAGAGCACATGTCCTCACTGAATGCCCTCTCCATGAACATGCTCGCCACATCCTTAGGGAAGCATCGTCGTCACTCTCCCTCGATTTCTTACTCGGCACGCAAAAAGGATTAGCAGCTATCGCTAAGTTCATTCAACACTCAACTGCCTTCCGACGACATGATTGATACTAGCTAAGTATACCTACAAAACGCGCCGTGCACTTAAGTTTACCCGTTCTCCCTTCGCTCTCCTAATGCCTCCCGTCACATAGTCCCAACATCGCTGATGCCATCATCCACAGGTCAACTTCGCTGCTTGTCACCCGGAACTACTCCTCGTCGGCCCCACTCCATAACGTCCCCACCGCCCCGTCTCAAACGGGTACAGCAGGTAGCTTTTTCCTGGCGGCTTTTTCCCACAGGGTTTTACCAAAAGGTTTTTTAATGCACCCTCGCTGCCGACGCTTGGATGGGCTAAGCCCAGGACCCTGGTTAATAGGTCAGCCCCCTGATCCGATTTCAGATTTGAGCGGCTGAAGGCCGCTCGGCCTGAGGACTTTCAGACATTTTACGCCCAAAAAGGTGAAACACCCTGGTCCTTTTTTCGGACATTTTTGGGATTTGGTCCCTAGGCGGGATCCATTTTCGGACATTTTCAGTGGAGGTGCCGACGTTGGGTTGCTCGTCATACATTGTGTGTCGTGTATCTCAAGAACATCGGACTGCATCTGACTATGTTTACAGTTGTGGTGCTATATGCCAAAGGCGGCGGTAAGAATGGTCGACATGTGTCACAATCAGAAGCCTTCAATGTTGCCGCAATGTCATGGATAGGCTTGAAGGGCGGCGATTTAGCACCATCACGGATACAACATCGCATTTCCTTACTCGTCACTTTGCAACCCTTCCCTTGCTCGCCTTCTTGTCCAGGCTCAAGGATGCCCCGTTAAAACCTGCAAACTCAAGTAGCAACATGGAGATGGAGTTGACGGAGCAAGACTGGGAAGTATATAGGCAGTTATATGCATCGAAAGCGAAGCTAGCAAAGGTAATGGTACTATCAAGGAAGAAAAATAAGACTGCATGGTTATTGGACGATTCGGAAGGGTAGAATGGGAGCTACGTGTGTGGGGGAGTCTGTATACACTGTATAAAGCTTTCGTGAGGCATCTACTAGCCTTGTAGAGCCCACGGGATGCCTAATACCATATTTCAGACATTTTGAGAGCCCCAGAAGGCCTGAACCGAAAATTCAGACAAATTGTGAGGCCCGCAGGGCCTCCTCTGAAAAATGGACATTTCGTCGAAATTTGGGAAGGGCCGGGTTCAAATCAGACACTTTTGGCCTATATCCATTCAGACATTTTGGGCCTTGCTGGATCAAGCCTTCACGGTCATAAACCAGGGTCCTCTAAGCCCCCAAGCAGGGAATGTAGCTACTTGTTTGTGCCCAACCTACACCGCGTCTTAGTAGCGTAGCATACTCGTTGCGGTATATAAATGCAGAAATTTAAAAAAAACCACGCGCTCAACTTTGCATTGTTGCTAGGGGTTTCCAAAGTTACGCGGAGAAACCCCAGAAACCGGGTTTCTCAACTGTATTATCCGTGACGGTGTGGGTAGAAAGTACCCAAACTCTTTCTCATCCACAATGGAGCCTGAAGAACGTGAGATCAGTCCATTTATGGTTGCCTTTGTCATGACAATGGTACACTTCTTATTTGTCTTTCTTCACACTCCATTCATTTAGCTTTCAGGTTGAAATCCGGCTACATGAGCTGCTGACCGGCAGCAATACAACTATCGAGCTCAAGGGAACAACGTGGGTCGAACCATACCGTCGCCACATGGACAGCCTTTTCGAGATGCTTCGTTCGAAACCAGTGTTGTATCACAAACTCATGCACAAGCTATTTACGGAAGTGGGGTGAGTGCGCTGGGTACAAATACTTGATGAAGCATGACTCATCGCGTTCTATATCAGGGGAAGCCAATATGCCTCAGCTTCATTGCATGATGAAGTTCTCGCAGATCTTGACCTCGAAATCATGGAGGTGTCAGATTGATATCTCATTGTATATGTTTGTATTACCGTAGAATAGCAATACAATCCCAATTCATTATACTGAAAACTACTTGCAACGATACTTGAATGATAGTGGCATTATTGTGTTAATAACGAGCAATCTATCAGAATTTTTCGTTACAATATGTCATTATGCCATCTTTGAGTATACATTATGCTAAGATTGGCAATGAATTGTCGGTGAATTGGACATGAATTGAATGTAAGATGTACATTGATGCGGCGGGGGGCCCCGTAACTTCTTGACAATTATTCAACATTCACGCTTACTTACGCGCTCGCCCGTCAGATATCCATCATGTATTATGTATACTACTCGACGCCACTCAGTAACGTATCAAAATGTCAGTTAACATCCCCTACTTATCCTGGCCGCGAACTGACCCCGTCGACGCGCACAGCTACCTAGTTAGCCCGAATATTGAGCTTGGACTGCCAGGCACGCACACAATAAGAAAATGAGGCACCAAACCAGTTCATTCGTCTATGTACAGGTAAATGATGAGCTAACGAGCCAGCCCCGTAACTCGAGGACGAACGAGCTCGCCGCGAGCCGTCCACTGACTGCGCCGCTCTCCCCTCCGATCTGTCCGCTCGCTGCACGCCCCGTGTGATGCCTGAGTCCTGGCCCGCTTACTGACGCCCGGCACCGCGAGCCTCGCGCAATGGCGACCTCATGGACTTGAGTTCGACGTGCCCACAGAGGTCCCGCCGCCGCCGCCGCCGTCGTTGTATTCGCTGAATATCCCCCCTTCTCTCCATCCCGCTGCCATTCCTCGGCGTTCGACGGCTCGACAACGCCACCGTGTCGTTTGATCTCCATGGTGCGTCTGCTACATCCTCCTCCGACATTTGTACCTGATTCAACTTCTCCCTCTCCTCCATCCGTGTTCTCTCCTCCTCCCTTCCTCCTCCCTCTCGTTCTCGTTCTTACTCGCTCTCATTTTCGTTCTCGCTCTCTCCTCCCTCCTCCTCTCTCTCTCCTCCTCCATCGTTGTCGTTTCGTGTTTCGTTCGTGTGTCCCCTCCCGTATTTCCCTTGCTCCCGTTCCCGTTCCCGTTCTCGCTTTCGTTCTGTTTCGTATTTTCAGTCTCGTCTTCGTCCCCCTCTTCGTCCCATTCCCTTACCATCACCCACTAACCTACTAACTGTTCGCAGCCCGCAGCCGCAAACACCCGCAACACCGTCGATGCCCCCCGCCTCACGCTCGTACTCATGGCGCGAGTCAATCGAGGTGGATGCGTGTGGCGAATAGGGGCATTTGCGTCGACGGTGCGTGTCTTTCCCTCCTTCCTCCGTTTCGCATTTGTTCGTGTCCCCGCTGGTTTGTTCTCCCGCTGGTTCGTTCTCTCCCCCTCCCACTCGGTCTCTCTCTCCTTCCTCAACTCTTCGCTCGTCTCACTTCCCCTTCCACGTCCCATTCCTCTGCTTCGGCGAGCGGTATTTTGTACTCCTTCATCGGGTATCCCTCTGCCCCAATCGCGGCGTAAAGGTCTGTATTGGGATCTGGTTGCGGCGGGCCTTCGATCAAGTCGCTGACGTCAAAGTTGGCGTCGCCGACGTGGTTGTTGGAGGAAAGCTAGTCCCAGTCAAGAATACTTAGCTGAACCTTGAAGGCCGTCTCGTATTGCCGAACTTGGGACAGAAGCTTCTTGTCCCAAACGGGGTTGAGGGAGTGTCGAATGACGCGCGTACGGAATACCTTCTTGCCGAAGGAGATGACTACAAACGGGTCTATGTCCCACCCCGTACGCGTCACTGAACGGAAGATAAGATACTGATGTGTAGCACGAGCAGAAATACTCACCATTCTCAAGCCTGGGTAGGTCGTCTGCACCATGGATCTCCCGCATCACGATTCCAACGATATCATGCGACGCGCCAAAGTAATACTCCCCGTGGGTCTTGTTCTTCCTGAATCGCTTCCTTTTCCCAGCCGGCGGGGCGCCAACATCGAGGTTTGAGGACGAAGGCGTGGTAGCGGACGGAGTGCTGGGGGTGCTGGTGCTGGGAGTACTTGTCATCACAGACGACAAAGTAATATTCGACGACGACGCCCGCCTGAACTTCGTCTTCGGGATGAACCCACTAGACTTCGCGGTCGTAGGGACCGGCGTGGGGGTGGTGGGCGAACCCAAGTCCCCATAGATGCCGGGAGGGCGAGACGGGGAGGGACCGGCTTCGGCCCGGAAGTCTGAAGTTTCTTGATGGCTGCCTTCTCTTCGGAAGGGGTGGGCGGAGTCGGCGGTGAAGATGCTGCGGTGGTATAGTCTGAGACTTCTTCTGTGTCGTCTTCCTCATCTGAAGGCTCCGAGCTTAACCCGCCATCGTCCTCTAAATCCAGTGCAGCGTTGTGTGGTCGTACAGCGACAACGCCGTCGGTCTACGCGATCATGAGCGAATGCAACGTAGCGCAAGAAGCGAACGTAATCACCGGCGGAGCAGAGACGCGGAGGGCCTCGATCGCTTCACAAGGTCAGAGAAGACTTCCTTGAAGTCTACGGGCAGCAGCATTGGGCGATACAAACCCACGCTTAACCTTGACTGAACCCGTCGCGTGGGTGTTGGCTCCCTCTTGTTTGAGTTCAAGGTTGCGTAGAGCATACCACATGGACGCACACGCCCCGTGAACGCGTGCGCTGCGTCTCGACTCTTACGCCTCCTGTCTTTTCCCAAATCCGAAACCCTTATTAATCGACAATCAATCTCTTCGTTTCGCGGGTCGAACTCGTCAATTCGCGCGGTCTTCACAATTGAGACCTGGGAGGGTGGGCGATGGGCTTGAGTTCAGGTGGAGACGTGGCAGTGGGAGTGGAGACAACAATGATGGTGGTATTGGGGAAAGAAGTTGACGCCGCTCGCGAGTACGATTAGCTCCCTTCACTTCAGTCTGCGTGAATGACCGGTGAAATTCGAGGTCGCCGCGAGATGTGCTGCAGGCGCCATGAAGCCGCGCCGTGTGAGAGGGGGAACAGCTTGAGGGATGATTGACTGTTGCGGCTTTGGAGGCAATGATCGTCATGATTCCTGTGTTCGTGGCATTGGGTACAAGATTTCGGGCTAAGTTTGTTGAACTCACAAGGTCATGGGCGCACCCGCGCTGTTCCTACATCCCTAAGTGTCCACCCCACGTAGACCCCAGGTTTGGGGATCGCCCGACGTGTCAGAAGTCGACGTTCACCCCCAAGCCGAGGTAGCAATCGGCGTGGGCGAAGGTCGAGTGTCGTTTGTTGATCTCGAGAACGATTAAGGATAAGTTAACGGCGCGCATGAAAAAGGAGTGAAAAGAGAGCAAAATGGTACATAAGTAGGAAGGGCAGAGGCGTATGGAGGGACCATAGAGTCGTACAAAGAGTGAGAGAGTGTCCGTGGGATGAAAAGACAAGGAAATCGCGAATGGTAAGGTCCATGCGTCGAGGGAGAATTGGTAAGAACCAGATTATAGTCGGCGGTGCGAAGCTCCATCGCCGACGATGGACGAACATGCGAAGCGCCGGAAGTCCAAGCTTCAAATTCAATCTCAGCAGCCTCAACGTCCGCCATCTCCACCACCATCGATATGGTCGAACGCAAGCACGAGAACGCCGCTTCTTCAGAGGCCTCGGGAGATCAAAACAAGCGGGTGAGGCGCTTGAATACTCCCTTGTTATTGAGGGACTCCTCAACGCCTCAGCCTTCTCCACGCCAATCTCCAGGCTCCCCCACTCCTCCCCGCCCAACACCACGCTCGCCAACACCACGCTCGCCAACACCACGCTCGCCAACACCACGCTCGCCAACACCACGCTCGCCAACACCACACTCCCCCACTCCTCCCCGCCCAACACCACGCTCGCCAACACCACACTCCCCCACTCCTCCCCCCCCAACACAACTGTTGCCATCGTAAGCTCCTCACTAGTATTTTCCGTACTGCTTCTGATATTCATTTATTTGCAGGAATGTCTGGCATCAAACCATTATGAAAACGACTGCGATCACAATTAACTTGCAAGGCATCAGATCTCCAGACGAGGTGCACCTGAGGTCGCAAGGGAGTAGTCTCCTCCTTGATGCGAGCAACGCAGACATCAACTACAGGTGGAGGGCGAATTTTCGCGGCCCAATTAGCGTAAGTTCTTCATTACCAAGATATGGAGCTGTACTGAGCAAACTAGCCCGACTTCGTATTTGTGGGGCTGGTTGGGGAGGAGCTACGAATCATGGCGACGGCAATGATGTATAGAGACGACGAATACGAACCACATGAATACCCCGTAGCTGGTGAGTCTCGCCCCCCATCGCGGACATGGTAACTAACTTCTACTTAGCTCAATCGCCATGGTAGATAATATCTACCATTCCCATTTCTTGAAACTCACTCGCACTCGCACTCGCACTCGCACTCGCATTTGACCTATACGGCGCTGTTCTGAATCTGCATCTTGCTATCTTGTACCCATATCATACATACTGTATACTCGTATTAATCTACCATTTCTTGTATTTACACGTGTATCCTCGCCTCTTGAATACACACTGTTGGAATCTTGTCATCGCTGTCAGAAATGCATTAATGAAATTCCATGTAAATGAGAGTAGAAAGACGACGTACGAAGCAATTGGCATGGGTACGTCGATACTTGTTGAGCCCAACTCCGAGAAACTTTTGGCCGTGGAATAATGCCAGTACTAGGCCCAGCAACACCACTAGGCGCGTCAGCGGCTGATGGAATTTGTTACCATTGGTGGTGAGCAGTATCGCAACGGGCGACTTAGGGCTTGAAGAGTCTAGCTGAGGTCCCGCGGACCTTCCAGACAAAGTCCTCGTAGGCGTCACAGACCCCGGTACACCTCCACCAGGCGCAGACGCGGGAGGCATTAATTCAGGAGCAGCGGCCACATTGGCTGGTCCAAGAGGAGGCCCCACAAACGGCTCGGGACAGAATGTGATGGCGACTGGTCCAATAGAACTCGCCGAATCGACTTCACAGTCTAGCGAATAACGTCGGGCCTCTGCCCAAGATTCCTCTCGACGTCATCGCCATGTGCAACGCCCTCGAGAGTCCGCCAAGCCCGCTGCCTGGGTGACGTGGGAGAGGGGTACCTGTCGTTGGCGGATACCGCGAATTGGCGGCCACGGACAGATGGCCTGGCTCGCTTGGCCTTTGGGAACCATACAGCAGCACGGCAACGGACGGTGGAAGATGGGAAGTAGGGTACGTACATCGGGCCTTGCGACAAGACAGTCGGCTTTGGCGCGTTAGGGTGAGGCATGAAGAGACTGGTTCTCGTGACAGAGTCGGGATGCTTTTCACCCCTCAATTCAGCGAGCGACGGGCGAAGGTGCGAGACCGGGGGAGCCAGTAATGGAGTGGCTGGAGACTGGGGTGGAGGAGGGGCCATCTCGGCGGTCGCGGAAAGGAGAATGGTGTCAGATGATGTCGAGTTCGCCGCGAAAGAGTCTAAAGGAACGGGGACGTAGTCCTCGGGATGTCTTCGAGTGTATTGTCGATGGAATCGTGGGGGTTTACCAGTGGTAGTCCAGCTGAAGCGATGTCGTCATTTCCTCCCTTCCAGTCCTTCTGAAGACCTCCTTCTCCCGCTAGTTCAGGACTTTCTTGCCGTTCATCACCTCCCTCAAAATCTGCGGAGACGAAGCTCATCAGGAAAAACCTCCTCGGTATAAGGCGGCACAATTGCCCAGAATTTAACACAATATGTACATTTGCGGTAGAATTATCAAATTGGGAATGTTGAATAATTGTCAAGAAGTTACGGGGCCCCCCGCCGCATCAATGTACATCTTACATTCAATTCATGTCCAATTCACCGACAATTCATTGCCAATCTTAGCATAATGTATACTCAAAGATGGCATAATGACATATTGTAACGAAAAATTCTGATAGATTGCTCGTTATTAACACAATAATGCCACTATCATTCAAGTATCGTTGCAAGTAGTTTTCAGTATAATGAATTGGGATTGTATTGCTATTCTACGGTAATACAAACATATACAATGAGATATCAATCTGACACCTCCATGATTTCGAGGTCAAGATCTGCGAGAACTTCATCATGCAATGAAGCTGAGGCATATTGGCTTCCCCTGATATAGAACGCGATGAGTCATGCTTCATCAAGTATTTGTACCCAGCGCACTCACCCCACTTCCGTAAATAGCTTGTGCATGAGTTTGTGATACAACACTGGTTTCGAACGAAGCATCTCGAAAAGGCTGTCCATGTGGCGACGGTATGGTTCGACCCACGTTGTTCCCTTGAGCTCGATAGTTGTATTGCTGCCGGTCAGCAGCTCATGTAGCCGGATTTCAACCTGAAAGCTAAATGAATGGAGTGTGAAGAAAGACAAATAAGAAGTGTACCATTGTCATGACAAAGGCAACCATAAATGGACTGATCTCACGTTCTTCAGGCTCCATTGTGGATGAGAAAGAGTTTGGGTACTTTCTACCCACACCGTCACGGATAATACAGTTGAGAAACCCGGTTTCTGGGGTTTCTCCGCGTAACTTTGGAAACCCCTAGCAACAATGCAAAGTTGAGCGCGTGGTTTTTTTTAAATTTCTGCATTTATATACCGCAACGAGTATGCTACGCTACTAAGACGCGGTGTAGGTTGGGCACAAACAAGTAGCTACATTCCCTGCTTGGGGGCTTAGAGGACCCTGGTTTATGACCGTGAAGGCTTGATCCAGCAAGGCCCAAAATGTCTGAATGGATATAGGCCAAAAGTGTCTGATTTGAACCCGGCCCTTCCCAAATTTCGACGAAATGTCCATTTTTCAGAGGAGGCCCTGCGGGCCTCACAATTTGTCTGAATTTTCGGTTCAGGCCTTCTGGGGCTCTCAAAATGTCTGAAATATGGTATTAGGCATCCCGTGGGCTCTACAAGGCTAGTAGATGCCTCACGAAAGCTTTATACAGTGTATACAGACTCCCCCACACACGTAGCTCCCATTCTACCCTTCCGAATCGTCCAATAACCATGCAGTCTTATTTTTCTTCCTTGATAGTACCATTACCTTTGCTAGCTTCGCTTTCGATGCATATAACTGCCTATATACTTCCCAGTCTTGCTCCGTCAACTCCATCTCCATGTTGCTACTTGAGTTTGCAGGTTTTAACGGGGCATCCTTGAGCCTGGACAAGAAGGCGAGCAAGGGAAGGGTTGCAAAGTGACGAGTAAGGAAATGCGATGTTGTATCCGTGATGGTGCTAAATCGCCGCCCTTCAAGCCTATCCATGACATTGCGGCAACATTGAAGGCTTCTGATTGTGACACATGTCGACCATTCTTACCGCCGCCTTTGGCATATAGCACCACAACTGTAAACATAGTCAGATGCAGTCCGATGTTCTTGAGATACACGACACACAATGTATGACGAGCAACCCAACGTCGGCACCTCCACTGAAAATGTCCGAAAATGGATCCCGCCTAGGGACCAAATCCCAAAAATGTCCGAAAAAAGGACCAGGGTGTTTCACCTTTTTGGGCGTAAAATGTCTGAAAGTCCTCAGGCCGAGCGGCCTTCAGCCGCTCAAATCTGAAATCGGATCAGGGGGCTGACCTATTAACCAGGGTCCTGGGCTTAGCCCATCCAAGCGTCGGCAGCGAGGGTGCATTAAAAAACCTTTTGGTAAAACCCTGTGGGAAAAAGCCGCCAGGAAAAAGCTACCTGCTGTACCCGTTTGAGACGGGGCGGTGGGGACGTTATGGAGTGGGGCCGACGAGGAGTAGTTCCGGGTGACAAGCAGCGAAGTTGACCTGTGGATGATGGCATCAGCGATGTTGGGACTATGTGACGGGAGGCATTAGGAGAGCGAAGGGAGAACGGGTAAACTTAAGTGCACGGCGCGTTTTGTAGGTATACTTAGCTAGTATCAATCATGTCGTCGGAAGGCAGTTGAGTGTTGAATGAACTTAGCGATAGCTGCTAATCCTTTTTGCGTGCCGAGTAAGAAATCGAGGGAGAGTGACGACGATGCTTCCCTAAGGATGTGGCGAGCATGTTCATGGAGAGGGCATTCAGTGAGGACATGTGCTCTAGTTTGAAGTAGTGTGTCGTCGCATGGACACGACGATGGTAGCCGAGGGACAAAACAGGAGAAGTACTCTCCGACGAACGCGTGACCGAGGGAGGCCTGTATGGTGTGAGAGTATGTGCGACGGTTGCCGGTAAATGTGCGATGGAACTTGGCAAGTTTGTAGGACGGGGGATGAGTAAGGGATAGGGCCGAAGGTGATGTTTTAGCAGATTCCTTCCACTGCTTCACCCATTGTTCCAGGGCTTTGGCTTTGGCATTAGCTTTAGCCCACGCAATTGTCGATCCGATGAAGGGCCTCTGGGCTGCTGCGGCCTTTGCTAATGTATCTGCTCTCTCATTTCCTCGAATTCCCGAATGCCCTGGCGACCAGGAGACACTAACTGAGAGGCCACGGTGAGATGATAGTAGTTGGTCGATGTTTTCTCAGAAAACAACTGACGCATCCTGCGATGGGTGCGGGCTTGTGTCGTAGATGGCCATGATCGCCGAGGTGTTGTCAGCAAAGATGTGAATACGTTTTACAGTTGGGATGTGTTGAACCACGTCTCGCAGGCGCTGGGAGGCACGAGCGAGGGCATACATTTCACCGTCGAAATTGTCTGAGCACGTGCCTAACCCAAGAATCCCTTGGGCTATTTCTCTACCTAGATGAAAGACAGTAAAGGCTGCTCCAGTGCGTAGTTCATCACCTACCGGGTGTCTCGAGCCATCTGTGAAGACATTGACGACTGAGGGGTCCGATCTTGCATCTGCTTCGCATTTGCAAATGTTTCTGATTAGCTGTTTGCGAACATCGCTATCTGTCGGGGCGTAGCTAGAGAACAACAGGCAATGCCCCCACTTGTTACCCAGTTCCCAGGGTGGGGTGGCGTATGGATTGGTACGTTCATCAATATCGAGCGAGAAATGGGCTCGAGTTGCCATAAGCTGCAGATTGGTGCCTTTTTTCCGACTTTTGGAGCGTGTCGGGCCTTGGACTGGGCCGTAGTTCCATGGTTCTGATAAGCGTATGACAGGCTGGGCGTGCCGTCGTAGCGAGCGGAGGCGGATTGCTGCATTAGCAATGGTACGCTCCAAGAGAAGGGGAATCGGCAGAATTGACCCAATATGATGTAGCGCTGCAACCGGGGAGGTGCGGAAGGTCCCTAGAATGAGGCGAAGACCCGCGTTTTGCACTTTGGTCATTTGTTTAGTTAGCCCTTTCTGGCGTATGCCGGTGTACCAGAGAGGGGCGCCGTATGTGAGAACTAGGAGGACAATGGTCTTGTAAGCTAGGCGGCGATTAGCATGATTCATTCCTCGCACGGAATTGCCGAGGACGTTGAGTGCTTGCACCTTTGACATGGTGCGGTTGCACATGACGCGAACATGTTCTTTAAACTCGAGCTTGCGGTCAAGGAAGAAGCCTAACCACCTCATGATTGGGTTGGGGAAAACTGTTAGCGAGTTATCTGGCGCAAGGCGAATGTGAATAGGGAGTAGGTCTGGAGACTTAGCTCTAGTAAAGTGCATGATTTCAAATTTCCCCTGGTCGACCGAAAGGCCGGCCGCTTGGAGAGCACCGTTAATGGTTTGAAAGTCAGCTTGAAGTTGGTGTATGTTATCTGCAATCGACTTGGAGAAAGCCACCAAAAGACCATCGTCGACGTAAAAATAAAGTGCCGACGTGTTAGACCTTATCGACACTTCAATTACCGGGCTAGTATAAAGCGCCGCGAGGATTGGGGAGAGGGGAGAACCTTGAGGGATCCCGACTGAGCTAATCGATGGGTCGGTATTGAACCCATTGATTCGTATGGAGATTTGGCGATTTGAGATGAAACTTTGAATCCACGCTCGAACCTGGGAGGGGAAGCCAGCCAGACGTAGGACTTCAAGGAGGCGACCATGGTGAACGTGATCGAAGAACCCCTTAATATCAAACGCTAACGCTGACGCAGTTAGTCCTTTTTTCCAGCCTGACTGAATATCGTGGACGAGGGTGACACCAGCGTCTGTTGTTGACGAGTGGTCCCTGCACCCAAACTGGTTAGTAGGAATGAGCTGATATTTCCCTACATCAAATAGAATGCGGCGGGTGACCACCTTCTCCAGGAGCTTGGAGAGGCATTCCAGTAGCGAGATTGGGCGATACGACCGAGGTTGAGACATGTCCGTCTTGCCTGGTTTTGGGACAATGGCAACGATAGTTGCTCGCCATGCCTTTGGGTGATGTCCAAGACGGAGGCAGGCGTTGAAAACATCTGTGAGAAGACGGCTGCACATGGGAAAGCTCCATTTGATGAGGCGATAGCTGATTTCAGACGGTCCTGGAGCAGAGACGTTAGATGTGCTGTGTAATGCGTCACTTACCTCATCTACCGATATTGGAATAAAGTCCCTAACGGGCTTGGCTTGCGGATCACTCTCTTGCGAGATGTCAACTTGCGGCGGCACTGGCGGAAAGAACACAGTCCTGAGAGTTTCTCCCAGCTCAGCTGGGGACGCTGCTACACCAGTATCGGTGATGAGTGGCGGGACACAAGTCTTGCGCTTGCCTGCAGACCAGTCTGCCAGACGCCACACATTATCCGGAGTAGCTGTTTCAAGAATACTATTAGCCCATTCTTGCTTAGCCTTCTTGACAATGCGGTGCATGTGGTTGAGGAGCTTGGGCTTGTCCTCCCAGGGGGCATTGCGCATCTCCTCAACTGCTTTACGGCAGTCCTCGTTCCACCACCGTGCGGCCTATGCCATTATGGGCTTGCAATCTGGCATACAAGCATTAGTAGCCTGAACGTAGCACTCAACTAACCTGTCCACGAGCTGATCTAACTCCTGAGCTGTCTCTGGATTCCTGTAGCCGGCTGTGACTTCTCGAATACGGGCCGAAAATTCTGCTGACCACTCTTGTTGCTTCTCTGGATCCAGCCGCTTTCCCAAATCGGACGGAGAGTCTTCTTCGACTGGCGGTGGGAGCTGAGCTGTATAGACGATGGCATTGTGGTCCGAACCAAATGAGAGGTTCTCGTCGACAATTGGCGCACTAAACATAGACATGTCCACGGCCGCACGGTTAATGAATACGAGATCGATAATTGAATCACGCTGTCCGTCGGCGCCGAGTCTTGTACGCACGCCCCTAGGATTAGCCAGAAAGAAGAGATTGTCGGTCGCCCATTCCAGAAGGTCTTCGGCAGACTGCTGGTTGGCAGACGGGGGAATTGACCAAGCCGAGTGATGGAGGTTGAAGTCGCCAGCTACTACTGTTGGCACCGCAGGACTGAGAGGAAGGAATGACAGCATTGTTACTGCTTCAGCTTTTGCACCATTGCCGCCGTTATAGACGTTTACTGTAAGAAAGGTTGAGCCGCCGTAAGTAATTTCAACAGGCAAAAGATTTGGATGCTTAGCAATGTCCGGGCGGGGAGTTGCCTTGAGGCCTGCCACATTGTGTTTGACATATGTCGCGACCTTGGGGCACCCAGGCGCTAGAGGCGCGAATGACTCCCAGGCTTGCGAGGCTGTGAAGCCATTAATGGGCCGACCCTCTGGGGACGTGTCTGCCTTATCTAATCCGATGCGGCCATACCATGGTTCCTGAAGAAGAAGAATGTGAGTATCAGTCAAGTGGTTAAGCATAATGTGGGTGCGCGCCGAGGAGCGCGCTATGTTGAGCTGCACAATTCTCGACGGGGGGAGGTTGTTCATGCATCAACCTGCATGTGTGGTGGGGCAGGGGGGTTTTGTGGCTGTCGTTGGGGCTGCAGTGCCATTTGCGGAGGAGGGGCCAGCGGGGGAACAAGTCGAGGGACGAATTTGCGCTTTTCCGGGCAGCAGCCATCTGTGGCCCAGTGTTCACCCTCACAGTTGGCACACTTAGGCGTGCATTTACATGAGCTGGAACCATCTTTGAGAACCGAAGGACAGTAGACATTGTGTTCTGTCGTCGGATGCCTTTGCGCACATTTAGCACACACATGCGGCTTGGCACATAGCTTTGCCGTATGGCCGAGGCCTTGACATCTATCACATTGGGTCAGCCTGGGCTTTTCTCTCCAAGGACGTACCGGGGTGTGGCGCCCATCCATGAAGATGGGGGTCTTGAATAGTTCTTTAAGTTTTGATCCATCCGGGTCCTCAAATGCGAAGACAACTGGCGCGACTGGGGGCAATCCTTCGGCTGGGTTGGACACGAAGCGAGGCTCCTGGGTTATTTTGAGGCTCTTGATGATTGGATTGCGCCTGAGGAGGACACCAAGGGCCTTGGAGTCCCAATAATGGCCATCAAAGCCTACGGAGGGTACCCTCGAACAAACTGCCTTGGACCATTTCGTGTCGTGCGATATTATGACCTCGTCGAGGCCGTGATCTACAATGGGATGTAACAGATTAATATGATTATATACAGTGTTTGGATTAACGTGGGAGGGGAAGGTAAGAATTATGTTACCGCTGCGGTTCCATTCCGCACCAAGAATTTCTAAGCCGTCATTACGAGCGGCAGCATTATTGCTAAAAGCGTGGTTGAGAGCATGGAATAAAACATGCGAGGATTTGCGTTCGGCTTCGGGGGGTAGGCGACCTCGGAAACGTACAACGAACTTTGTGTTTGACTTCGAAGCCGGGGCCAGGCCGACGGCCTTAGGTTGCTGGGCTGGCTTGGGTTGACTCGAAGGAGCTGACTTAGCAGCTGATGCATACGACGATGGGGTGGGGGCTTGTGGCCGTGAGGTGGGCGTGATATTGGTTGAGTTGGGGACGGAAGAAGGGAGTGGGACAGATCCGAGCCGCCTTTCCACATTTGAAATCCGCGAGGAGAGATTAGCCTCCAGGCTGAGGAAGAGATCCTTAATCTCTGATTTGAATCCGTCAAAACCTTTATCTTGGGCCGGGGCGGGCGCGCTAGGTTGGGACATGAAGATGTCATCGTCAACCGACACCATGCTGTCGATCTCGCGTAGTGTGTTCTTGAGTGCTTTAGCGACGCTAAGGACCTCTGCTACTGCATCGCCGTCATTGGTCCAACCGAGCGTGCTTCTGGCACCGTCTACTATATCGCCAAGCAGCTCTACGCAGGCCCGACTCCATTCCGTGCATGACATATCTCGAGTGCCCCCACCCCGACGGATCGCCGTAAAGTAGGCGCGACGAGGCGTGGGGGGCGGCAGGGCGTTGTTTGATTCGATTCTAGCACGTTTTCGCGTAGGAGTTGCGTCGACGCGGTCGGACATGGGGACGTAGAAGTCATCGAGGTTTGGCACTGATTTCGGGTCTCCGAACTCGGATTCGAAGGCGCTGGGCGGGCGAGGAGGTGGAGTCTGCGGTAGCAATTGGGGCCAGGCCTCAGTGGTTTGAAATCCACCGCTTGGCTGGGCGTTAGAGGCCCCGGGGTTGGGAGGGAATTGGTTAGCTTGAGGAAGCGATATGGTGAAAGCGTGGGCGCTAAACGAGCTGGTGGGAGTAAGAAGCCAAAAGGCGTCCGCACGTGCTCGTGGTCCTTGTTCGGCAAATGCAGCCGTCTGGCGCCTTCACCTGTTATCACCATGAAGTTCCAAAGCCCCGTCGCAGTCTTTCTCCCTTTCCTCGCCGGCGCATACGCCTCCGTCGACGACCAGCTCCCCATGGCGGACACCCATCATCAAACTCGTTTGAACCCCTTACCTCCTCGAAACCAACTTTAGCCGACCTGCTGACAATTGAATCTTCTGCGTCCATATTTTACTCATACGCACGCGAACTCGAATTGTGCGCGATCTTCTCTGATGAGGGCGTCAACAGCACGCTGCTCGTTCCAACGAACAAGGCCGTTATGGCACTACATCGGAAACCGTGAGTCTTACTACTCCGCTTACTTCGTGTCGTCTCAAAATTCTAACGGTGGCCCAGGCATCAAGGACCTGAAACGGTTAGCGGCGACGTGACGATATCCGAAGAGGAGTTTGATAGTATATCGAAGAGGAACGTCGAGAAATGGATCTCGGCTCATATCATACCAGTACGCCTCTTTCCCCGAGGGACGATCTCAGAATAATTCATTTGATTGACCCAGGAATCGCCTATTACGCTGGAATCGAAGACTTATCCTACACTTCTGCACCGAAAGACCGTGTCGTTCACAGCTCTTCCGAAATCGGACCCGAAAGCAGCTGAGTGGACTCGGGTACTCGTAAACGGCGACGTTCATATCATCGGGATGAAAGAGGTACGCTAGAGCTTCGCCTACACCAATGGTCACCCGTCAATTATCCCTACGCTCGAAGTTATCATTGCCCAATCTTTGGCGAAAGCAAAGTCGACAAGATGACGCCTCCAGCATCGCCGCAAGCTCGATCGATAATGAGTACGAGACAGCGCAGGCCGAGGGCATGGACTTCGAGCTTGTACGACCCAGCTTCAGCCACCTTCATTCCGCAAGAACCAGCGAAGATTCGTCTTTCGTGAAGGACGGAGGGTCCATCGATCTAGGCAAGCCAGAACTGACTATTGGTGGACTCTTGCGAACGGGTAGTCCTGCGATGTCTTTCTCGTGGGCATAGGCAAAGGGAGCTCCGGTGGATTGCGCTGATGTCGTCCGTACCTGCTTCGCAAGCGAGGAAGAATAAGAAGGTGAAGAAGCTTCTAGTAGAGGGTGTCCCGTCCTCCGTGAGGTATCTGGTGCGGATCCATCTGACGGACGGGAAGGCAAAGAATGTGCCGAAGGTATATGAGCAGTTGGTGAAGAGGGGGCATGTACCGAGCTACAAGGAGATCGAAAGGGACGTGCAAGCGTATATTCGAGAGAACTCCCAACCCCCCACGATGAGGGAGTCCATGATGTCGTTACTCGAAGCGTACTTGACCATGGTTCCAGATGTGCAATATAGTCGAGGTGCGTTTTGATTAACTCGCCTCTTCGTGTTTTCAACTGACCGTGATGTAGGTCTAACCTTGATTGTCGGGAATATCCCGTTGTTGGCACCTGAGGAAGACAGATTTTGGACGTTCGTTTTCCCTGATGGACTCGTATCTTCGGCCCTATTTCTCCTCGAGCAGTTCACAGATGGAGGTTGACGCCATGCTGTTCAGCCGGGCACTTGAGGCGAATGATCCTCAGGTGGCCAAGAAAGTATTCACGACAATGTCCCTTAATCCGACCGCTATCTGCTTCCCTTGGTACGCCGCAGCCTCTCCTCGTGATTGCTCCGTACTCACAGATCGTAGGTTTACGGGATACCTGTATATCGTATTCGGGTAATCGGTGAGAAATGGTGGAGGAACGGGCTCACCTTCGAACAGAAAGAGATCCCACACTCGCTGAACGTACGATGAAGGGAGCGTGTTGACGAAGAGGGAGGTTCCTTGTTCGCGTCGGTCTCGCCCTCATCAGCACCTGCCGTCGACAAATCCTAGAAGCTACAAGCACAGAGGCCGTCCTCCAGCTACTTCATCATCCACCCTCTTCGCTTCTCCTATCTTCCCCCGACGCTTTCCTTTCTCTCTTGAATTCCTTCAAACTCAAAGACGACTACTTTCGTAAACAAAGGATCAAAATGGAGGCTCAAGTAAAACACCAAACACTCCGGGCGCCTGCGACTAGTTCACTCCCGAAATAATAGCTTTGTTACCATACACAACGGACCTTTGGACATTACCTATCTACCTTTCATCTACCTCGCAACTGCTATCGAAGTTCTCCTGTTCTTGTTTACACTCTTATTTTCTCTGGGATATATATTGGTGCCCGAAAAATGGACGATGATAGACACACTACTAATCTACAGTGTTGCTGAACATACCCAGAGGTTTTGAAATTCACTCCCATCCCTTATGCTTATCTATTTCGTGGAACCACTGTATTATTCGTGTTCATTGTCCGTAGACACGCAAAATATTGTATATATACACAACATGTACAGACAGAATATCCATGGACTTCGACGAGGATGCGGTGATATCGCTCGTGAGCAAGTAACAGAATCAGGAAGAGTGACCGGAAGGATAGCAAAGTGATAGCGATATGGTGCTGGGAAGGGGAGATATAAACAATTGATCATGAGGAGTTGTAAGGTAGGATGGTCGATTGCGATGCGTGTGAGGAGGCGTCGAACGGCATAATGATACATGAGGGCAACGGCGGCGATGACGTTGAACGATGTGGCGGCGGAAGGTATGGCGTAGAGGGAGCCCTGCTGGCAGCGTGTGGTAAACGTTCGGCGGCGGCTAGTACAAATATGAACAAAAGAAATCCGTAAGGTATCGTAGAAAATCCGTACAAAGTACATAATAAACAGTACAAGGAATCCTTTCGAAGATGCACATTGAATAAAGTAATGGAAGATGATATGGCACTTTTGGTCCCAAAGTTGAAGCGATGAGAGGGATGAGGATGGGGAATATGTGGGATGTAATGATATCATCGATGCAAGGTATAACCTGAACGGCGAGACGAAGCGAAGGCCAGAGCCGAGATGTTGTGGGTGAGGAGTCCACCGCCGTTCATCGCCGGGTGTAGTATTGCTTGTCGGGGAAGTTGAAGAGGCGTTTGCCATTGTTCTCGACTTCGACTTCGATGGTGACTTCTTTCTCCACCCCATCAACCATTTGCTTAACCTTCCTCTTCTCGATGGAGGGCGGCATCTTCATTGGTTGATAGGTAGGAACGTTGTCATATGACCAGGATCGTGCTAGAGGACGATAAGAGACTGCGATAATGCAAAGAACACCACGCTACTCACTTTCAATGACAGGACGCCTGTATCCATAAGCTCCATCCTCTACTTGACTTCCTTTGGAAGAGGGAGAGCGAACTGTGGAACTCGAAAGGCTTGGGCACGATCCAGTGTGATCCCGAAGCTTGAGATTGGGTGCAAGAAGCTTCCCCTGTGCTAGCGGGTGCACCAAGGGTCGTTGTTTGGTGGGCGCCGATCGCGACTTGCCTGACGCACACGATGGAGTAAGTGAACGAGCGCGGACGAAGGACGAGTGATAGTTATAGAGGAGGAGTTCGTCTTCGTACGATCGGGGCGAAGGTGCTGGGGTGGGAATAGTGGAGATGTCCTTCGTCCCAACTGTTGAGTAGACACCCTTCGAGCGATGAGCGCAAGCGTTGTGCTTGCGGTAGACTTCTTCCATTTCCGGACGCGCAGCCAAATCGGATGGATTCGTGTCAACTAGGCCATAAACCGTCGCTCTCCATGCATTCGAGCCATCGGTCCATCCGCGAATCTCCTTGAGGGGCTCCGGCGGGGCGATGTAGTTGCCGTATTGCTGGCGTTTGCGGGGCTCTGGAACGAGGCTGCGCAGCATCTTCTTGGCGTCGAAGGGCTTATGAGGTACAGGGGGAGAGATCTCCCATTCGTCTGCAGACGAGGGTGGCGAAACCGACGCCGAAGTTACAAGGGGAGGCAGAGGGGGAAGTGGGGGAAGAGGCGGAAAACCGGAGCGTGAGCTGCTGGAGTTTTGTGAGTCGACTGTAGAACTGGAAGAGTTGGTGGAAGCGGACATGGGCTCCGGAGAGCGTGAAAAGGACTCGCGGGTGGTAGCGTTGGCAAGAGGGAGTATGTCGGATGAGAAGTGCATGTCTGCGACTCTGCATTCATCAGAGCAGTAGAGCGGGAGTGGGGCGGGGTTGATCACCAATCGAGTGCGCGGGGGTTGGGCCTTTGAGTTCGTCTTTGTCTCGACGGCGGGTGTGGGTGGCGGAGGTGGCTTAAGGGCGCCGTTTGGCTTGACGCGGCCCGTTCCCTGAGCAAAGCCGCCAGTCGTGCGTGTGTTTTTTAACTTTTTATCGTTGAGTTTGGTAGCTGATGGCGGGTAGGAATGAGAAAAAGGAAGGTCAGTAGAGCGGGCGGGGCGGGACTCACGAGATGACTGAGGCGAGCTCGGGGGCGGGGCGGGAGCGGGAGCGGGGGGTGCGTCGAGCGGGATGGGGACGAGGTAGCGCTTTGGGATGATTTGTCTGCCGCATACGGGACACCAGGAATCGTCGTAGTCCATGTTGGCAGAGAAAGTGAGAGGGGCAGTGGGAATATCGCCCCCTTCTCTTTATATATAAATCCTCAAACCCTTTTATTTATTTATTTATTTATTTGCGTCCCGATTCCCCGAAACAATCACAGTAGCCGGTTGTCTTCTCAGACGTAATACCACTACTACCTTCACTCCCTTCGTCGTTCTATGGTGCTATTCACCTAGTCACCGCAAAGTTGGAACAACTGAAATAGCACCTTCAGATTTCGTCCAAATGACTATTGCTCTAGCCAAAATGCTCGTATGCTTGAAGGGATCAAACACTCTAGAGGGATTTTCGATAGGTTCCAAACTGACTGAGTTATATTTTTGCTGCGACCTCGATTTTGCGCATGCACGTGGCATGACCATATAAGGCAGGTTAGTCATCAGGGACATCTCAATATGGTAATAGATAAGATAACTACTGGTCGAATTGTTGAGCAAGTCGCTCGGGGATGCGTCGGTGCGACTTGTACACCGTAGAGCTGTATTTACGCACATGGGTCTGTGCATCCTTTGCGCCAAGACCTCCTCTGTATGCATCCATCCACTGGTACATCCTGTGCTCCCATTTCCGAATTGTTGACACATCCACGGATTGCAGAGCCTTCGGCATGTTCTCCTGGAGTGTCGTAAATGTGTAGTCACAGTGTTCGCGAAGGTAGCGCTTGACCGCGCCCCAGAAGAACTCGATAAAGTTAAGTGGAACTTGGGGAGAAAGATGCAGTGATGGCCAGCAGCTTCAATGACCTCTTGGACGAGGGACTTCTGGGCCATAAAATCCGGCTGAAGATCGAGAATGTGTTTTGCGCAGCACTCTATAGCATCTGATGCACATCGTGGCTTACACTGCATCAGAAGGCCATTGCGCCATAGCCCACGCTCAATGAGGACCTGCTTCATCCCTTTCGGCTGGTCAGGGAATTCAGGATGATCAAGTGGAAAGACCATCCGTTGAGGTATCTTGTCCTCACCGCGCATGAACCATCCATCCTTCGAGAATGGCCTTTTTCTTGTGAGACATAGGGATGATTTTCGTCGGTGGATGGGGTGCCCAAGGAAAACTTGTCTAGCTACACATTGTTCCTTACATTTCGGTACAATATTTCAAACATTTGGCAGCGCTCCTGAGCAGTCCCGAGCTAACCTGCATCGTCCCTCTGCCCCGGCTACTAAATAATTTTTCTCCCAGCTTCGCCGGGTGATTTTGCGCCTGTTCCAACTTTGCGGTGACTAGGTGAATAGCACCATACATGTCGGTCGTGACCAATAACTTTCTTCGATTCAAGCCCTTGCTGCTCGACGAGGACTCTGACGACGATGACATGCGGTCTACCGTGTCCTCGCTCTTCAGCTCTCCCAGCGACATCGATATGAGCTCAGGGACTTCCTACACCACGGACTCGAACAGGTCAGACTCCCCAGCACCTTCGGTGCTGTCCATGACCTCGTCAATGGAAGCAGCGACATTCAAGATTGAGTACGGTCGCGCGATAAACAGCACCTCGGACGTCTATGGCTTACCTGCAGACGACGAGGAGCTCGATCGTTTGGGTGGGTCACTATCTCGCTTTCGTAAACGTAACTTGATGCCGGTTAGATCGACAGCACCTCCTCTTTATCCAGGTCATGGGTAAATGCCCACGCGTGGTTCGAGAATATCTTACTCCAGCTTTCCCTGGAGACCTCAGGAATGTCCTGGACTTGGGATGTGGAAGTGGAACATGGTGAGTGCTTCAATTGTGGTCACTTGCTACGCTGAGCTTTGCGCTAGGATCATGGAAATAGCACGCGACTTTCCCAATTGTGACGCTGTGGGCGTGGACTTGGTCCCAATGCAGTCCCCGTAGGTATTTCCTCGCTGATGCCTTTCTCACACACACTCAATTGCGCAGAGACATGCCTTTTAACTGCAGGTACGGCACTCTGCCTCTTTATTTTATTTTCATTTTTCTCGGTGGCGCGTTTCACTTGGACCGGGGTCCAAGTTGCCTTTCGAAACCACGTCATTTCTGTTGGCGATCCGTCGATCAGCTGTTTGAAGTTGTAATCACCGCGAAGAATTGCTTTACGCACTGCTCACTGATCCATGCCATGACACACCAGGCCGATCTGGCTTTGGCGTTTGTACAGTAGGGCTGTCGGCGGATGTTTCTGTTTCCTCCTTCCAGTTTTGGGCGTGTTCGAAAGACGAAAGCGACGCTCCTCGCGGCGAAGGTTTATTATGACTTGGGGCCAGAAATAACTCCTTCGCGCTGGGTTTCGAGGGTCTGCTTCCCTTTCCTAGACTCCGTATGCTGCTCGTGTGGACCTGGCCATCCGTTGTCGTGACCGGCTTGTAGGTCGCTGCATTGCCCAAGTCCATCAGTTCTTTGGATGCCTATTTCCCTTCAGAAGTGCCCCTTTCCATGTTTTCAGCATGGTGCTTGTCTTGGCAGCCCGCTTGCTGTATCTTTTGTGGGATGTTTTCCTCTCGGGGTCTATTCTTTCGTTCATCATGCTGCGCCACTCCGCCTCTCATAAACACGTAACTGATAGCCCAAACAGGAGCGAAGTCGATGACATCAACCTCGGCCTGCAGCACTTCTGCGACGACTTTGATTTCGTCCACGCTCGGCTCATTTCGTCTGGGGTAAGGTCGCGCTACATGGCTTAATACGCCGGCTGACTCGGCGATCAGATCAAGGACTTCCCGGCGCTCATCCACGAAATACTATCGTTCCCACAGTTCTTGAAAAAGTTTTGGGACCTCTCAGGAGGAATATTTTTGTAGTCTTTCCAGACCTTCGTTTCTCCTCGGGTTTGGCACAAGCCTAGTTCACATATATGGCTAGCTTGTCGATTTTTCCTGAGTGATTTTTGATTTAATTGAAATGTACAATGCGATGCCGGCAGACGTCTTCAGAATGCACCCACTTCTTGAAAAAGTGTGAATGATCACAGATATTTGAGTCTCCGCAAACCGTGCCGAATCTGCCGAATGTCCAGAGCGCAAGGTCAAGATGTTGCGCGCCAAGGTTCATCGGAGCTGTAATTGATAGGAGCTCATTCACGGTCTCCCCTCGACATTGAATTACTGCTCATGTACGGCAATAGATAACAAATTGAAGAGGCCATTTTACATATATATATACTCTTCATGTGTGACATGAATATCTCTTGCTGAATCCATTGTGCCAGTATCCTAGCATCATATAATGGGTGAAACCTACACTAACCAAAATCCCTACTGTCAATGCCTTATTTAATTTGACCAGGACTTCGGGAATATGTTCCCATAGCATATACCTACACTATATTAAATTCACGAGCTCATACATGTTGTGGAGAGTTCAAAAATCCCATTTTTAAGAACTGGGTGCTTTTTCAAGAACTGTTGGAACGATAGTAGCACGGACGCTGAAACCGGGAGGCTACATCGAGCTGATGGAATTCGACTTCCACTCGTACAACAAAAGGCTTCAGCAGATATCTGTGCCGGTTGGGGCTTTGAAGCAACCGTGGTGGCCGCGGTGGCTCGCGTACGCGGAGACGGCGGTGGATCAGCGTGGCGGGACCCCGGATGCTGCGAACCACCTGCAGGAATGGGCTGAGAGGCATGGTGCGTTCGACGAGGTGATTTACCAAGACCACTGGATCCCGACTGCGCCGTGGTGCATGCAAGCGCCATGGAAACATTGGGGCGATGAGATGCGCGAGGATATCTATGTAAGGTTGTCGCCATTGTGTTGTTTGATGCTAATGTGTCCTGCAGGCTTTCATGGCTTCTGGAAGGGTGCCGGAAAGTGTTGTGAATGAGCTGGAAGAGAAGGCGACGGAGGAGCTGGGGGGCGCGAGGTATGGGACGTACATTCGTCTGCAACGGGTGATTGCGCGCAAGCGGCAGGGTTGGATTGCGCCAGAGGTGGTCTTCGAGCAGGAGCGGCTACGTCGGCAGCAGGAGGAGGAGCAGCAACAACAACAATCTTTCCAAGCCATGACCATTTAGAGTACTGATTTCCTCGCTGTCTATGCTTTCTTGCACATGTACCACATATTGTATGGACGATATCTTGGAGTCTGTCACAGGGGGGCGTGCATACGTTCATCGTATCAAGACAATTTTAGCTGCACTTGTACGTCCCCCCTTCCTTTCTCTTCCCCCTTCCTTTGTCCTAACGAATTCTTCTTTGTAATTTCTTCTTTGTATAGCATGCGACTCCTACACCTCCTGCGCCGGTGCCGGTGACCCCAAGTTCTGCCTGTCCGGCTCGCCACCCCAGACGGCAAATGCGTGCAATCCTGCTCCTCGAACACCTTCTCCACCACCCCACCCCATCAACCACATGGCACGTCGTGCCACCCTGACTGCTCAACCAGTGCACCGCCTGCTCGCCTGCCCATCCTCGCCAACGCCGCTGCTGCCCCCACCTGCGCCCGAGCGCAGTTCCTCGACCCCATCCCGTTGCCCACGACGCGCCCACCGTCATCACGAACTCGTCCAAGCAGGTGCGGGAGGGCGTAGTTCCACCATCGACTGGTGCGGGGTGGTGGTGGCGCCTCAAGCGCGCGATTTTGTGGGGGCGCAGCGCATCGCTTTTGACGTCACGGCGCAATATCCTGCGCAACCCGCCCCGCATCCAGCCACGGCGCCGTCGGTGGATGAGGAGGAGGCTGGAAGTGCTGGCAGTTGGTGAGAAGGGGGAGACGTTCTTCGGGCATCGCAAGAGCCAGCGTGTTCTACGGGGCTCAACCTCAAGCACAGCGAGCTATAAAATCAGCGAGCCGTTTGGGATGACGCACGATGCAGAGTCGATGAGGCTGCAGAGGCAGCGCACAGTGGAGGAGGCGGCGGGGTGAGAATGAAACTGATATTACAGCCGTTTGCAGATCGATAGAGACTCTTCACTCCTGCTTGTTTATACATTGTTTGTTCCTATCGGAAACCTGAGCGCGCCAAGGCTCAACTAAGTCAGGGCAGCCTATCGTGTCTATCCCCACTTCGCCCTCTACAAGCAAAGAAATTACAGAATTGACGACAGTTAGCTGGACAGAAAATACACTTATTTCGTTGAGAGGGAGCAGCCAGGAACCCGTTACTGACCTAGTTTTCCTGCCAAGACTTGAAGAGAGAGGTGAGAGCTGCGAAGAGGCAGTATGTGTCCTACTAGAAGAGCCTGAGCAACGTAGATGGACGTGGTCTGAATGCTACAGTCGAGGACAATCAAAAACAGCAACTTTGATGGAGCCGGACTGGGATTTTTTTTTTGGCCAAACTGTTGACGGATTCATAGTCAAGGACACCGAAAGAGCTCAAAAAACAATGTCCGAAGTTTTTCCCACGTAAAATGGGTGTGGCCAAAATTTTTGGACCAAAAATTCGAATTGTGTGTACCCCTTTTGGGGATTTTGAGCCCTACTTTCGCCCCAAATTCTAGACTATAGAAATTCTTTCCCCAATGTGTAGTCACTACTGAGTCGCAAATTATCTCTGATGCCCACCCACCCTTCGGCCGGAGTTGAGGCCCCCCCAAAATGGTAGTGCATGTGACATGAGTCACATGCAGCATCCCCCGAGCAACTTTGACGAGCATACTGTAGAAATAGTAACTTGGCTTAGTGGGCCGATGCCTGCGGCACGGCGTGTACGAGACCGCTTGTCATTGCCCAGTGCGAGTGATCTCTGTCACTTTCATCGCATATATTGCCAGCACAGGTATCCCCTTCACTCTAAAAGGTTGTGTTGGTGTATACAGGTTGACATTCATAAGCCTTTGACAATCTCTCTTTGTTTTGATACCATCATGAGTCCACTGTGCTGACCCTGACTTATCTACAATAATACTGGTAAAGTGGAAGTCATGCCAGAATATCATTCCTTTCAACTCTAATACCAACACCTTTCCTGCCATTTGAAACAGCATATATGGCTCCGCAAACCAAAAACTCTCATCAAACACAAACCCCACTATGCTAGGGTGACTGCGACACCAGGGGCTCAAAGAAGCTGTGCATCGAGGATGGAGGAAATGGTGAAGTAGTGGAGCTTGTCATTCAAGTGACAGGGATATTGGCTCAGCACGAGCTTCCCCCAAGATGTCGACCTGTGTAAGCCTGTTTCACCATGTGAGGTACGGCACTGACCCATGGGTGAACAGAGACAAACACAAGAGGATATTCCTACGACAGCATGTATCATTAACTGGTCACGGAGCCCCTTCCTTCACGGCTGCTGTTGAGAAACTGACACTGCTAACACAAGACTTTGACCGCTTCTTGGAGCCGAAGGCATGGACTGGATGGACACCTACCATAGAAGACAAGTGCTGTACATTGGATGCTAATAATTGGTTCTACACCCTTGCAAGGAGTGTGCCTGGGGCGGTGGACATCACATTCGTGAAAACAACAGATCCAAGAGGTTATTTGGAGAGAGCCAAAGACAACGACTTCATCCATACTGCCGATAATGTTGTGGAGTACTACCAGTACGACAAAGGAAAAAATCTGTGGGTCGAGTTACGACAATGTTGATGGACTCACTAACCTGTACGGCAGGTATTTAGAAGTTGATCCCCGCACTTTTGTAAATGGCGATATTGTCGAAGCCCACTTGTCGTTTCTGATGGTGAAATTATCCACAAAACGTCAGGATGACGCTACGGACACCTCGTCCCTCGGGAAATATTGAATGTTGGTTGTGCTGAAGGGGCTCACATGTTTGGCAAAGAACGGCCACATCGTGAGCGAAGCCTTTTTCGGTAGAATTGAGGATCTGACAAATCACAACGGTAGATCTCAATGGGATTGCCAAGGTCAAGATTGATGACCTTTACGAAAAGACGCAAGCTGCATGAGGCTCAGGAGAAGGACGACGAACAAATGGACAAGGTAATTAGCTCCTCAATGAAAAGAATGAGCTTCGGAAGCTCGGAGGACCTCTGAGCGGGCAGAACAGAGCGGCTAAAATCACACATGTATTAGTACAACATTGAGTCCGTAAGAACTCAATACTAAATTGATACTACAAGGCAGAGATATAAGAATGGCCAGAGTCTGCAACTGAGAGCATCCAACATGCATCCCTGATGAAGGGATCTCGATAGCCGTGGACGGCGCGCACGGTGCTCGAATTGAGCTTAATAACCCATGTTATTTCATCACCAACAAGATGAGGCAAGGGCGAGAAGACGGCCAATGTGTTAGCTTCCTGTCAGTTGGCGACGGTGATCCAGCCCCTACGCTCATACTTGGACTTGGCGCCATGCTGATCACCACCATCGGGACAGAGATACATTAACAAACCTTCGTCGAGGGTTTCATCACCATACAGTGAATATGCATACCACCCAGAGAGGAAATTCATGACGGCGCTGAACGGAGGATGTGAGCATCGATAATGGAGTCATGAAGGGTCAACCCACTGGAATGGTAGGCAAGAATGGCCTGTATCGGCCTGCAGTATGTCACGATGACTTGGATGTCACGATTGGCAGGCGATAGAAAGTTCACGACCTGGTTTGTGAAGGGAGAGTACACCAACGCAGTAAGCTTTGTTGGTGGCGAAGAGTGTTGGCACCCAATAGCACGCGAAGCATCCATGAGCTCATCTGCGAAGAATTGGTGAACATAAAGGTCAATGTCAGACATTTTGTAAGCGATGCGAGTGAAGAACTGTAGCGCAAATGAACCTCCGATTAAGGTTCCAGTTGCTTGTGTGTTTCGAAAGTAGGCAATGTCAGCAATCGGGATGAACACGGAAAGACTCTGGTCGATGTTGTAATGGACTCGGAGATATCATTTTGCCGTCAGATACGCAATTTTACAGGTAAGTCCATAAGCGCGGAGTGATTTCAACGACAGAAACTGAAGTATGAGGAGGTTGGCATCTCGTTTGTTGAGGAATCGTACACACTGATGGAAGATGTCAGTGTCAGAAGGCACACTGGTGGAAGCAAACACAATTACCGAAGATTGGATTTGCATGATAGTTTACTTGAAAAAGCGAGTGAAGGAACGGGGGCGGGAATACGCAAATGCGAAGACATAGGAGGGCGATGGTCTGTCGTCACTGTCAATTACACCGGCAAGACACGGGAGAGCGAAAGAGGCAAAAGTAGGCGGCCAATAAGAAAAGAACGATCATATAATGGAACAAATAAGGCAAAATACCAAACAGCCAATAGGAAAAGGTGACAGACGCTGTTGGCCAATGAGAACTAGGTGCCTAGCCCCTACAACTTTCTGAAAGCTTAGCTGGTATTAACGAGCCTCCATTTCATTCCGGTCTCGTAAACTCAGTATTGTGGGGGTACAATGACTCTATATTCATGTACCTGTAGAAATAGTAAACTACGAGTACGAGTGAGTACGCGTTAAGTAAAGATAGGTAAAGACAAAAAGGGCTCACCTCAGTATTGTGGGGGTACAATGACTGAGGTGCCGAAAAGTGAAGGAACACATATATAATGGTTGCGACTCGCGCATGCGTGCGCGTGGGCAGTGAATCAGATGTAAGTAGTAAAAGGCGTGATAAGAGACATGAAACGGAAACGGTGCAAGTTGACGCATGGCCAACTTGCATTACCCGTTTCGGCTAACGGATAGCCGTATTTGGCTAGCGATGGACTCGCCGTGTGTTTGCTAACCCAACACATACGGGGAGCGCAACATCGCTCTAAGAGTTCCAGCCATAGCACTATCAGATAGAGGCAAATTTTAGGCCCTGTTCGGGATCCCCAACTAGCAGTTGGGGGTCCAGTTAGTAAAATCACAACTAGCGAGACAAATCGTGTAATCCTCGGCGCTACATTTAGTCTAGGGCGCTACATTTAGATGTGTGACAACAATCAGGTGATACCCCATTTAGATTGTGTTCAACCAGTTTTCAGTGGTGAAATTTCATTGCAGTTACCTTTCACATTTTGAAGAAAGTCAATAAGCCCTCAACCTCAGTAAAAACGTGTTGGTGGTCATCGGTCTCCATTTGGGAACGTTTGGTGCTCACATGTCTCCAAATAGTATTGAACCGGTCTCTATTTTACCAACCCACGACCAGATAGTCACAGTTTGGTGGTAATTAAAGAGAGTGTGGGAGAAAATGTGTCCCGATGCGCGCTTAGAGAAATTTCTGATACTGCCTAAATCTACTGTCCCCCCATAGAACAACCTAAGAATACAATGTATAGATACTCTGCAACATCCCAAGTGATTAGAGTGGCGGTATGGACCATGTACAGGGCCTCAGTGGCTCGCAAATGGTGAAATCAATATTTTTATTCCCACGGAAATATTCAAATAGTCATACATTGGTGCCCAATTTACCTATCCCGCACCTTCGTTTTTACTGAGCCTCAACTGTGAACTTAAAGTGCTGATAGTATCAAATACAATGAGCTATAGGCCTGGCTGTCTCATATACTGCCAGTACTGGTGTATCTGCTGCTGCTAGGTCTTGAAACAGAGTCCAAATGTATACATCAATTCTGAGTGGTCAAATGTGGATTGATGAGCTTTAAGAAGGTATTTTACTCCCGTTGTGCGAGCTGATATGTGTTAAACGAGGGAGACAAGAAGCTGGCAGAGTCACGCGTGACATGTTGCTTAGTTGGTTCACACGTAGTTAGAGTGGCTACCGAACACCTTCCCCCAACTAGTTTAGCCATAAATCGGTTCTTATTATCCCAACTACATTCTCGCGGGCAACAACTACTAGTTACGATCTTCCTGGGGATCCCGAACAGGGCCTTATTTTATTTTATTTTTACCTATTTTATTTGATGTGGCCAAAATTTTGGGCCTCCGCCAAAAACTAGCGCCTGATCGGCTCGATAGAATCACTTCGGACCCAACGGAATATCAAACTAGATACCTCCAGATGCGTACAAAAACAAGTCTGAGGGCAAAAAAAAAGGTTGACCTAAACTTGCTGTTTTTGATTGTCCCCGACCGTACATCGATGAGGAAAACTCTGGTCACCGCTTCGGGCCGGCAGGGCTTGGCGCGTTCAGATTTCCGATAGGAACAAACAATGTATAAACAAGCAGGAGTGGAGAGTCTCTATCGATCTGCAAACGGCTGTAAGCACATGAACGCCAACGGGATTTAGGCACCCAGGGGGAGAGACGGCCATCTTGTTACAGGCCCTCACGCCTGCCGCGATGCGGACCCCAGGCTGCGTAATATACCTCGCGTCCAACCGAGAAGCGCCCGGGCGGGGACGGGGTAAGGCCTGCACGCCTGTGGCAAGTTATGCAGAACATTTGCTGGTATTCTCCTCATCGACCACCTGTGAAGATTTCAGAAACTGACTCGACGATATGCATAGTATCTTCTCGAGACTGAATAATGGCTCTTCGCTACTATCATCGTGCTTGATGGGCCTCTTGCTGGCCATCACACCATCCACTTTCGTCTTCACGGCAGAACCCCGAGGAAACTTGACCATTGGGTCAATACGAGTGTGCGTGCTGATAGTGGTCTCACCTTGGTGAAGTTAATACGGGGGTTATAGGGAATCCTCGATGATACAAACAACCAAACGCAAGAAGTCGGCGTAGTGCGATTCAATGTTACTGCTGGTGCGCTCTCATCCGCTACGAAAGGGCCCTTTTTAACCCTATGGGCTCTACGCACACGTATTAATAATACTACCACCTCGTCGCTTCATCGTCTCTCTACGAACCCACGCGCCCATGCAATGCTGCAGATCTCACACCGCTATTTCATTGGAATACCACAGGGTGCAGGATCAAATAATACTGGGCCTTGTATGAGATTATTATGTGGGAATTATCGTCGGTAAAGATCCCATATCAGGCCCCGTAATATGCAATCAATATATTAGCTAACTCACAGATATTATATTCAAATGTATTAGATTATTTTGAAAACATTATGCAGATTGTATGTCGGTATTAATCGTTATCGAAGCCTGGGAAGAATAAACTATTAGCTAGATATAGATAAGGAATAAACCCACTGGATATATGTAGTTTACAGATTTTTGTTTGTTCGATACCGATCCGATATTAGCGGGATTGTTATAAGGACATTATTTATTATAGCCGTAGGAAAACATTTAAAATATACATTACATACATTCTCACGATTTACCATAAAATAGTCACTGAGATATCCGATGGTTATCCATTGAATTGATTGACTATTTTCCCCTCAATCAACGGGATATCATAGGTATTAATATTCGATCATTATGTGTCATTTTATTTGAAGAATTCAGAGGAAAATACAGGAGGGATATTTGATCCATATTTGGAATAGTATATGGCAAATTAAATATGTATTAACCATTTTGTTATGTGGGGAATATGAAACCGTGGTAGACGATCAATATCAGGAATAGATATTCAAGAGATATCTTATCGGTATGTTACATCCATATCGGGTTCAAACGCACATCACGTGACCTCGCCGACACGTCCAAAAAAAAAACAGAGGCCAGAAAGCACATACACTGCAGGGGGCTATCCAAGGGAATACCTCATCCGAACTTGTATATTCCAATCCGTCCCTAACTGAAGACACCACGCACTGTAGAACGAGCGAACGCTACGCAAAATGCGCACGAGGGAATGGTGAAAAGAAACGTCGAACGTCGAACTAGAGATAACGTCGAACGCGAACGGGAACATACTGCGCCCCGTACCATACACACGACATGAACCAAGGTGACGCTAATATCGTTGAGGAAGTGACTAAATGGGCTGAACGGGTGTCGGTACAAGAGGGCCAACGACGGGGCGAGAAGGGGTATTGGATCAGACGATCAACGAACGAAGGAATGGGCAGGTGGGTGAACGGGATGGGAATAGGAACGGCCGGGGTGGAAATGAAACGAGCGAGAGATGTGAAGAACCCGTCTTCGCGCTGTAGGTGGAATTTAGGAGTCGTTCATGCACGCGCGCGGCCGTAGGCAGTAAGCCGATGAATGTCGCGCCAGCAACTAGTAAACGATGTACCGAGTTAGATAGGCCTTGAACATATTGGATTGCTACTTACCTGCGTGCGCGTCGAGGATTCGGGGGACCTGGATCTAGAGTTGTAGCTAGCTAGTGGTAGTTGACGACCTCTCAGTGATAAAGGAATGAGCAAGTCTAGCGAGCCAACGGGGTGCTCACCGGATGTTTCAGGCGTTGGAAGAGGATGGACGGGAGAGGGAAACAGAGAGTCAAGGTGAGTTGGAATGGGCCGAAGTGAGGGACGGAGGAAGTCGTGTATGCGTTGATAGGGCGTCGTAGAGGATGCGAAATTTTGGGTTGGCGCGAAATTGACGTTTACGGAGACGAGCGAGGGAACGAAGGTCAACGTTGGGGAGGAACTCGAATCTGAGACGTGTGGGCCGTCTCGCGAACACAGACGCCCCACGGTGTTGGCGCGATCCCATGCCAACTCTCCTCCCAACACCGCCGAACCCGCCTCTCTTCCTTCACCGTCTCTATTCACCCCGCCTCTCTTCCTCCACCGCTATCCATTGACTCCGACTCTCCTTCCTCCATTACTATCGCGTCTCGTTCATACCTATCATCAAAGGTCAGGCCTGCGCTGTACAATGGACGACGTGACTAAGGGCTTCCTTAGTCTGTATCAATGACCCAACTTCGAATTATACGCACCCTGCTCTCGAGGGGGTCCACGACGCGGGAGCACGTCATTCGGGTCGCGATGGAGTGGTTGCGCTCAGCAGCAATCATGCAGGCAATCTCGAACCGACTCGGGTATCCGGTTCGACGCCTGCAATGTTGGATCATCGTGTAAGTTCTCGTCACGCTTCCTCAGTCCTTGCCTAACTTTGCACAGTAAAGAGCGCCATCGAAGCGAAGATCGCGAACCCCACATTACCATTCGAGGATACCGACACGGTAGGGGCGTTGTAACCGCCCACATTTACGTGAACGACCGATACGTTCGACAAGGCTCCGCGATCTTCGCTTCGGGAGCGCGTGTTCGTGCCAAAACATCTTGTGTCCACTTGTAAGTCGTCCTCCGTAGATTCAGGCGTCGTTACTAATTGGACTTAAGTGATATAAACAGTTAGCTATTTGTTGAATGTTCTCTTTCTTGTTTGTAAATCAACGCGTAACGAATAGATGTAGCTACTATAGGCCTGATGACCTTGTTGGACGAGCATTCGAAACTGTCCACCTATGTGACGTTTCCCTTACTTGCATGAATTGGCCTTGGGATGCTATTCCACGCTCCATATCAAGTGTTTATGAGAGCTCTCAAACCTTCTAAGCTGGCTTCTGCTACACAAGTGCTTTCTTCTTCGTTCAGTTCACAGGAGCTACCGTTGGTTTGGTAGGCATCATATATTCGGTTATTCGACCGCTTTTCTCACCATGTGGCTGAACAGTCGATGGAATTAGACAGACTTCCACGGAGGACAATACGGCTGCACCTATCGAAATCTACGTCTTGTGGACAGACTCGAGGCAATGGCAAGTGATTGCGGCATGTCGAGCGGCCAGGATCAGGAACAAAGCGGACAGTCGATTTACGTACGCGTTAACGATCAAAGCTGGGAGATGAGGCGCATTGAAGATATTGGCCTGCGAGACTTTGATCACGACGATGCAGAATGAGGTTAGCCTGGACCGTTTGTGCTTGGCCGTGCTGTTCAAACAACCGGACGGCATCCATCTACAAATGTACCCGTGCGTTGCCGTGTCTGCCCTTCTGAACACCCAACATCCCTCTGGAAATATTCTATGTTTCTTCACATCAAACTCTCGCACCCTCATCTTTGGGATCACGGGTTAAATCAGCCGAAAAACCTACCTTCTGCATTCTTGGACGACCTTCGAGTTTCGCAACAAGAACTATCCTACATCTTGAAATCAAGACCCACTATCAGGCCCAATCCAGATACCCCACCGGCCGTCTCACTCCCATTCAATCCAGTGATACGAGGCGTAAAGCATATATTACCTACGGCTGACCAAATAGTAAACTCAGCGGGTACCAGTAGCTCGAAGAAGATCTCCCCAAAATTTTTACATTCTTCGCGGCAATCACGAATGTGCTAGTATCAACAGAATATACGGGTCCTACGATGAATGTACGTGGGTTTTGTATGCACATAAGACCAACTCCTTTATTACTTTCTCTCAGGTAAACGTCGATATAATATCAAGCTATGGAAAACGTCCATGGATTGCTTCAATTGTCCACCTATCGCTGCAATCGTCGATGAGACAATTTTGACGATGCACGGAGGGTTGAGTCCGGACTTGCAATCTATGGAGCAAATTCGCCAGGTTATGAGAAATGACCGTGGTGTCTCGTTTACGTTTAGTCCCGATGTAGTGTCGAGATTCCTGCAAAAACATGACATGGACTTATTATAGTGGGAGCAAATATATATATATATATATAGAGGGAGCGATAGAACATGGAAATAGAGGGTCGTCCTAATATAATAGCAGATCCGGAGAAGGTACCGGCAAGAGGGCCAGTCTAGCACAGAGTCTAACTCCCTGAGCGACTTCAACCCATCTTACCATCCTTCTTCTTCTGCTTACGAGGTGGTGTTACCGGTCGTCCCATGTTCATACCGCCGTAAGGGTATTTGGCGTATTTGGCTTTCTTCCGGCCGGTTTCAATATCTATATCAAAAAGTCAATTCAGAACGTAGACATATAATGTCGAGATACATACCTGGAAGGAGCACAGTAGAGTCTCGTCTACGCTTACCATAGCACCTGCATTATCGAACTCTCCGCAATAATTAGGGGCCGAGAACAGAGTGACGAGATGGCGCTTCGCGAAGAATTCGTAGCCGTCTTCGACGACCTGCGGAACGAGGTGAATAGTGCCTTACGGAGATATTGGCCGAACCTACCTAGCGTGCTCTACATATTAAGTCCATGTCTTGTTCTTGCAGGCATCTCGACACGACATCGGGACCAAACGTAAACGAGACATATATGTTTATATTCCTCTTCCATTCATTCATTGGTGGTATATATGATATTTCCTGTCTCTTTCAAAATGTGTATTAATGCTTACCACTTGAGAACGCGGGTTTAGGTCAAGGTTGGCTGCAACAGAGAAGGGGGACCCTGCGGTTCGATGACCTCTTCGTGGTGAGCTGGTGCGTTCGGATATATCGCGGAGGGTGAGGTCTCAAACATATGTCGACGGCCCACAGAACCGTTGACTGGCATAAGTGCAACTCCATCTTACCTCCGCTTGAGGCCCTCCTATTGGCTGTGCGTGCATCGATTCACCTCGCGTGAGCGCCTGTCGGATCTTCTTCAAAGAAGCACTCAAGAAGCACCGAACGTAGAACCAATCAGAGACAAGCTCTCGGGACTGTTGTCTGTGCGACGAGTTGTTCCGAACTTTCCAATCGTTGCTCGAAGCTAATTTGGGAGGTCCTGCCAGCACTGAGGTCTTCACGCAGGAGGCGTTCAACATGGTGTGCTTGCCTCCCCTCCCGTAAACCAATGGCATCAGTATTGCCCACATCCACGCTTGCCTGCACATCCTTGAGCTGGCGTTCGGTGTCCTCCAGAACGGCCTTCAATTCGTGGAAACGTTGCTCCTGTCCTTCTCGCGTGCAGCTTCCGTATTGCACCTCATCGCTCTCCGACCTAGCACAGATCCAGGCTTCAAGGTCCTCTCCCTCGCCGACCTAGCACAGATCCAGGCTTCAAGGTCCTCTCCCTCGCCGACCTAGCACAGATCCAGGCTTCAAGGTCCTCTCCCTCGCTCGTGCCTCCTCGAGGCTGGATAAGGTGTTAGCCTGCTCCTCCAGTAGGCTTGCTACCTTGTCCGAATTGCGAGTTTCGAGAGCCTTGACGTCTTCGAATTCTGCCCTGATGCGAAAATCAGGAACTGGGCCGCTCAGAGTCCTCATAGGCAGCGTAGGCAGCGTAGGCATCGTAGGCAGCGTAGGCAGCGTAGGCAGCGTAGGCATCGTAGGCAGCATAGTTACTCTAAGCAGCGTAGGCAGCGTAGGCATCGTAGGCATCGTAGGCAGTGTAGGCAGCGTAGGCAGCGTAGGCATCGTAGGCAGCGTAGGCATCGTAGGCATCGTAGGCATCGTAGGCAGCGTAGGCAGCGTAGGCAGCGTAGGCAGCGTAGGCAGCGTAGGCAGCGTAGGCAGCGTAGGCAGCGTAGGCAGCGTAGGCAGCATAGTTACTCTAAGCACCGTAGATGGCCCACGCAGTCAGGTGGTCTACGCATTCTGAGCACCAGCCCACACATCCAGGTGTTCTACGCACTTTAAGCATTGTAGGTAGTCTAAGTATTCTGAGAATCGTACGTAGGAGTGATCTAGAGTTCTTGTGATATTCCTAAGATACTGTATGTTGCGGACATCAAACAAGTTTGGCTACGTTGAGAGGTATATGTTATGTGAAAAGTAACTATCATAACCAACTGCTGAAGGCGGGATACCACATATGACGGCGAAAGTCGAAAGAATGCAGGTGGGAGAGAAAGGAAAAAGTAAATGAAGCGCAGTGTGTACCTTTATGCCAAATTTTCGCAAGTTGCCGATCCATCCGTAGCGCTGGCCAACACGTTACAACCGCTTTTGGTTGCACATCATGCTGGCCAATCACCCGCGCCGACCATTACAACCGTTTTTGGTTGCAACTTTCGTGGCACGGGCACATTCCGTATATCAGTGTTCGTTCGTTAGCGAGTTCAACGTTCGCGAGCCTTTCTCCTCCTCCCCATCACCTGTGCCGTTATCGCGTCATTACCGGCATTGATCTCTCCACGAACAGCAACCCGTAAGTTGCTCTCTACCTACGATAGATACGCAGCGTACGACGCCTACGACACGTATAACATGAACGCTGGGGTAGTCAGCGGTCGAGTTGAGGTGGCGATTGATATTGGGGACTCGAAGGGTCAGTTGAGGAGTGTTGGATGTCGTTTGGTGCGAAAAGGTCGGTGGTGGGGAACACAATTGAAGTGTGAGATAAGAATACGCAGCCCAGCGTCGTAAAGTCGTAAACAGCGAATGAACCGTAGAGACTAGATGAGGTACAGTGGGGCATCCTATATATTGTATGCATAGCTATGGCATCTACATGTATACAATGGATACCGTGATGATTGTTTGCACCAAGAACGGATATACTCAAATGCATCCACTTTTGGTTGCAACGCACTCGCGCCGAGCGGTCCGTGCTAATTTGCGCCAAAAATGGATGTAAAAATGATCCGCCTCTTGGTTGCAACTTGTGCCAAAGCGACAGTCGTCATATTAATGGCATTCACGGTTCAACCATGACTAGTCCAGTTCGCTGAAATTGTATAGTTTTGTGACAGTTCAAAGTCATACTCTCTATGCTATCGATTGGTACAGCCCCTGTTTGCCTTCGAGTGTTACAGTGCCGTCGCAAACTCCAAACTGGTCCCTGCTTTCAGGGGGAAGGTGGCCAAGCGTCTGGGCTACGTTGCTTATTGGCCATCAACGAAACAGTTGGTTCTTGCTTGGGCCCTATGCATGCTTCGGACGATTTGCGTACTCTTACTCACAAGCAGAAAAGCGGTTGCAGGGCGAATCTAGGGGGCTCTTCAAGGGCATTAAGGCATCTGCCATCCAGGCGGCGCGCAAAGACCCGGGGACAGAAAACATTGTCGAGATTGTAGTCACTGGCCATGGTACGGGTGGTGCTTGTTGATGCTTGATAGACCGTGTCGCTGAAACATCGGGGCCGATGGCGGCGGAGGATTCAGTGGAGGTCTTGAATGCAATAATGCCAGCAAATGTGAGTCATCATATTCCGCAATGTATGCAAAACAATATCAAAGATCAAACTCGCAGAGAAGATGATGTGGTTAGATGTTGTTACGTTCCTAGTTTACCACTACCCTCGTTTCCTCTTCCTTGGCTGCCCGCATTGTTGTGGTTTCAATGAATCCGGGCCGAGACACTCAACCTTTTTGCAGAGAGGGCATGGCTCACGACACTTTGATCGGTCGTTGGCACCTTTGCACTCTCTCCAAGATCTTTGGCACTTGGCACATTTCTTCTCCTTGCGCTCAACAACAGCCCCTGAATGAGCCCGCATGACAAACTGGAAAGAATCACCCGAAGTCGTCGGTTCGTTGGTGCCAGAGTCGTCTATGAGACGCATCGCAAAGTCACTGGGATGATCTTCAATTCGCGGAGGTATGTTGTCGCTGGATGGATGTCCATTTTCGTGGGTGTTAGGCTGGGGGTGCAATGCAGGTTCGTGGAGATGTTGTTCGGGACGATGAACTGGGTCACTGGTCGGGACCATGGGATCCATTGCGAGTTGTCCTTGAAGATGAGGAGATGGGTGTTCAGCAGGAAGAGAGGGATCATCATCATGAACAACACCCCCAAGATGCCCAGCGGAATTATAGACTTGTGACTCCGGATTGGCGACGTCCACCAAGTCAACAGCAAACCAGGCATGGAGCATGAGGTTCCAGAACTCAAGGGTATCTTTCTTGCCATGAACACCTTCTTCCCGCAGTTGTTCGGACACCTCTGTACACCGCTTAACACTGTGTGAGGAGAGGAAGTCTACAGCTATTTTTGCACATGCTGTGAGATTCCGAACCTGCATATCGAGTTGTATGATCCATGATACGCACATTTATTCGATCTTTCTTACCTGATGTGCGCAACCAGTGGGTATAAGCACCGTCTCGCCTGCCTTCTGGGTGAAGGCGTAAGGACGTACACCAAAGTCTTTCTCTAGCTTGACTAGGTCTTCAGGCGTTAGATAAGTGAGTTGCGCATGGATGTGGTTTTTTGATGTGTCGCGATGCTTTGAGCAAAGAAACTCCTGAAGCTTGGATGCGTCTTCAGGAGCAAAGACGTGCCAAAGGGCCGCTGAATCTTTGTCAACTGGCAGCATGGAGTTGGCAGCATCGCAAAGGTCCATGTGTAATCGAGTTGTGCCTTGGTTAGTTCTCGGATCGGAATCGTTGGCGGTGGCAATATAAGCCTTTGGGCCGAGGTCAGGTGCGACCTTGTAGGCAGGAGGGAAATAGTTTGTGATATTGAGGGCGCCATGGAAAGTTGTCACGGCAGGGAAGGGGAGATTGTATTGAAAACTCCGGCACAGAGTAGGGAATTCTGCCGCAAACGTGGAATTGGGTGGGTAGTCCTTGAAATCGTGTCATCGAGGTAGTTTGATTATGAAAGGATCTTACTTACTTTGAGCTTCAGAGGTCGGGTACAGACATTTGAACCGAAAATCATCTCCAAAAATGTGGCCACAGTGGTGTCTTCTTCACCATCTGTTTCGCAATCCTCGATCTGGCAAGGATTTGAGCCGAACAAGTAGACGAGTTTTTCTTTCGTCCATCGGTGCAAAGTCCCAGGCTCCGGGGTAGCTTCGATCAACAGAGGGACACCCGGGGCCCAAGCTACGTCGAAATCGGCCATGGTGGGATTCGGCGCCAGTGTTGGAATGGTGCGCATCAGCGGGTCGATTTCCTTGGTGAAATCGTGCGTCCAGGAGGGAAGGGGTTGCATGTTTACCTCTTCCATGTCATGTATCAACGACCGTAAGTCCTCGGGGTCGATCATGGAAAAAAGACGGAGAGAGTTGGAGTGAGAGCATATTGGGCGACCATCTGCAACACATGGAGGACAAAATTCCTTCCCACAGTCAGTACAGATGTAGCCAATTATGCAGAAGGCCCAGCAACATTTATCTTGAAGCGAATGAATGAGCTCGTGAAAAAGAGGGCTTAATGGTATACATACCGCACTCTAACTTGATGTCCATAGTTCTACACCGTGCTAGAACTACATCTTGACCCGCGATATGATCGAGTTCTTGCTTCAATTTCGACGCAAGACATTCGGATAACACTCTCTGGTCCTACCTGTCAGAACTTCTAAATGCCGACCACACCCTGATCATACCTTAATTTTCAGGAGTTCCTCACGTGTGGGTGGGGTGTGGAAAGCTGAATGATACTGGAATCGATTGTAGTATGTATACCCTCCACCGAAGAAGTCAACTGTTTCCTTCGCGGTGTTGACGCGGCGGAGGCCTGTTTGCGACTCGTAGCAGTTCATTCAATCCGATGGATGCAATGCAACTCACCAACAAACCGGCACAGTTCGGGTTTCTTGACAGCACAATCGCAGCAAATCGAAATCGCTTTCTTGATCCTGGCGGGCAACGACTTCTTGAACAGTCTGCAAGGCTCCTGTTGAATGGCATACTCATCGTGCGACATGACTGGAGTTACAACCAAACAAGGGCTAGGCGTTCGTTACTTCCGAATGGGTAAGACTCGCAGTTTGCCGAGTCCGGAGCGCCCAGCGCAGAATGAGTGCTTCTGGAACGTTTGTTCGTGAGCAGAAACAGCGAGCGGACGAGAGAGAACGAAGTTATCGTACGACCCGCGGGGGGCATGAGGCCTTGGGGGTTCAAACGTTCAAACATCGAGATTGGAACATTCAAACTTGACGATAGGTGAACGGCTCGGCGCGGGATCGCGTCTCCTCGGATGTCTTGGCGGTTCCGGCCCGACGATGACTGGCTTACACGTGCACTCCGAGAACGCCGACGACAACGAGGAGATGATGGGGCGAGTGTATTTGTATGAGTCATGACCATTACGCAAGGAATCGAGGTTCGGTTTGATCCCCTGCGCAGAACGATTGTTTCTAGAGCTTCCGCAGCAGAAACGTACGTTCTGCACAGCTGTAACTTGCGTAGAATAGAAAAAGACTGCTAAGTGTCATACTTCCATTTCACGAACTGGGGTCCTAATGAAAATGTACATGAGGCCTTGAGGATGTGAACGTTCAAATCGAAGCGCGTTCCGCGCTCCACCTTCCAAGATTTGACGAATCGAAAGAAACATGAGCTCAGAAGCGGGATTTCAATCATCAGATCTGATAAGGCAAGACCGTAGGTGGCCTACGCATTCAGGTGGTCTACGCATTCCATTTGGACGCACGCAAGTATGAGGGTCCGATTATATTGCTTCGCTTTGGGGTCATACTTTCTCTATTAACCCCCACACAAGCATACGCAGCGTACGTACCCTGAGCCTTGTAAGGGGCCTACGCATCACCAGTGGCCTACGCATCGTAGGCATCGTATCTGTCTTGGGCATCACCAACCGCGTGCTTTAGCATTCTGACCTCCGTACGTGTGAGCTTCAGAAGTGCAAACTGACATCAAAACAAGCGTGTCTACGTTGAAAAATATATTACGTGGCTATCGTATAGATGTACAAGGTGGGAAACCACATTTGAAGTGAGGATGCAAGTGGGAGGGAAAGAAGCCAACAGACCTCGCAGGCTATACGTTTATGGCAAATTTTCGCAAGTTGCCGATCGATCCGTAGCGCCCAGGACCAACTACAGCCGCTTTTGGTTGCGCCAATTGCTACAGCCGCTTTTGGTCGCAACAATCGCTACAACCGCTTTTGGTTGAGCCAATTGCTACAGCCGCTTTTGGTCGCAACAATCGCTACAACCGCTTTTGGTTGCGCCAATTGCTACAGCCGCTTTTGGTTGCGCCAATTGCTACAGCCGCTTTTGGTCGCAACAATCGCTACAACCGCTTTTGGTCGCACCAATCGTTATATGGCGTTCGGATTGCGTTCCCTCTTTCCTTCTTACTTTATACTATAGGTAGATGTAACTAGGCATGCAGAATGTGCATGTGTAAGTAAGTAAGATAATACCTAAGAATGAATGCGGCCGCAGCTCATAACGGACCAAATCAAGAAGTAAACGAAATGATAGAATATGTACGACAAACCATGTATCGGAAGTTATGTACGGTCCGATCCCTACAGCGCTCCATGGGTGCTTACGCATTCCTACACACCAATTTTGGTTGCAACTTACCTCAGCACAATCCGAATATTGAATATGAATTCAAATCAGCGAGTTCAACAGTTTGTAGGCCTTTCTCTTCCTCCCACGTCCGATCACCATTAGCGTAGATTCGACCACGTACAGCACAGCTTCCATATTGAAAACAACACATAGTGGATGACAGCACTAAACTACATGATTCTGATTAGTCAAGTTGGAGTACTCATCTACTCATCTCCGCGTGCTGATATTATTTCTACCAGCTCAAATGCTATCAAGTCTGTGAGTCGAATACGTTTAAAGGAACAAGGTCACTAACTCATATTAATATCCTTCCCCTTGTGCGGATTGAGATTGTAAGCAAGATGTGCCGGTACAAATACATCACGAATGCCTCCCGGTTTCATGCCTATCAACCCAGTGTGGGCCCCTATTTACAGCGGCGTAGGCAGCATAGGCAGCGTAGGCATTTAAGTATCCTAGGATCATAGCCGAACCTAGAGCATGTCTTATATCAAGACGACAGTATAAGACTTATACTATTGAAAATAGTAATAGAACATAATTTCGAAATGACTGTTCCACGGCAGCTCGTCCCCCAAAAGATGTTCAGACGCTCAAGGACCAGAGTTCAGGCAATCGTACACTCTGCCAGTGACAAACGCCGACAATGCCAAGGACGATGACGACAAGAACAAGTTCGTCCGTGTAGTTCTCCAGCAAAAGAGATAAAGTAGATACTCTCCTGGAGGCGTCCGTACCTATCTGCTCGGCACGGAGTATTGTGAAGGAAGACGTAGTAGCAACTGCAAGCCTGAGGGGTGTCTCACCGTCGTCCCCTATTTCAGCGGCACGGTTGCTCTAGAAGAACGGACTCAATGCCACGTTATGTAGGGAGTGTAATCACACCACTTACAACAATAAGCTCGGCACCGTTTACCTCAACGGACGGCAGACGATGCTTGCTGCCTACGTGCCACATGGCAATTTCATTGTTGTAGCCTCCGACAAGGACAGTCCCGGCATGGATGAAGGTTCCAGGAAGTGGAGAGTGGGATTCCTGCGCGTGTAAAGCAAAGTGATGATAATGCCCGCCGCTCTGCATGTCGTATACATTGAAGCCTGATTGATGGTTGGGAGTCATAACGCGCGAGCCATCTGGAGTGATGAAAATGGCGTCACTGAGCGACATGTAGTTAGGTATGCCAGCTTGATACGGAATGCTCTAACGTACATGGGAGCATCGTGGGGTATTCCGCACTGGCTGACTTTTCCAGTTTTGAAATTATATAAACTGAGAGACCAAGTCAACACCAATGAACTTCACTAACAACGAACGTACCGAATGCCATATTGTTGGCGATAACAGATGACCACTTGCTCGTTATCCAGGAAGTGGAGCCCAGACACCTCGGCCTTCAGTTCGAGGTGGTTGCCACCCGCAATTGGGTCTGGCAGTACAGTGTGGTATTTCCACTGGAAGCAAAGGTTGTCCTTCGTTGGGCGTTGCCGAGCCCAAGCGGTTACCGTGTGGCCACCGCCCACCACCAATTTACGCATGTTTGGCGAGAATGCAAGATGTGTTATTGTGCTACCGGGTATAGCTACGATGGAAACGTTTACGAGCTGAGAGGACATGAGTTACTATTGAAAAATCGTAGTAAAGGTGGCATACCTTTTTACTGGTTTCCATTTCGTACATGACGAGAGCTCCGCCAAGAGATCCCGCAAGTAAAAGATTCTCGCCGAACCACTTCAAAACCGTGACAGGGCTGCCAATGGGACTGTTTAGAGTCAACTTTGCGTTGGGCAACTCCCAAATGTAAACTGAGGACCCAATTCCAGCCGCAATATGAGTATCCTTGGACGAAAATGCCAAGCATTTAATGTAGTCCCCTGCGCCAACCTTGATGTTGTGCTCGATGGCGTAAGTCAAGGACATTAGAGCAAGATTAGTCCTTGACGAAAGTTACAATCGTAAATGGATCAAAGGGAGGGAAGAATGAAGAGGCAACGCATCGGACTGCTTATATACCTTTACGCTTTTTCCTTCGGAGCCACTGGTTTGCTTTGTCCGCATACCTCGTGCACGCGTCCGCTCAGCATTGTGCGTGACAAAGGGCTCGCAGAGAGTGTACGTATCATAAAGCCAATAGGCGATTTGTGCGTCGTACGAAGCCTACGCATTCTAAGCACTGTACGCAGCTTACGCGTTCTAGGCATCATAAGGGGAGTAGGCAGCGTAGACAGTGTAGAATTTGTAGGCATCCTAAACATCATAAGGGAGTCTACGTACCCAGCTGGGCATCGTACATATCGTACACATTGCGGATAGCGCACGCATTCGGGTGGTCTACGCATTCCAAGCATTGTAGGTAGTATACGCACTGCGAGCATCGTACACTTTGCGAACATCAAAACAAGCGAGTCTACGCAGAGAGATATATGTTATGTAAGTAAGTAGCTATATCGTGAATAACTACTGAAGGCGGAAAACCGACAGCGAAAGTTGTAAGGATGCAGATTGGGGGAAAGAAGGTGAACCACGCAGCGTGGTGACTTTTGTGCTACATTTTCGCAAGTTGCCGGTCGATCCATAGCGCCCTTGGCTCACTCGTTACAACCGCTTTTGGTTGTACATCGTCAGTCATTTCCCACGCCCCTCGTTACAACCGCCTTTGGTTACAACTTGCGCCGTGTTTCGCGGCACCGGCATATCCCGAAAATCAGAGTATGAATAAGCGCGTTCGGCATTTTGGGGCCCTTCTCCTCCTCCTATGTCCGTACCGTATATTTATCCACGCACAGTACAACTTTGACGTATTCACGAAGTCAGCATCCGTGCCCATCATTGCCTATATCATCTGGTTCTAATGTGTGCCCTAGCGGTCAGGGGAGACCATATTATTGCGGTGGTTCGAGATAATCATAGTAGACGTCCGTGCATTACTGAAAGCATTGGACTGCAACTTGTGCCTTCAGTGACGATGAAAGAAGAAATGGTCTAAGCAGAAGGGATGTCGCACATCAGATGTTTTACGAACAATTGTGCCAAGGAATGAAAGTATAAGTGAATACCATGAAAACTCGAGTGGAACAAAACAAAAGGAAAGCAAATCGATAGCAATGCGATGGTATATGAACGAATGGTACAGCAAAGCGAATTGATGTGCGAAAGCAGGTAGGGATAACAAATAAAAAAGGCCATATAAGTGGTTGACGAATCAGGGGTACTATGGATGGACAACCGTCGTCACAATGTCCACATATGAACCACTCGTAGAATACTTCACCTGCTCAGCATGTCCCAAGTAGATAGGAATCAAAGATTGCAATCATAGATGAACTCATGTTGAGCTGTGATCAGTTCAATGATCATAGCCCAGATGCTCTCAGTCTTTATTATCAGCTAGATTCGCGGCTGGTCAGTTCACAAACCAAGCGAACCAACATAATCGTACTCTGCAATTTATCACTATTGAGCTATCGCGTATATATATCAGCCCTTGTGTCCATCACGCCGAACTGCAATTGCTATCCAAGCATATCTACATAAAATTGCGGTAAGGATACCAGATGCCAGCACTAGCTTGAGCGGTAGTTTCGGAGCGACGGATGATCACGAGGCAACGGCTTCCTGTTTCCACTATGAACACCGCTAAACCTAGCGGCTACGCTGTAGTAGTAACATTAGTAACGAGTACGGGCGCAATCAAGTAGTTCGCTTACAGTTGCAGTTGGGGAGGAAAGCTGAGATCTATTGCCTTCTGAGGAGCAAGACGAGCCATCCCGTATTCGTCAAGCCCGTTTAGATAAGCAGGATCATATAAATTTATCGGGAGCCGCGGCACGGGGTTGGCATCGTAAAGGATACCGTTCGGGAGGAGTCGTTGAGCTGGAAATGCCCCGGGGATTGGTTTATCGTTGTCGGCGAAACGAGTGGACAGGTATAACCCATCAAGGACACGAAACCACTCGAGGACCTTGGTATCGGGGGAACGCCAAGGTAATTTCTTCCTCACAAACACCCCATGGTCCGATTCATCCCCACTCATAGCATCTAGTGGCATTTCGCTTAACAATTTCTCAAACTGACTTAGCTTCTCGTATTGGTCAGTCTTCGCGGCGATACGTTGGTAGGCCCTAATCCCTTTGATGCGGCGCTCTCGTAGCTGTTGTTAATGAGTTAGGAAAAATAAACGATGCAATTGCAGAATAAAACCCACCGACCGTCGTCGATTAGATCTGCGAAGATTGCGTAACGACCGGGCTTCATTCACCTCTGCCTCCTTATCATTGGTCCTTTGCCACTCTTGTCTGCGATAGCGATCTCTTAGTTGTCTTAAATGCTTCCTGAAAGCTTCGCGGACCATTCTTTTGTTTTTGCATTGGTACTCCTCATCCTGGACAAATTCATCCGCGATCATGTCAGCAGCTGCAAGGTTCCAGACGGATGACTCCCAGTTTGTGGATTTCAAGTCGAGTCGAAGTGACGCAAGATCTGGGCCGGGGGCGAGACGAGGATCGCGACGGAACTTTTCGATCTCGTCTGCTGTCGGAGTAGTAAGGGGCCTTGGATCAACTTTCGTTAATTGCAGCAGTGTCATATCGCAATAATCTCTCAGTTCGGCCTTCCAGGAAGTCAGAAAACTCTCGAGGAAGAAGAGCGACCTGCTTACATGTAGCCGGACTTGAAACGAATCGCGTTTGACAGGATCAAAGCAACGATCTTCATCGTCACTAGCTTCCTGTGGTCTCTTTGTTCTCCTTGTCGGTTTGGGTCGCCGAGGACTTGCATCCGGTGTGGGCAAAGAGGGTTCAGGGCTGCGAAGAGGCCTCGTAACCTGCATAACTCCCAACAAGTCTTGAAACGTCGCTGCTGTATTCTACAATTTGATTGAGCGATGCAAGTAACAGGCAGCGTTCGATCACTCACTGGTGTTTGCTTCAGTCGCTTGCAGACAAATTCCTGAAATTTGAAAATGAAAGGGGGATGAGCCTTGGCTGAGGAAGGAAGGTTGGGTGAGGCTCTTACGAAATCGCTGCGCTGATCGCGTACTTTCCTACGATGAGCTGAATCTTTGTACTCCCATATGCAACTACCTTCGCAAAACTCCTCTTCGTCGTCTGCTAACATAGACTCATCTTCTTGATGAGACCTTTCCCCATTGCGCGCCGCGGATCTACTTTGTTGCTCTTGAGATCGAGTAGCTCTGTTGATTCCGCCCCACTTCGACGCATCCTCGGCACATTGCTGCCTGTTGATTCCGCTCCACTTCGACGCATCCTCGGCACATTGCTGCCCGTTGATCCCATCCCACGCTGACGCATTCTCGAGACTGTTCCCTTGCTGTCCTTGGTTTCCCCTGTTGATCCCGCCCCAACCCGATGCATCTTCGGTACCTTGGTTGTTCGCTGGTGCACCCCCTCCAGGCGGGATGCTATGTTCATATCGCGGATCACCCATATCTTCCATTTGGACATCATCATCGTCGAAATATCTCGAGTGTGAGTTTATTTGTTGTTTCCAAATGACGAAGTCGCCTGGTAACACAGGCGGGTAATTCCTCTCAGAGACCCTGCCCAGTAAATCTTCGTTGAAACACAGTTTATCTTGTACAACAGTGTCAGTCCCTGATTTCGTTGTTCGCGAGGACAGCTTACAGTAAGGAGGCAATTTAGAGCGTCGGCGGCGTCGGACTTGGAGTGGCGGGTCGCGTCTCTGCCTCTTGCTTGCTACGTAACCAACCCCCGTCGGAGGGGTATGGTCGCCGTATCGCTTGTTGTGTACATGAGCACGACCGTTGGCCAGATCTTCTTCAGTTCGGTGCATATTGAAATCGACGGGACTTATCGTGTCCATCACGATAGTAGTAAGAATTACTGCAGCAGTCTGGTGGAAGACTCCTTATAATTGCCGTATGCATTGACCTCTTCATGCTATGATCAATCAGGTCCTTTGTGGCGAGACCATTACGACCTCATGGTACTCAGTGGCCACTTCCTCCCTGAGATAACAACACGAGTAAACATACTTTATCATAAGAGTGTTGACGGAGTTGCCGCTCGATGTTCATTATCTTTGATGCCGTTCCCCACATACCTCCTTCGAAACCCTCCAATCCAGCACGGGCTCGAGGCACATGCCATGATTCCGCTGCCTCGACTCCAACGAAATGTATGTAGCCTTATTTATTGTACGGACAAGCCACGGTGTTGAGAAGTTTCACAAAGCGTCCGTATTTCCGAAGAACCTTCTACCGTTTGGGGCGAAATTTCTTGTTCGTGCTGGCCCTTGTTGCAGTGATACCTCTCCTTCCATCCGCCACCCGTGTGACCTTTGGTTCCGTTATCATTTGCCATTACGCTAGAAATTTCTGCGCAAATAATGATGCCCGCGGCCTTCTCAAGTTGGCGTGCAATCCAAATACCTGCAATCTGCTCGCACCTACGATTATCGGAAACCTCGTCGCGGTTCATTCCATCTCGAGTACGGACCCCCTCGTACCCCCGCCCCACGTATCATTGCATGGTCCAACATCCCCTACACCCATCCGTAACTTTGCACTCCATGCGGCCGGCGCGTCAGTAATCCCATCATTGACTTCCACGACACATGGCCTAATCAAGCATGATGCAATACATCGAATGTTTACATCATTGTCAGGCTTTGACTTTTGGCAGCCGAACATAGCCCTACCGTACGTGGCTTTGGAAGACAATATCGGTGTTGGTGAATGCTGGGAATTCACTGGTGCCCATGGCTATCTCGCCGTACATTTGCCAGAGCCAATTGTGATTTCCCAGTTTAGTCTGGACCATGTGGCACCAGACATCATTTCCGAAATGTCAGCACAACGAGCACCAAGAGACGTCATCCTCTGGGGCCTTCTTGACGAGGCTCACACATTAGCGCTTCATAATGTCACTGGCTTCAGGTCGCCATTCTATTTCAGCAATACGGGTCTTCTACCTACGGCATTCAACCCTACGGACAAATTTGTGGAGATTTCTTCCATGAAATACAACCTGGGTGCCTTGGACTTCCGCCAATACGAGACTACTTTCTTGAATGTCTCTGTACAAACAATTGTCTTGGAAATTCTTTCGAACTTTGGTGCCCCTACTACATGTTTATACTTTCTAGGCATTTACAGTTGATATAAATAACAGGACAGTCTCTTTGATTAAGAAGATATAGGCGTAGCATGAATTTGGAGGGAGTAAAATTAGTATAAGTATACCAATGTTCAATAACTAGAGTCCGATCATGTAGGTCAGTGCTGTAGGCGCAAAGTCGCATTCACCGTGTGAATGCAAGGACTGGGAATGTGTGGTGTACCCACCAAAAGACGAAGCAGGAAGGAAAGACGGAAACCGAACACACGTGGCGAACAGTGTAGGGATCGGACCGTGTCCAATCATTGATACACGGTATTTTGTACGTATATCATCGTTTCGTTTACTTCCTCGTTCGGTCCGAGCACTCGAACACGAGCTGCTGCGGCACATTGTTTCGTAGGTATTACTTTAGTTACTAGCAGAACCAGTGTGTTTATTTACATAGACTACTGGTATATATAGACATACCTATCAACAACAACAAGAATCATTCCTCCCTCATTTGCGTTGCGAAGTCGGGTCCAAGCAGTCGCACGCGGCGCTGCTTGGTTGCGGTTCCGTCCTCCGTTCCGCGCGTTACAACCGCTTTTGGTTGCAACTTGTCGCGGCGCCGGCACTTTCCGAATATCAGAGTATGAATAAGCGAGTTCGACGAGTTTATACCAATGTCTGCATGCGTAGCGATACTTCACATCACATGTTGTCCTTAGCTTGATTCTCCCTGAGGCACAGCTCGGACTGTCTGGAGTGGGTGAGAGCGAACTCTGAAGGCGTGTTCATTTAGAGAAGCCATCGGATTTTACATCGGTGTGCACAAGAGAAAATGAGGATGAACTTAGGAAAAATACTAGATGTACATCCTGACAGTAATTGATGGCACGCATCGCGAGTTCTGGCAACAACTCAGTGTGTCCCATCACTGATAGTCGAGCGTGATCCCGGCCACTTAATTGATCGATTGCTCCGCCACGATAGCGATGCACTCACTGAGTTAGTCCTGATTTCCATTGCTTTGTTCCGTCGTGTATATAATACTCAGGCCGGGCTCTAACTCGAAAAACTTCAAATGGCGTCCCTACTCCCACCTGAACTACTTACGATGATTTTCAGAAAGGTGGACACCAAGACGCTGCACGCGCTACTCTTCTCGTCTGCGACGTTCAACACAATCGCTGAGCCCATTCTTTACGAAGATGTCGTACTTCGACCGTCAAACGAACGCCTTCCGTGTCCCATCGCCTCATTTTTGGGTAGCCTCGTCACGGGTGGTCTGTACCGGCGAAAACATATCAAACATCTCTCGATCTTCGCGGACGACCATTGGGGATATCATGGACATCTCGCCATCGTCCTTCGGGTCCTCCCCAACCTCTTATCGTTCCGCTTGGAAGACGAGAAGGACGTGTTCAGTTTCGTTGTCGACACTGATCGTGAATCGGGAAGGCTTCCTGGACGCGCGCTCACCTCCCTGCGAGTAGGATGGGCAAGTATTTGCCCCCCTGTAGATTTCGCCTGGTTGAGGCCATTGGTGAATACTATTCGCACGCTTTCGTCGCCCTACACGGAATGTGCCATAACGAAATATGCACCAATACTGTCCAACATAACCTGCTGGGAACTACGTGGGGATTCGCGATCCCTTGATGAAATAGGGCGGCAACCGCTTCTTGCCGCTGTCCAGTCTACTCGGGTTAGATGTATTCGATTCATACGCCAAAGCTGGGCATGCTCAGTAGACCTTCCGACTCGATTATTTAACGCGCTGCCCACGCTGCAGTGCATCGAACTTTATGCGAGGGACGAAATCTCAGACACTTGCTGGCGTTTCTATCGAGATGGGGGCCCCGCTGTCAGGGTATGGTGGCTTTGTGGTCCCGGAGAAGAGTGGAAAACAGACTGGCAGAGCAATGTAAAGACAAACTGACTAGCTGAGAGAACTAATTAATTATAACGAGGAGTAATTTCTTGTAGAAAAAAGTAGAAAACCCAAATCTACTCGTACTATATCTCACGCACAACAGCGCATCAATATATATAACCGTGCCATTCAACTTTACTACCCGATGGACACAATGAGTCCACTGGATGATATGCGCACGGTCCAGATGGCATTATACACACCATCCTACATTCCGTGTGCAGGTCATAAGTGCATAGTGCGGCTACCCCATAAGACCCGATCCATGTTTCTTGATTGCGAGAATCTATATCCTGTCGACATATGTTTGAGACCTCACCCTCCGCGATATATCCGAACGCACCAGCTCACCACGAAGAGGTCATCGAACCGCAGGGTCCCCCTTCTCTGTTGCAGCCAACCTTGACCTAAACCCGCGTTCTCAAGTGGTAAGCATTAATACACATTTTGAAAGAGACAGGAAATATCATATATACCACCAATGAATGAATGGAAGAGGAATATAAACATATATATCTCGTTTACATTTGGTCCCGATGTCGTGTCGAGAAGCCTGCAAAAACAAGACATGGACTTAATATGTAGAGCACGCTAGGTAGGTTCGGCCAATATCTCCGTAAGGTACTATTCACCTCGTTCCGCAGGTCGTCGAAGAAGGCTACGAATTCTTCAGATCCACCCCACAACCTGCATTGGTCCATTGCCGAGTTCATGTCTCTTTTGGTTCGTCGAATTAGAATTATGGAAGGTAGACCGCCGAACGCGCCTTGCTTTCAAAGTTTCAACCCTCAAGGCCTCGTGTACATGTTTCATTAGTACCCCAGTTCGTGGAATGGAAGCAGCGCCGTCTTTTCTATTCTACACAGGTTTTTGTGCAGACAAACACGTTTCTGTTGATCTCGGAAGTTCTAGAAACAATCGTTCCGTGCAGCGAAAACAACCCCAGTTCCTTATGTCATGGTCATGACTCATACGAACGTATCACAAAGTCACATCCAATTTATCTAGCACAAATCTCCATCTACGAAGAGGCCCGCAAACTCGACCGCATTCGCGGCCCTACCTAGCGCAGAATTCTCTAAATCAGGATAGACGTTGACCGCGAAGGACTCCATGATCTCCTTCATCATGTGTACCTCATAAGGAGTCTTCGTTACGTCCCCTTGGCACGTCGGGCATCTATAGGCAAACCATTCCTTTGCCTCTGCAAATGACATGTCCTCCTGGAGTGTTCTTTGAAGCAGTCTCCTCTCTTCGGCGTTTCTTGGGAAGGCATTGTCCTCAAATATACGGCCATATCCGTAGTCATCCAGTTTGTACCGGATCTGTGATCGAAACCATGACGCAAGGCAGCCTGTGCAAAAGGTATGACCACAAGACGTGCTACGAGCGGTCAGATGAAGTACATTGGCTGAAATGAGAACACCAACGTGGAAGCCGCTACCATGTAATCATGACAAATGCCACACCTGAGCGCTTGGGCAAGAGTGGCAGTAATCTAGGAACATCAGGGCACACACCAGGAAAGCGACGTGACGACTTACCACTGTCATCCGTTGAGACAACTCCTGATTCGCTGCATCAAGTTCTGCACATCGTCGCTTCTCTTTACTCAAAGCCCACCGGGTCTTCGTACGCCTGGTCAGCTCGCAGGAAAGCATCAACATCTCTATCTCACCTGTTGTAGATTCGCTCTGTTGGCTTTCTTGACCCCTTTGACACTGGATGCGAGTGACGCAGTGGCATCTAGAGAAGGTCCTTTGAGCGCATCCCTTGAAGAGGCTTCGTGCGGCGGAGGCAGGTCTATCGATACCGTGGTCGATTCCTGGGGGATTTGTGACGAAGAGGGCGATATTTTCGCAAGTCGTGAGGATTTGCGAGCATCCAAGGCAGGCGCGTAAGGGTGGGGAGGTCGCATATGTATGTACGATGCACTATCAATTTCGCAGGTTTTTAGTGAACGTTCAGCCGCATATCGCTGGTTATTCTGTATAGCCGGCGCGGAGTGGCACATTCGGATGCTGGTCCTGAAGAAAGCAAGCTCGATGTTGCTTTGTTCAATAGTCTAGGGTGCTAACATGAAGCCAGTAGGCCCTGAATAGCCTCAAGGCAATAATAAAGGCTTCGGTTTTGATTTTACGATTTACTAGATATAACTTACATCTCATCTATCACTCACAAGCACTCCAGTCACAGGCATGTCTAGCAACCGTCTGGCCGCCCCTGAAGCAGCCCCCGCGGCTGTAGCCGAGAACCAAAGCCAAGGGAGTGACCAGGACCAAGATGATAAAGACAAATATGGCAGGCACTAATGGTATGGAAGTTCTTTCCCCCGAGTTTGCGTTCATCTTTAAACCTTGCACGCAGCCCTTTTCCTGTTGTTTATATTTTACGACGAAGGCTCTTCTGATACCGCGATGGGTACGGAAAGTGATAACGACGACGACGACGATGACGAGGAGGAGGAGGATGGGGTCATCTTCTTCGCTTGTGTACTATTCGTCGTGTCTTGGGTCTTCATCCGCCTGGCCAGATTCATGACGGCACCAGACGCCGAATTGTTACCAAAACTCACCCTCCGCACCAGCCGTCAGGTAAACACTACTGTTGGAATGTACATCTAGCCGTAGTCACTGCTTGTCTACCGGTGTCCTTTCCTCACAATTTTACTCTCCTTATCTCTCCTTATCTCTCCTTTGCATCATAATGCGATTAATATGATACCATCTAGTCTCCTGAATGCACTTTGGCTTTGTTCCTCCATGTCAGAGTTCTTAGGGCATATAGATCTCGAAGCCAAAGATGGGTACCTCGTCGTGACGAGTCGTATTCGCGACGTCGAAGCTTCGGTATACGTCAAGGTTGATTCATCATCCAGACAGCCAATGGCCGGCCCACAGAACCGTTGACTGGCATAAGTGCAACTCCATCTTACCTCCGCTTGAGGCCCTCCTATTGGCTGTGCGTGCATCGATTCACCTCGCGTGAGCGCCTGTCGGATCTTCTTCAAAGAAGCACTCAAGAAGCACCGAACGTAGAACCAATCAGAGACAAGCTCTCGGGACTGTTGTCTGTGCGACGAGTTGTTCCGAACTTTCCAATCGTTGCTCGAAGCTAATTTGGGAGGTCCTGCCAGCACTGAGGTCTTCACGCAGGAGGCGTTCAACATGGTGTGCTTGCCTCCCGTAAACCAATGGCATCAGTATTGCCCACATCCACGCTTGCATGCACATCCTTGAGCTGGCGTTCGGTGTCCTCCAGAACGGCCTTCAATTCCTGGAAACGTTGCTCCTGTCCTTCTCGCGTGCAGCTTCCGTATTGCACCTCATCGCTCTCCGACCTAGCACAGATCCAGGCTTCAAGGTCCTCTCCCTCGCTCGTGCCTCCTCGAGCCTGAATAAGGTGTTAGCCTGCTCCTCCAGTAAGCTTGCTACCTTGTCCGAATTGCGAGTTTCGAGAGCCTTGACGTCTTCGAATTCTGCCCTGATGCGAAAATGAGGAACTGGGCCGCTCAGAGTCCTCATAGGCATCGTAGGCAGCGTAGGCAGCGTAGGCAGCGTAGGCAGCGTAGGCATCGTAGGCATCGTAGGCAGTGTAGGCAGCGTAGGCAGCGTAGGCATCGTAGGCAGCGTAGGCATCGTAGGCATCGTAGGCATCGTAGGCAGCGTAGGCAGCGTAGGCAGCGTAGGCAGCGTAGGCAGCGTAGGCAGCATAGTTACTCTAAGCACCGTAGATGGCCCACGCAGTCAGGTGGTCTACGCATTCTGAGCACCAGCCCACACATCCAGGTGTTCTACGCACTTTAAGCATTGTAGGTAGTCTAAGTATTCTGAGAATCGTACGTAGGAGTGATCTAGAGTTCTTGTGATATTCCTAAGATACTGTATGTTGCGGACATCAAACAAGTTTGGCTACGTTGAGAGGTATATGTTATGTGAAAAGTAACTATCATAACCAACTGCTGAAGGCGGGATACCACATATGACGGCGAAAGTCGAAAGAATGCAGGTGGGAGAGAAAGGAAAAAGTAAATGAAGCGCAGTGTGTACCTTTATGCCAAATTTTCGCAAGTTGCCGATCCATCCGTAGCGCTGGCCAACACGTTACAACCGCTTTTGGTTGCACATCATGCTGGCCAATCACCCGCGCCGACCATTACAACCGTTTTTGGTTGCAACTTTCGTGGCACAGGCACATTCCGTATATCAGTGTTCGTTCGTTAGCGAGTTCAACGTTCGCGAGCCTTTCTCCTCCTCCCATGTCCGACCGTCGTTAACGTGTCTACCCACGTACGGCTCGGAGAGTCGGTATCATAGGCAATATAAGCGGGTTAGGCATCATAGGCGGCATAGGCATCGTAGCCGGCAGGGGCATTTGAAGCACGACTCAGAGCGTGTTTCATACAAGTGGACAGCAACGAACACAATGATCATGATATCTATGATAATTGCGAGCTATGCTACCAGATCAGTGTAAAACAGGCACACGAACCAATCGCACCCATGGGGCGGGAACACAAGTACTCCAGCTTGCACACTCACTCGTCGTCGTCGTCGTCGTCGCTCAGATTATTCCACTCTTCATCGTCGTCAACGACCGTCCATACCTCAGAGCCCGACAAATCCGAGACGTCCCCATCCGTTCCATTTTCTTCGCTGAACTCCCCATCTGATGACTCCCAATCCGACTCCTCCTCATCCAACGACTGCCCATCCGATGACGCCTCATCCAACGACTCCCCATCCGATGGCCCCTCATATTCTACATCGACGTTTCCCGCTGCGAAGCGGATCTGAAGTTCTCCGCGTGAACTATTCGGTCGCGAAACCTGCGTTTGCCCATCCGTAACCGATCCTTGGTGTCCAGATAGAGGCAAGGTTCCTCCTGAGCGGTAGGTGTTACGTTCTCCGTATGTGCTGGCTGGCCCGACGGGAAAGGCTCCTGGATGCCCAGATGTCGAGCCATAAGAGACAGGAATGGAAGGTCCCTGCTCAATATAACGCTCCCGAGTCAGCGGTTGATGCAGAGGAAGTTGGCGCGCAATAGAACCATCCCGATTCAGGTGACGCAGGCGACGTTGAGTTACGGCCCCTCGAATTGAAGCGACGTTTATACGCGGGTTGACAGGGGGGAGTAAGATCGTGTGCGTTCGGGTGTAGAGTACCTCGTTCGTTTGGAAGACAAGGCGCTGAGACTGGACATAGGGCTTTTAGGCGGACTGATAGACCGCGCCCGCTTGGACATGGTTAATTATTGCACCCAGTCGCCACTTCGATGTTCCTTATATAGCTTATCATCTCCAGTGGCACTCTTAAAGGTCCGATTGTCGACCTACTGCATTGTGCCTCCCGGATCACTGCGAGTAGAAAGTAAGATGCGCTAGTACGAAGGGCAATCACCTTGCTTTTACGTAGCCTTGAAACACAAGGTCAGTACGGGAGGTCAATAAGGCCCAAGCGAATAATAGACTGAAGCTTTATCATTCACGCCCCCGCGAGGAGTTCTGTACCTCCCGATGGAACCCCCAATCATTGCTTCTTCAGCATCACCCATTTCTGTCATGCGTTTCAACACAACCCGAAGACCACTGAGCCTGATGCCACTCCCAGACACTCTCCTCGACACTCTGGAGGCCAGTGAGCCAGGCCTCAGCATTGACCAAGCTCGTGACGTTGAAGAGGAGTACGTCCTTGTCGCGTCTACGGATACCACTACCAAGTTAGAACAACAAGTATACGAGTTGACTGAAGTACGCTGTAGACCTATAGCATGATTCCTTTGCTAATGGATGACAGGAAAACACGCGTATGGCGGAGCGAATCAGATCCCTTGAAGGTTTAGTGATGCAGGTGTGTCGACTTGGAACTTTCTCAGATGAACTGAGACCATTCATTCTTTGAGGCCAAACTCAAAGTTAGAGAAGCATTCCAAGCACTCGACTGCAGTATATGCCTGACCACAATCAAATGGCCCGTCAGGTGAGTTATCCCCTTGTTATTGTAATTATAGGGAAACTAAATTGTCGATCTGATAGCACTTGCGAGTGTCAGCACTACTTTTGCGATTCTTGCTTGAAGCAGTGGCTACAGTGGCAGAAGGAGAAAAAGATTCCAGAGACATGCCCGTTGTGTCGCAACTGGTTGTTCGAGGATCCGCAGAAGATGGCCGTACGACCACTGCGAGATATGGTCGAGATTCTCCAGGGCATACGGCTACTTGCACCGGAAGGATCAGGTATCGACCTGGCAACTGTCCTCACCGCTCATGAAGGCCATCAGCTCCCTTGAAGCCGATATTCAATATATCTTGCTACATTTCCGAGTCGCTACCGTCCCACTCCGCTTTGTCATTTAGCCTTTAACGTATGTACAATGGGTACGGACAGGGAGACAATGCTATGTTGTTGATGGTCACTATATATGAGTGTCGCCGGTAACCATCCATTGAAGGCGGTATTGTTTGCGCCAGAAATGGATGTACCCAGAATGCATCCGCTTTTGGTTGAAACTGACTCGTGCCAAGCGGTGATTGAGTTTGCGCCAGAAATGGATGTACTCAATATGCATCCACTTTTGGTTGCAATTTGGGGCAGTCGACAGGGAGTCCAGAATTAAGACAGAACTCATGCGCGAGGCTATACACCTTGGTTTGATCATCCCAGGCAGAGCTTGGACTGCTGAGAGTGAGGGAGCCAGCGCCGAAGGCGCGCGTTCAGGGGACTATTATTGGCGACCAGAGATCACTTCGGCGTGTACAGGAGAAAAGGAATAAACATGTATGGAAAAAAACATTTGGGGAAAGTAGACGAGCAGTGACTACGGCTAGATGTACATTCCAATAGTATGGATGGCGCGCATCGCGAGTTCTGGCAACAATTCAGCGTCTGGCCCCATCATGTGACAGTTACCAAGAACAACAGGCAAAATTGGAGTTTGTCCCTGCCGTCCTTGTCCTCGTCCGTGCCGTCATCGTCTGCATCATCAACTTGATTGTTGTGATGATGCTCATTTCCAAGGTACAAGAAACAAGATATATTCAACTGATGCTAGATAGATGGGAAAGCCCAAACCCACTCGCATAACTGCCTATCAATAACCTATCAATATATATAACCTTGCCATTCAGCTTTGCCACCTGATGGACACAATGAGTCCACTGGAAAATATGCATACAGTCCAGATGGCGCTATACACACCATCCTACACTCTGGATGCAGGTCATAAGCGCATGGGGCGACTACCCCGTAAGACCCGATCCATGTTTCGTGATCGCGAGAATGTTCATCTTGCACCTCGCCGCCGATGATCACAACCCTCGTTCCGATCGGAAAGTCTGAATATTTCGGCGAAAGGTACTTCACAGGGATTCTAGTCGTTGGCTCTCTGGCCGATGAATCAATCTTGACGAGTACCGAAGCTTCGACGTTGTAGATGCGACTCGTCACGACGAGGTACCCGTCTTTGCCTTCGAGCTTTCCTTGCCTAAACACTATTTTGTCGCGAGTCCCACTGATGTGGACTTCAAGCTTCTTGTGCCTCAGTCTTTCATGCAGGATCCAAGCACCTACAAAGATGAGTGAAGGCATGTACTTCTCCAAACAAACAATGTAAATACCACGTTGAAAGGATTGTTCTGGAAGGTTATTCTGTATGGTCTCGTCATAGTGATTGTCCGAGTCTAGGGTGTCAACGGCAAAAGGAACTCGTTCGCGGAGTGCGTGTTCGACGAAGTCACAAGCAAGCTGTTCATCCTCTACGATCGGGGGTGTCGGAGTCCGAGCCTCCGTCGGCTTCGAATCGATCATGTGCAATCGTGCGGCGATCACTATCGGCAAACCAGTGCTGGGTTCATATGTCGGATTAGAGAATTCACTCAACATCTAACCATACGTACGATAATTCACGAAGATGACGTTCCTTGACTTGATAGGTGTAGGAGGAATTGTCGCGAAGCTTGCCCACATTGTATACAAGCCGTCTTTTCCCCCGCTTCGACTCGATGATGGACGAAGAAATGATTCGGCCTGTGGTACCCTTCAAAAATTTGTGGTAGACGATGGCCACCTCCATCCCCGCCAAAGATCGTTGTAACAAAGAACCACCCTTGCTTTCCTCTTCAATGGGCGCAGTTGGCGCAACCGTGCGACATGTTTGGATTGTTTTTAGGTCGTTGTAGTTAACGACGACCTGTATCTTAGCTGTGAGTGATGAGTAATAGCGATATTTCCAAACCTTACCCAGGAATGTAAGAGGGTGATGTCCCCTAAGTGTCTCTCGACCAGATCGTCGACAAACACTCTCGCCGCTTGCCACTGATCTGCTCCTACATAGCCTTGACAACCTTTATATGGGCCACTTTCCACTTCAACGTAATCGCCGACATCTGCGTATTTGATAATCTCCCAGCTTTTGACCCGAACCATTGTTTCGGAAGGTTTGACCACCTTCGCGTGAACATGAAATCTGTCCAGATCTTTGACAACCTTTACCTTCACTCCCGCGAAGGGACCTCTGATAACAAGCACGTCTTTTCCTTTCTTGAGTGTCGGACGCAGTAGATCTTCCTTTGCTATCTCGATTCCGAAGGTATCTGCTGCCAAAGTTGTTGGCCTGGCCATCACACCACAGCTTTCCGCTCGCAAATCGTCAGCCCAACCCACAAGACCTTGGTACCTTCCGGATATGATCCTGACGAGGTCGCCATTAGATACTTGGTTTCGCTTGTGGAAAATAGCCTCCTGTCGAACCGGGTCGTATGGGCATCGCTCAAGCGCCTCGATTTCTTGAAATGTAGGGCAAATGTTTCCGCATTGTAAACAGTCGAAGGGAAGTTTTCCTCTTATGAGCCCAAATGCATACATGCGGCCGTCATGCGCAAGCTGGCCGTTCTCTGTGACCAGTTCGGGAATTCTTGCGCTCGGGAATCCATCATATTCGGGTTCATTGCCGACATATTTATACGGAGCCCGAAGTACCAATAGATGAGCCACTTGAGAACATGGTTCGACTTCGACCACGAATGCCATCAGGTTCTCGTACGTATCGTCGCCGTGAATGCGTACGAGTCCTCCCGCATTGGGCTCAGCTGGATTTTCCTGTTTGAAAAGAAGAACCTTCGTCTCCGTATGCGAAAGAGCCTCTTTGATTGTAGCACCGGATTCGGTGCGGAGGACAGCCGGGCCCGATACGACATTGAAGAAATTGTCGATTTCCGCCATGTCAGGACGTGGTAGAACGTAGACCACCCCTTTGACTTTCCGATGCGAGAAGATTCTTGTCCGAGCCTCCGGGTTCTTCAGTACAACTTCTTGGATAACTTCTACCTCCTTCCAAGGCTGAAGATACATCGATGTCAAGATGAAGTACATGGCCACACATCTTGGACGAACTGTACCTTCACCAACACGCGGCAGACGAAAGCTTTTGCTTGTTTCAAATCTTGAAGTAGTTGATAGGTTGTAGCTTCGTCATATGGCGAAAAAAGGTCATTCGGCCATTCCGCAGGCTCCTGCTCTCTCATGTCCTCGTGTATTTGGGGGTCGTCGTCATAGTTGAAGTTGATTGCTCGATCTCCAGGCCCTAAGAACTCTGATGTAGAGAGAGAGCGTGACATTTAAGGCCTTGCTATAACATGAGCCAACTCACCGACTACATATTCATGGTATTCGGTGTGTTCATCTCGTTGTCCAGGTAGCATATTTTTGGTTTGAGTTGTTCTTCTTTCTTCGAGGTGTTCTCATTCTCGTACGGAAAGTCTTGGGAAAGTCGCTTGCGTTGTGCGTGGCTGTGTTATGTATCATGTGCATACTCCCAGAGTCAACAGGGGTAAATATTCAGATAATCAAGGACCATGCTTTATTGTTGGGTTGTCCGATAATTTACATGCTTCACCTCAAGTTTCGTAAATAAAATTGATGCTGCCACTTGCCTGGCCGCAGGTCAGGCTCATTCGGTGCTGGGAGTGCCAACTGGGGCCCCTAATTCTACAAACCATCACATGACTGCAGATGTTTGGCCCAAAAAGGAGATTTGTGAGGGGGGACCTTGCTAAAG